GGGGCCATTTTTTGAGCGGGAGGCCGATCGCTTTCTGCCTCGTAACTCCCGCCAGCCCCTTATGGCGACAGGTACTTATGGCAAGGCCCCTGGTATGCGTGCTTGGCCGCCCTGCCCTGCCCTGCCCTGCCGCGGTGCATGCGTCTAATGACATAAGTGACTCACCTCTTCGGCGTTTCGTTGGGGATTACCTTTCATCGCGTATGCAAACGAGTTGCCGCTAGTTCCCACGCCAGGCCGGTCAGGCCCGACCAATCCGAGGGCGGGGCGTCCTCTTTTGTAAGTTTTCAAGCGGACCGCCACTGTTAAACTCTGCGGCACGCGCGCATCATTTTCGGCGGATGGTGCGGTGGTCCACTTAAGTACCCGCGGCCAAAAACAAGGCAAAATAAACGCGTTTTGAGCGCCAGAGTCGCTAAATGGCACTCGAACCGAACGTGTGACCCCACCAATGGATTCCTCGTTCGGAGAGCAATCCATTGGTGGGGTCACACGTTCGGTTCGAGTCCCATTTAGCGACTCTGGAGCTCTGCACGCGTCCGGGATTTGGCCCGCCTCCACTGCGCCCCGAGTCAGCCCTTGCCGTAGCGGGAACTACACTGCCTTGGGCCGCCTTTCACCGCCGCGGTGGCTTTGCGGAAATGGCGGCGAGGCGGCATGGCGGCGTGCTCCAGACCAGGGGGCAAGGCCGGCCACACTGTGCGCCCACACTGTGCAAATCACTCCGCGTCCACCCGCGGCTTCTCGTTCACCGATGCGCTTACAAGTTGGAAAACCGGCGAAAATGGTTCGCGCTGCGCGGGCCGCCCGAAAGGCCCGAAAGGTAGGCAACTTGTGCGACATTCCCTCCCCCCGAAGCCGTCCCTGGATCCGCCCTTCCGAGGCACTAGCGGACCGTTGCCTACGACCGACTGCCGTGAGCAACACTCTGTTGTGGGACACCCGAGCCGCTGCCTCTCTCTCTCTCTCTCTCTCTCTCTCTCTCTCTCTCTCTCTCTCTCTCTCTCTCTCTCTCTCTCTCTCTCTCTCTGTCTCTCGCGGCACGCGCCGTGCCCGCCATGAGTGCGAGCGAGACAGAACGTCTCAATCTGAAGCCGAGCGTTTTAACGAGAGGCCGTCATCCCGTATTTCGCTAAATGAATTCGTTCGCGCCCCGTGGCGTACGGCCGCGACGATAAAGCGGCGAAAGGCGGAAAGGAAAGGCCGTTAAATATCGCCTCGTCGCCGTGCTCGACCGAAAACCCGCGCCCCGGCCGCCAGAGGGGCAGAAAGTTTAGACAGTGGGCCGGAACACCGGTGGGGGCGGCCAAAACCCTAGACGCGTCTTGAGCTCCAGAGTCGCTAAATGGGCCTCGAACCGAACGTGTGACCCCACCAATGGATTGCTCTCCGAACGATGAATCCATAGTTGGGGTCACACGTTCGGTTCGAGTCCTGCTTAGCGACTCTGGAGCTCAAAACACGTCTTGTGCAAAAGTATTTTTTCGCAAATTTGTGCTGTCGCTGTTTGCACTGTGGGTCGTTGTTTCCCTGGCAAGGCGTCGCCGCTTGTGCAACAAACGCTTTATACCCAAATGCAGCCACGCCCCGCCACGCCCCGCGAGGCCTCCTTGCGGTCGCATCTCCCATTGACCTCCGCCGCGCCGCTCCGAGCCACGCCACTTGACGCCACGCCCGTTAACGGCAAGCCCGTTCTCTCACTTGGTCGCTCTTGAGACTGCCCGGCGAAGAGAGTGCCCCTGGGTCGGCCGCCAGCTAGAAAACCAGGAGAGCGCCTGCAGCGTAGGCAGTCCCGCGACGCTCCAGTGTAGTGGGGTGAGGCCTACCCGTGGCTTCGCAGGCGCGCAGGGCCCCTGCACTGTAGGCAGTCCCGCGACGCTCCAGTGTAGTGGGGTGAGGCCTACCCGTGGCTTCGCAGGCGCGCAGGGCCCCTGCACTGTAGGCAGTCCCGCGACGCTCCAGTGTAGTGGGGTGAGGCCTACCCGTGGCTTCGCAGGCGCGCAGGGCCCCTGCACTGTAGGCAGTCCCGCGACGCTCCAGTGTAGTGGGGTGAGGCCTACCCGTGGCTTCGCAGGCGCGCAGGGCCCCTGCACTGTAGGCAGTCCCGCGACGCTCCAGTGTAGTGGGGTGAGGCCTACCCGTGGCTTCGCAGGCGCGCAGGGCCCCTGCACTGTAGGCAGTCCCGCGACGCTCCAGTGTAGTGGGGTGAGGCCTACCCGTGGCTTCGCAGGCGCGCAGGGCCCCTGCACTGTAGGCAGTCCCGCGACGCTCCAGTGTAGTGGGGTGAGGCCTACCCGTGGCTTCGCAGGCGCGCAGGGCCCCTGCACTGTAGGCAGTCCCACCCCTTTCTTGCCGCCGCGTTGACAGTCTTGCTTTCTCCCCGCGAGGCGGAGTCGTCTCTCTCGCAGTGGCTGGCTGCCTAGCCTGGCCTAGCCTCTCCACGCGCTGCCGCTGCATTCCGCTGTGAGTTTCATTGCGATGGCGCGAAGCCGCGAACCGCCGCATTCCAGTGGAGGAGACCATGTTGGCGCGGCGGCCCCGTGGCGCAGTCGGCAGCAGTTCTGCCTGCCGCGCCCGATCTCCCGGTTCGAATCCCGACAGGGCCTCTTCACCACAGCTTTTCTTGTGTTTTATTCAGCTGTGTTTTTTTTTCGCTATTTCCTTTTTTTCCGCTAAACAAGCAACAAGCCCTTCGATTTTTCCGAAAGAAACTTTTCTGTTCATATTGCAGCTTTTCAATTTCTGTCCCCTCTTTTGCGCACGTGGAGCCCCCCCCCCCCCTCCCCTCCCTTCCCCCCCCCCGGCCGCGTTCATCCGGGATGGACTCCACGACACTGCTACACTCGTACACCTTGTTGGCTGGACGCTCGCCCATGCGGACGTTGTCGTTGTAGGTCGCGGAGGACGTGATAGCGCGCACACACACACACAAACAGTGGCACGCGCCACACACACACACACAAACACGCTGCCACGCGCGCCAGCACACTGTCTGTGCCGGGCAAAACGAGCGCATCGAAATGAAGGGAAATCCTGACGCTAAAAAAAATCGGACGCGTGAAAAGCGGCGCCGCTATGGGTCAGCGTGCCATCCGCGATGTGGATTCCTCATGCAGTGGGGCGCCGAGTCGCCCGGAAAGTGGGATGCAAAACTAAAGAAACGTTTTTTTTCTCGTCTGTTTTTTTTTCCTTCTCCTTCTCCTATTATCGTGCCGCACGGTCCGGAACGAACGAAACGGCGATGGCTAGCCTGGCTAGCTCCGTGCACTCCGCGGCGTGGCGGCCCACGGCACGGCACGGCCCAGGGCACGGCGGCACGGCGACCAGAGCGCCGCCGGGGCTCCGTGAAGCCAATGTTACGCCGCGGTGCGGTGAGCGGCACGGACTCGGCTCGGCTCGGCTCGGCTCGGCTCGGCTGGGTCCCGACCCGCACCATGCCCGCACCCGCGGCGGCACTGCGCTCTTCGCGGGCCGACGCGGTGGCCGCGAGCGTTGGGGCACCGATCTGACACCCGTGGGTCCTGGGTTCGATACCGCCAGTCGAGAGTGTAGTCAGTCAGGAGCTTAGGCAGGAAGATTTTTCGTGGTGGAAAAAAGGAAGAGATTAAGATAGGCATCTGGTCCGGGAGCAGGTCCTTCCCATGTCCTTTCGCAACGTGGGTGCGGGAAGCACTGACGCAATGCGCGCGCGTTTGTGTGTGTGTGAGTGTGTGTGAGTGTGTGCGCGCGCGCATGCATCCAGGCGCATTACGGCAGCCGAACTGAGCTGGGTTCTCACGCCCCCCCCCCCTCCCCCGGCCGGTCCTTCCGGCATTGCCTCGGCCCATCCAGCAGGTCCTCCGGGCTCCTCCGGGCTTCCCCGGACTCCCTGCCGGCCGCGGGGCCTCTCTGGGCTGTGCCTCTCTGTGCCCTCCGCCACTCTGACATAACCTAACAATGCCTTAAGGGGGCAGTAGCGTCATTTTCACGTGTTTTGACGATTTTCGAACCTCCTGTTTAGACGGTAATATAAAGATAAGTATGAATGCCAGAGACAAACGGCAGGCACCATTTGAAAGATAAAAGTTTTTACAACATTTTCAAAAAAAAATATTTTGTTTTAGCATTGAATTAGGATGTTTTGTGTTCTATGCAAAAATGGTCTGCAAAATTACATGGTGTCACTGCGCGCACGATTGCAGCCAAAGTTTTTAACTTTTTACCAATCGGTAAAATGCATCTGAAAAAGCATGAAATTGCCCATAAAATGACCCTTGGGTTTCAATATTGGGCACGAAAAAACTATTGAAACGCTCATCTTCAACTTAAGATGGAAACGAACCACATTTTTTCTGGCCCAATATTAAAACCCAAGGGTCATTTTATGGGCAATTTCATGCTTTTTCAGATGCATTTTACCGATTGGTAAAAAGTTAAAAACTTTGGCTGCAATCGTGCGCGCAGTGAAACCATGTAATTTTGCAGACCATTTTTGCATATAACACAAAACATCCTAATTCAATGCTAAAACAAAATATTTTTTTTTGAAAATGTTGTAAAAACTTTTATCTTTCAAATGGTGCCTGCCGTTTGCCTCTGGCATTCATACTTATCTTTATACCTAAGTGTAGTACAGGAGGTTGGGAAAATCGTGGAAAAACGGCAAAAGATGGGCACGGGCCCCCTTCCAGCCTTTCGGAGCGTGGGTGGGGAAGGACTGGAAGGGCCGTGGCGGTGTGGTGGTGTAGTGTGTGGGGGAAATGCATTAAAGGCGCTTTCGGTACCAAACTACTGGGTTTACGCTGTATTACGGACGGTATTACGCTTTGTATCCACGGCCTTAAAATGGGCTTCCCGGACTTCTGACCCGAAAAAGGTCTCTGGCGTGCTCTCGTGTACTACGCGTAATAACGGTGTTAAGGGTATTGGGCCCCGGAGTGGGGGTACCCCTCGGGGTGTAGCCCGGTGCCAGCGTGCCGTGGGTGGGAGAGCGCGCTACCTCTCTCCACGCGCGGCCATCCCGCACTGTGGCTCTCTCCCCCTCCCCCGGCCGAGCTGCCACACTGCCACGCACCGAAGTGTCGCGATTAGCAGTGTTGTTACACATTAGCGGGGGCAAAAGAAAGCGAGCAGGGAGAAGTCAACGTCCTAATTGATCCCTCTCTCTCTGTCTCTCTATGCCTCTCTCTCTCTCTCTCTCTCTCTCTCTCTCTCTCTCTCTCTCTCTCTCTCTCTCTCTCTCTCTCCCCTGTTTCTCTTTCTCGCCTCGGTGTGAATGTCCTGAGCAGGTGCAACAAATGTCAATTAGAGGTGAGCTGTTAACTCGCCGGGGGCCGCCCGCTCGCCTGGTCTGTCTGTCTGTCTGTCTGTCTGTCTGTCTGTCTGTCTGTCTGTCTACCTGCCTGTCTGTCCGCCTGTCCGTCCGTCCGTCAGGCGGTGCAAGCACACTGTATCTTGATGCAGCCGCTGCACTGTAGGAAGGTCAGGGAGACGCGGCGACGGTGAAAGCCGACGACAACATCGGGACGACCTCGTCCACTTCCTAGAGGAACTGGGAGGAAATGCCACATTTCAGCACGTCGGCCGAACGCGACCGGGCCGGCTCGACTCTCCAGGGCACTTTTAGAGAGCCTGGCCAGGCGACACTTGTCTCCGTTCGGAGAGCAATCCATTGGTGGGGTCACACGTTCGGTTCGAGTCTTGTTCTGCGACTCTGGAGCTCAAAACGCGTCGAGAGTTTTGGCCGCCTCCGCCGGTCTTCTGGCCCACTGTGCGAAGGACGGTTCGTCGCTGTCTCTCCCGCACCTACCCGGGGCGCCCCGTGAGTGCGAGAGAGACTGCTGGTATTTCGTCAAGTTCCGCGTGGCCCCCGACCCCGTTGGCTTTATCGAGGAGGCGCATCGGAAGAGACTGCAAAACACATCATGCTGCCGCCCCCCCCCCCCTTCCACTCCACGGCCAGCCACCCACTCCCAGTGTCCTGCTTATGCGCGTCTCGCTTTCATAACAGTGGCATGGCATGATGAGATGCTCACACATCCTGCGGGGTTCCTCTGTACCAACAGACAACAACCACAGCAACGGCTGACGGCATGACCAATTTTTCCCTCCCCCACCTACCTTCGGCTACCTTCGGCTACCTTCGTCCCCGATGTCCAGCTCGCTTTCCAGCTTTCCCAGACACGCACGCGTCCGCGCCGCGTCCGCGCCGCGTCCGCGCGTCCTCGTCCTCCTACGTGCAGCCCCGTCCCGTCCCGCTCCATTTGCTTCGTCCACGCCGAGGCACTCGTCGAGGCACTCGGTGGGGGCGGCCGTCTCTCTGTCTCTCTCGCACTCGTGGGGCGTCCCGTAAGGGTGCGAGAGAGACAGGGCGAGGAGGAAGCCGACATGACGACGCGGGGATTGCAGACTGCCGCCGCGCTGCCGCCATGCCGCATGTGGCACAGATTAGACGGGACACATCTTCCTCCTCCAGGAAGAGGAACGGTGTCAGTGAGAGGACAGCGTAGTGTTCCGGATTGGGTGGGCGGTCAAAACCCGATGACTCCAGAGCGACTCTAAAACCCGGCGGTGAATGCAGTGCCGCCAGGCACTGCAGTAGGTGGCGTAGGGCCTAAGCTACCCCGTCGGCAGTGCCTGCGGCTGGCACTGCTTTCACGGCCGAGTTCTAGAGTCGCTTGGAGTCATCGGTTTTGACGACCAACCCGGAACACTAGGACAGCGACGTGTCCATAATTCTCTCTCGGTCATTCCTCGACTTATCCGGTTAGTTTAGGGACACCTCTCGCGGTACGTAGCACAGTGCGCCAGAGGACCGGTGGAGGCGGCCAAAACTACAGACGCGTTTTGAGCTCCAGCGTCGCTAAACGGGACTCGAACCGAACGTGTGACCCCACCAATGGACTGCTCTTCGAACGAGGGATCCATTGGTGGGGGCCCACTTCGGTCCGCCACCCTTTTTCTTGTCCCTTTTTCTTTTTTACGGTGTAACGAAACTGATCCATTCCGCTTCCGCCGCGGATAGGTGAGAGGAAGCTCCGATGGAAGTGGAAGTGCACTCAAAGAGACGAAAAAGCCGGACGGCCTCGAAGACCGCAATCGCACACCTTTTCCCCCTGCTCTCATTTTTTTTTTCGTCCGTCTTCTTCTATTCGTTCCTTCCCTGTTCCTCTTGGCCCGCAGTGCCGCAGCAAAGGGAGCGCGCGATGGCTCAGTTCTCCTTTCCTAGAAGGAGCCGTTCAACCCGGCGAGGCTCCTCCCCCTCCCCCCCCCCCCCCCTCCCCCCCCCCCCTTTCCCCCCTTCCCCCCTTCCCCCTTCCCCCTTCCCCCTCCCCCTTCCTCCCCCCCCTTCCTCCCCCCCCTTCCCCCTCCCCCTTCCCCCCTCCCCCCCGCCCCGCGGCGCCACGGCCTCGTCCCGGCCAATACACGTGTTTTGCGCACTTCGCTGTGACGGATGGATCCCAGGAAAGAAATTTTTGCGAAAGAGGTCGTGCGGAGCGCGCGGGGCTGCGCGGGGCGTGGAAGTCTGCGAAGTCTGTGAACCGGCGGCGGCCTCCGCCCCCACACTGGCAAGGCGAGGTTCGCGAGCATCACGAGCCGATGAGTGACCATTCCCCGTGTTGTGACACTTGGCGTTTCCAGTTGCAGTTGCCTTGTTTTTATTTTTGAAGCTAATTGTTGTTGTTCGGTGTGTTGCAGGTCGGCAGTAGCTAGGCAGTAGCTAGGCAGTAGCTGGCCAGCTAGGCATGCCCGTCGCGCCGCTCTGCCATGGGGGCCTCTCACTCGCAGGCCCACCAGCTGGCCCCTCAGCACTCCCCTGGGCCGCCGGGGGGCCCTCGGCCCCACTGGGCGCACTCCTTCCCGCGCGACCTGCGGCGCTCCGCCAGCAGTGGCGATGCAGGCCCTGGCGCCGGCCATGGCGGTGCCGCGCTGGGCCGCCCGCTGCCCGAGCACTGCAAGGTGCTGCCCGTGCCGCTGGGGCCCAGCACCCGGCTGCACCGCACCCAGAACGGTGACATCCTGCACTCCGGGGGCACCATCAGCGGCCGCAGGCAGGCCGCTGACGACTTTAAGGTGAGCGGGCCACTCTAGCCTTAGGCCTCGCTCAGACGCGTTTTGGGCTCCAGAGTCACTCGAACCGAGCGTGTGGCCCCACCAATGGATTGCTCGTTCGTGGAGCAACCCATTGGTGGGGTCACACGTTCGGTCCGAGTTCCATTTAGCGACTCCGGAGCTCAAAACGCGTCTGGAATTTCGGCCGCCTCCACCGGTCTTCTGGTCCACTGGGCGCAGCCTCCACTCCCTGCATGGTGTGAGATTGTGCATAACCTCTGTGATGCTTGCAGGACGGCCACGGCCCGGGCCCCGCCAACGGCCTGTACCGCGCGCGCAGCCAGTCGCACCACCGCGAGCGCGAGCGCGACCGGCGGCACGGCGGTGGCTACGGCCCACGCGGCGGCTACGGCGGCGGCGGCTACACCAGCGGCGGCGAGGGCGGCAGCGCGCACGGCCTGCAGCGCGGCGGTCTCAACCAGTACGGCAGCGAGCCCGACCTGCGCCTGCCCAAGGACATGAGGGCGCCGGCGTCCAGGGACAGGAGCGCGGCCACCACCGGGACCTGCGCGACGACTCGCCCGCCAAGCTGCGGATCAGCAGGTCCAGGAAGAAGTACAAGGCCCCGCCGCCGCCGCCCGGCACCGTGGGGGTGAGTGCCTGAGTGTTCCCAGTGCTCCCAAAACGGCGTGCACTTTCGCCGGCCCGCCCGTCCGCCGCCCACGGCGACCACCTTCTAATTAATCAAGCTGTGACGCAACACGTGCACGGTGCAGAGGCCCGGCACACGCACGCCGCGGGCCTCGCGGACGCGCTTCCGGCGAGCGGGGCGGGGCGCGGCGGCAGTCAATGGAAGGGCTCGGAAAGGGCTCGCCGGCCGCCGCCGCGCCCGGCCCTCCACGCCGTGATTTGGGTCACGAGGCCGCCGCCACGGCCGCGCGATGCTCCGCGGGGGGCCGTCGGCGTGCTGCGCGCCCCGCCACTGCCTCGCGTATTGTATTCGCATCGCCGTTGACGGCGACCCCACGCCGCGGGGCGCGGGGCCGCGGCCGCGCCAAAGCACCGCCTCCGGGACCTCCGGGACCTCCTGGACGGCGGCGTTGACGGCGACCCCCCGCCCCGCCGCCGCCGGTGCTAATGGAATGAACCCTTCCAGGTGGACAGCTCGTCGCCGGACTCGTACCAGTGGGAGCGCGTGGCGCACGGCGACGGCGGCGACCCCAGGGACCACCGCGACGCCAGGATGCCGGCGAGGAGGAACCGCCTGTTCAAGACCCGCGCCGAGACCAAGCGCACCACCAACCAGAACGCGGCGCCGGCCGGCGCGGGCCCGCCCATGGGGTCGCTGCCGCTGGCGCTGCCGCACCGGGGCCGGAGCAGAGAGTCCCCGACGGCCTCGCCGACGACGCGGAGGAGGCACCCCGGCAACCCGCCCACGCTGCAGCGCAGCATGTCCACGCCGGAGTTCCAGGCCGAGCTCCTCGAGGTGGCGCGCAAGCTGCGCACCAACCTGCAGCCCGGCGCGGTCCGCGACGTCCGCGACGTCCGCGACGTCCGCGAGCGCGAGGGCCCCGTCGGCGAGGACCACTCGGACCCCATCAAGCCCACCAGCAGGCACCTGCCCGTCGTCCGGGGCAAGTCCGCCGACGCCATCCTGAGGTGCGTGGCGAGGGTAACGAGCCAGCCGCCGAGTGTTCGCGCAGAACGACGACTGAATCACTGCCTTTGCGTTCTCACAGGGCGGGAGGCCGCGGGCGGGCGAGGTCCGAGGACAGCAACCGCCGCGGCGAGGGCTCCGGCAGGGAGTCCACCCCCGAGCCCGTCAACTCGAAGCACTCCGACGACCGCGATGGCGTGTCCAGGTCGCGGCCGCACCGCGCCGCCAACAAGCACTGGGAGATGTACGTATACGTCGGTGAAGGTGACGCGGGTCCAACGGGGCTGGTCTCACGACGCTGTCCCTGTTGCAGTCTGCCGAGCCCCAAGACGAGCGGCGGCGCCCAGGAACGGAGAGAGGTCCCCGCCAGGACCTTCTACTTCGGCATGTCCGAGGCCTGCGACGAGGGCGTGGGTTCGACTCCCGGCAGCGGCGGGCCCCGCGAGCGTGAACGGGACCGTGACCGGCGCACCGCCGAGGTGGAGCGGTTCGCCGCCGAGATCCGGAGAGTGCCGTCCACCGTGCCGACCAACAACACCACCTCGGGCTCGGCCAGCATGTCCAGCGAGGCGGAGCGGGAGGAGGAGGTGCGTGCTCTCCATTGCAGGCACGCCGCCTCACAGTGGGCCAGAAGACCGACGCCAAAGCTCTAGACGCGTTTTGAGCTCCAGAGTCGCTAAATGGGACTCGAACCGAACGTGTGACCCCACCAATGGACTGCTCTCCGAACGAGGAATTCATTGGTGGGGTCGCACGTTCGGCTCCAGTCCCTTTTAGCGACTCAAGTGCTCAAAACGCGTTTATTTTGCCAGAACGTGGGCGGCATCGCGCTGCAGCTGCGGCCCACGCTGCCCAAGAAGCGCCTCGAGATCCCCCGCTTCTCGCCGACGGCGGCCTGGCGCCTGCTGTCGGCCCTGGACAACCCCCAGGGCCTGCCCGGCCTGCCCAGCGCCTACCCCGCGCACGACGCCGGCGCCGCCAACGGCCTCCAGGACGGCGACGACGCCGAGCCCGGCGACGAGCTGGAGGAGCGGATCCACCGGCTGGCCCGGCCCACCGCGCCGCTGCCCGCCGTCGGCCACCAGGCCCACCAGGGCGGCGTGGGGGTGGGGCTGGGCCCCGCCAGGGGCACGGTGCAGGGCTTCGGCCAGGGCTTCGGCCAGGGCTTCGGCATCCCCATCGGCGTGGGCATCGGCAGTCACGACAAGTCGGGCGACTCGGGCATCTCCGGGGACGCGAGCCCCATCGGCGGCAACGAGGACTCGTCCGAGGCGCCCTGCCTGCAGGGCCTCCAGGACCTGCAGGCGCTGCCCAGGAAGGCGGGGCCCACGCCCAAGGTACGCCCTGCGGCCCGACGGCATCCTTGTCTTTTCGTTCCATGCATTCTCTGACTGGCTGAACCTTCGCAGTCGCTGGTGGTGGCGTGGACGCCGCAGCAGGACCTGGAGGGCGACGAGGAGTCCAGCTCGGACGGCGACCTGGAGTCGCCCGTGTCCCCGCACAACAGCCGCCTTGGCCTGGGGCTCGGGCTGGGGCTGGGCGCGCACCGCGCCGCGGCCCACGGCCCCGCCAAGTTCTCGCCGCGGTCGCAGTTGTTCTCGCTGTCACTGCCGCGCGACAACCAGCTGTCTCAGTACACGGCCGCCTTCGACGGCAACAAGGTGAGGAAAACACGCCGAAAAAAAGTGGGGCTGTGCTGGTAGTTGAACCCGCGACTAAGGACCTTTCCCCTCTCCCCTCCGCAGAGCTGGAGCGCGCTGACGCCGCCGGACGAGCCTGCCGTGTCGTTCCACAGCCTGCGCAACGTCCGCCGCTCGCTGGGCATCGGGGGGCGGCGGGAGGCGGCGGGGGCGGCCGACGACGTGGACGCCGGCGGCTCCGGGGGCGGCCGGCCGCTGGACGGCAACTGGCTGCTGAGCCGCAGCGTCCCCAGCTCGCTCAACCTGCAGGCCCCCGAGGCCTGGAGGCACTCCACGGGCAGCCCCTCGGGGTCGCCGTCGAGCCCCGACCGCGAGCGCGAGCCGGACGACGGCCTGTTCCGCGACGTGCTCAAGCAGCCCAGCTTCTCCTACCTGGCGACGGGCGGCCATGTCATGTACCTGCCGGACTTCACCAACAACAAGCGGTACAACGACAGGTACGTTGCAGACCTGCGGACTGCAGTCGCTCTGCATGGGGCATCCCGTATAGGTGCGAGGGAGACAGAGCGACTCTGGGAATCAGTCTGCTTTTAAGCTCAGACACGAACCGGGCGCCGTTTGAACTAACTAATTCTGGCGGCGGTCCCGCCATGCCTCCGCGGCAGCAGGGAGCGGTCGCGCAGCGCTGAGATGAGCCGCAGTCGCGAGCGGGAGCGCGACCGGAACCGCCACCAGGACGCCGTCACCACCAACCTGCTGAACGGGCACCGCGGCGCCCCCTACCCCAGCGGGTACCCCAGCGGGGCCACGGGCCGCGAGATGCGCGAGCTGGGCGGCAGCGCGCCGCCGTCGCCGTCGCAGTCGCCGTCGCCCGCAGCAGCAGCAGCAGCAGCAGCAGCAGAGGGAGCGCTACCAGACGGACGTCCGGAAGGCACTGGACCGGAAACTGCGGCCCAAGAGGTTCACCTTCCAGAGCACGCTGCGCCAGATAGAGCGGCGGCGCATCGCCGAGAAGCTGTCCAGGGACGCGGAGCTCAAAGGTAGGGCAGGGCTCTGCAGTGCACTGTGCCAGAAGACCAGTAGACGCGTTTTGAGCTCCAGAGAGAACTCGAACCGAGCGTGTGACCCCACCAATGGATTCCTCGTTCGGAGAGCAATCCATTGGTGGGGTCACACGTTCGATTCGAGTCCTGTTTAGCGACTCTGGAGCTCAAAACGCGTCTAGAATTTAACTGTCCTTTGGGGGCGAGTAGCTGACGGCGGCCTTCTCGTTGTCCTCGCAGAGCAACAGCGGCTCAGCGAGCTGGAGGCGATGCGGCGCGTGGAGGAGGAGTTCCAGCGCAAGCGCGCGCGGGAGAAGGCCAACATCCGGCACCAGCTGCGCCTCTTCAACCTGGAGGAGCACACGGACGCCGCCAGCGCGGCCAGCGCCATGGGCCCGTACAGCTCGCTGCCGGTGGACTGGCGCGACCGCGAGCACCGCGAGGACGTGACGCTGGGGGCGGCGCAGCGGCACCGCGCCGAGCCCGACGGCGCCCCGGCCCCCTCGTCGCCGTCCTCCGGCAAGCTGGCCGCCGACCTCAAGGCCACCGCCGGCACCGGCACCCCCGGCACGCAGGTGCTGAGCGAGTACCGCCAGAACCAGCGCGAGTACCGCGACTACCGCCCGTCCAGGTCAGTCTGCATACAACGGCATAGCGCAGTGGGCCAGAAGACCGGTGGAGGCGGCCAAAGCTCTAGACGCGTTTTGAGCTCCAGAGTCGCTAAACAGGTCTCGAACAGAGCGTGTGACCCTACCAATGGATTCCTCGTTCGGAGAGCAATCCATTGGTGGGGTCACACGTTCGGTTCGAGTCCCATTTAGCGACTCTGGGGCTAAAAACGCGTCCGGGATTTTGGCCGCCTCCCCCGGTCTTATGGCCCACTGTGCAGTGGACTTCCCTCCCTCCCGCTGTCTCCTATCCAGGATCGCTCCAACTGTCTGCGGGTCGAGCTTGATTTCGCTTTTTGGCTCAAGTTGCAGGATACTGGACACGAGTGACTCGATGCACAGCGGGAGTGACTTGAACGGGGTGAAGAGGGCGACTGTTCATCCCGAAGCTGTTTTCGACATTCCCAAGAACACACCCGTCTACGTCGCAAACCATCACCACAATTCAAGTTAGTCTTTCAAAACTCTACGCCCTGTCTGCTCAATTTTAATTTGGCTTCGCATTTCTTTGACAGATGAATCACTGGGAATTCGGGTTTTCACGTTTGTTTCTTTTTCCAGCCCCTGTGTCGATTCTTGTCGAGTCGGAGCGAGGTGTGTCGACCCCGAGATCCTCATCCTCTGACAACTATCGACGAGACTTTGCTCACGGCACGGTGCCCCTCGGGGGGCGCTCTTTGGCGAGCTCGGACTCGGAGCTGTCGCAGCCCAACACCAGGCCCACGTCCCGGCAGGGCCCGGGCGGCCCGGGCTACTACAGGCCCTTGCCCCACCTGCAGAGGAGCAGGTAATCCATGGACCATTGCATTGGAACCGACAAGTTGATTTTCTCAGTAGTTACTTGTTAGAAAAGTAGAAATCACCACACAAGAAACTTTGAAAAAAAAATATCTTGGGCTTTGGCTTGTTAATCTGGTAAGTAAAGCCAATTAATCTTTTGCATGGCGGTTTCCTAACACTGGGTGGGTGAATGGTGTAGCTGGAGGGTAGGGGCTTGTATGCAGCCCCAATCACAGTAAAACATTTCAGAAACAGCCCGAAATAGCTTCAGTTTGTGACAAGAATGTAAAATAATTTTGTAAAGGGTGTGACACCCTCTCGGCTATGATGATGATTTGGATAAAGTAGTGAGAAAACGTAAAATTATTTCATTTCACCAGCATATGCGCAAAACGTAAATTTTGCAAGCATGTTCTTTGTAGGTGGTGTTTGGCACAATGCCTCTCAGACCAAGTATTTTGTTGAATAAAGGAGGTTTGTTTAAAAAAATTTATAATTATTTGTTTAAATTTTTATTAACAGCCATTATTTCATGTATATACTTTTAAACAGCGATTGGTAATACAAAATGCTTGGTTTCCTTGAAGTTTGCTGTGAGCTGTACATAACTGGGTGACATTGTTACAATTGTATGTCTGACACAGGTTTTAGAAGTAGTGGGATGGAGTTCTGCTAATCATTTAACTAGTCAACACTCAACGTCATTGTCATCTGCCGCAACATCACACAAGGAAGGCAAGGATCAGGTCAACAGGTTTGTGTGATATCTAAAAATTATTTTCCTCATTTGCACTTATCATGCACTTCATTCTGTGATTTCTTCATAAGAAACAAAAAAACTCTCCCTCCTCAACCTCCGGAAAGGCTACTCTCTATCTTCTCCTATTTTATAGTTTATTTTTCAAGACTAGTCAGTTTAATAAATTTCCTTAGTTCATCCCTTTCATCTTCATCTCAGCTTAATTCTTCATTTTAAATCATTCAGCTTTTCTTATCTGACCAGAAAGCTCATGCAATCCTAGTTATTTTTATAATCTCTAAAAGACATGACAAGACTAGCACTTTCATTATGACTGACACTGCTTTTTTTTGAAACTCACATTTGATTTCTGAGACGGGGGCAATCACAGAGCGAAAGGTGGAATTCATTGATTCTGTTTCTGCATCACAGAAATTTTGCAGTCTTTTATGTTCGCATTGTTTCTTGCAATTTCTCAGCGTCAAAAGATGAAGAAACTATCAAACTACATTGATAATTACAGTGCCTTTAATCCACAAATATGATTATGAATTTTTTCTGAAAAAGTTCTCTGGAGAGACAGTTATTTTCCTCGGCAGAATCTTGACTTGAAGACAAAATACTTGTATGCTTTTTCTGAGCTCTAACACTTATGCGTTGGGCATTAGTACGCATGCTTTGTTTTCTTCTTGAAAAAAAAAACAAGGTTTTGTAGTGTTTGCTGCCTTGAAATAATTATACCGCCAGGGGTAGTTGCATGCTATTTAACACTTCTCAGCTGCTTTTGTTTAAAATGTAACATGGACTGATGAGTCAGTGCAAGCATGAGTATCTAAAGGTTGAAAAACTTTTTGTAATCAGTGTTCTATGTGTGTACTTTCCATCAAACTTTCTAGTTTCTTAGTTATACAGACAAATAATATTTTCCACAGCATTCAACATTTTTATCTGCTTCTTCAGTGACTATATTTCATTTCAGCTATTGCTGGTGAAATTCTCCCTTTGCCTTTGCTCACTTTATCCTCACTTTCACCCATTCAGTATTTTTATCCAGTAAGAAGGAAATTTCAAAATATTTTAATGGAATGGCAATGCTTGGCAGGTCCGCCAGTCCACAAGGCAACCACAGCAGCTGTGGTTACAGCCCTCCCCTCAGCCGTCAAGGAAGTCTCCGATCCAGTTCAGTACCCAGATCCAGTCCGCAGGCAACTGAAGAAGATAGTCAGAGACCAGACACACCACAAGACAAACAGCAGAGCGTTTTGGATCAACTAAATAAAAAAAGACAGCGAAGCCCAGAACGAAGTCCAACACACAGTCCACCACTCAGCCGCAGCACATCACCAGTTCAGAACCCTGATTCTGCTGCCAGGGATGCTTACATAGAGTCATCCATTAAACTAGAAGAAAAGCCCCTCGAAATCGACATGGTGGAATCCAATAGTCCACTTGATGGTGCTACAAAAGTACGTAAATACTGTTTCAGTTACCTCAGTGTTACCTTTTGTATCTCTAACAGGTTTTATTTTATATCCCCAGGTCGAAGTCACCACTACCACATTCCTGGGTCTCCAACCCTTTGGGATGAACAAAAACAAGGGCTACCGTCCAATTAGTTTTAATCCTCCAAACAGCAAACTTGCTCAACCTGTCAACTAATTATCAGCTTTGTAGCTCACCCTGTAAAATATTGAAAATTTAATCCCCAAGCCGAAAGGTGCTAAGCGCAACACTGGTGGAGTTTTATCTTAATTTTGAGGGTTGCTGGGGTTGGCTGAAAAACTTTTTTAATCTAAGAAGGGAGCTGCAATAGTTAATTAAGTTGTTTTTTATGCTTTTCAGAATTGGGAAAGTGGAAAATGTCTCATGATCCAAAGTGAACTGTAATTCTTTTGTTCATTATTTCCTTCACTTTTGCTCCTAATGTACTAACAGTCTTAAACAATCATTTGGCCATCAAGAGACCCTCTCACTGTGCAGTACATCTTTGTACCTGATCAACAAATGTTATTTGTTTTTTGTCTGTTTTATTTTCTTTCTGTTGACTTGTTTTCTGTTCTTTGAAATTTTTTATTTGATCTTGTTGATTTTGTTCAGAATGTTTATGGAGTTTGAGATTGTATCTTTGGCAAGCACAAACACTTATTCATGAATTTCATGTTTGTGAGAGACACATATTTTTATTTATTTAATTAGTGTTTGTCTACGAGAAGTATGAGTAGTATGTGTGGTGTTCTTTGTGTCTTGGCATTCTCTTCAAGAGAATGTTCTTGTGGTATGGTCATTAAGACAAAATTTGGTGCCATTTTAATAGGTTAAATGAGAGAATGTACCACTTGTATTAAAAAATTGAATGGGTGATCACAGCATATATTGTGTGACATTAAAACGAATGGGATTTGACGCACAACAAAAACAGACCAAAAGTAGATTGTTTATAGAATAATTTACTGTTTGAAACGAAAATAGAATGCCTTGATTGTCTTCATGCCTGCTGGAAAGCACACATACCTGAAAACCACCATACTAGATGGAGCAGTGCCCAGAAATAAGTAAAATGAGGTATTTGCTATCAGTTGATTCAGAAAACTGAATTTAAAAATCCACTTGGTGTGTTTGAATTACCTATCAGAATCCTCCTCAGAAGATTAGTGCTCCCATGATGCTCTTGCTCGAATCCTGTATGTATTATGTATGCATGATTGTAAGTATGCTTTTTGTAAGTAATGTATGTACATGTACCTACAGAGTTAAGGTATATACCTAAAGATTGTAATTAAAAACTGCTCAATTAATTTGTATTCGACTGTAGAAATTTGAATGTTGTATTTATGTACAGTTTGGGCCCCTAGAATTTTGTAAACTTTGTATGTTGTTTGGTGTATACTATTTTACCTCATATTAAATAAATTCTTTTATGTTTCAAAAATTTAATCTTGACCTTTCCTTTGTGTGCGTTGCAATGGGCTACAGTCCACTGCTTCAATGAATATACTACACTTGACAGTGAGGACATATTTTTATACAAAACCTCCTATCACAAGTCTTCTAATAAAGAAAAAAAAATGGCTGCACTCCTTAGAGGAGCAGTATGAGTGGAATGTAACTACATTACATGCAGTAAACGAAATAAACTCTTTGCATTACATTCACTTACAAGTTACTGATCGCTATTGAACGAAACGTTCAACTTAGTTCCTTGTTGCACAAACCCCATGCTGTTAATTTTTTTTCCATTTTCTTTTTACAAACAAAATATATAGACAACTTTAAATAACAAGCATAAAATCTGATCAAAATCAGGGACTAAACGACATCAACATCAAGGCGATCCATCATTGTTTGAGCTATTCCACAAAGGTATCAATTTGAATGATTAAAATAATGTTGATCTACTATTTTAAGATGAATGCAAATTGGGGAAAGGAAATCTGGGCAACACTTTGTGACTAGTCTAGACATATATAACAGACAAGGGAAAACACAATTTGGAAGGAGGGAATCACTCAACTAACCTGTTCCACGAGATCAAACTACTGAAAAGCCACTTAGTCGCCTAAACATCCTATCAATGTTAGCCTTTAAGACAGAACATCCCAGCAAAGTATACCTTAAACATAACGCTGGTAAAGTAATAAATCGTTGGCACACTTAATGTCAACACATAATCAGTCACAACAATAAAATAAAATTAAGAAATAATAATACAAAAAATTCAACACAGACAGAGACAGCCAGTTTGCTCCTCACCAGGTAGCTCGTTCCACCAGTTCGCACTTGGGCGGCAGCGGGATCTCGGCGAACTCCATGTCATCGTCGTCCTCGTCGCCGGGTCCGTCGCCCAGGGGGTCCCGGGCGCCGCTCAGGTCGGCGTCGTCCATCTCGTCCTCGTAGCCGCCCTCGTACACCGCGCCGCCCGCCTCCTCGTCCTTGGGGATCTTGAACTCGGCGCGGAGCTGCGCCGCCAGGATGTCCCTGTACTGCCGCAGGGTGGCCAGCTTCGGAGGCGGCGTGCTCTGTTGCTGTTGCTGCGGTTGCTGCTGTTGCTGCTGTTGCTGCTGTTGCTGCTGCTGTTGCTGCTGCTGCTGTTGCTGTTGTTGCTGCTGCTGCTGTTGCTGCTGCTGCTGCTGCTGCTGCTGTTGCTGCATCCAGTCCAGGTACATGCGGTGCATCTTGGCGACGGGGTGGCCGTCGGCGAGACACTTGCGCTGGAAGCCCTTGCCGTTAGGAGGCACGCCGGAGCGGGGGAACATGCTGGTGTGCTGGCGCACGCTGTCCACCACCTGCTCGGGGATGCGTCGCCGCACCTTGCGGTGGCGGCCGCGCTGGTCCGCGATGACGCCGCCGTCGTCGCTCGAGGCCAGGTGCACCTTGGCGATGGCGGACTCGACCCACGAGTCGGACACGTCGAGCGTCTGCAGGAACATGGTCTTGCAGACGGGCACCTCGAACACGTGGCCGCCGCGGTGCCTGCCCGTCGCGGGAGGCTCGTCCGTGCGCGCCACGTTGAAGAAGTACGAGCGCGACGTCTTGCGGCGCGACAGCTCGGGGTCCTGGCGCCGCGTGCGCTTCTTGGGCGCGCGGACGCGCGTCAGCCGCGAGATGTACAGCCACTGCAGCCGGTGGTCGCCCAGGCTCCAGAAGTGGCTGAAGATGGTCTCACGCTCCGCCACGTCGATGCGCTCCTTGCACCTGCGGAACGGAACGATGCGACACAACGTCAGTGAGTGAGCACCACACGGCACGCTGCACTCGCTACACCGTAGGGTACACTTACTTGAACCTGCACGTCTCCCCGCAGCCCTCGCCCATGCGCCGCGCCCGCACCAGCTTGCCGCGCAGGTTCACGTGCTCCTTGCCCTTGTTGAGGGCCTCCTTGGCCTGGTTGGCGCGCCACCGCGCGGGCTCGCGGTCCCGCTTCTCCTTGCGGGCCAGCGCGGCGGCGGACAGGGGCGGCGTCGGCGGCGTGGGCTTGGTGACGGCGCCGCCCGCGCGCCGCCCGTTGCCCGTGGTGATGACGGCGCCGTTGGGCAGGTCCTTGAGCCCCAGGGTGCCCGAGTTGAGGTGGTGGTGGAACTCGGGCGGCACGGACACGGCTCCGAGCAGCCCGCCCACGCCGATGCCCAGCCCCGTGGCGGCCGCGGCCAGCACGGCGCTCGTGTCCGCGCGCTTGCGCTTCTTGGGCTGCGGCGGCGGCGGCGGCGGCGGCGGCGGAGGCTCCCGCGGTTCCTGGGGCGTGGGCGCTGGCTCCTGCGCCATCCCCGGGACGGGGCCGCCCGGCCACGAGCACACGCCGCCCTGGCCTGGAACGCCCTGGCCGGGAACGCCCTGGCCTGGAACGCCCTGGCCTGGAACGCCCTGGCCGGGAACGCCCTGGCTGGGAACGCCCTGGGCCGGCACGCCGGCGAGGCCGGGCACCGCGGAGACGGGGACGGGGTGGCCGGGGAAGGCGGTTGACGGGAAGGTGCCGGGGCCGTGCACGTTGGGGGCGCCGCCGTAGGAAGGGATGTTGAGGAGCGGGTTGTGGCTGGTGAGCACGTTGGAGGGGTGCATGTTGTGTGGAAGCACTCCACCTGGAACAGAACAAAGACATGGTTACCTAGGGCATTTAAAAAAAAATTAAAGAAAAATGTGTTGTCTTTTTACCTGTCATGGCATTCGCAGAACAATCCATAGCCATGTTGGCGTAGGGACCACAGACGTTACCTACATCCATTCCAGGACCGTGGGTCATGTATGTATTTCCTTTAGCATTATCATTCACATCAGGTGCACCCATTTGTGGATTGTTTCCATCTTTTGATACTGAAATGGAAAGACATCATGGATTAGGTCAGTTTGGACCAAAAGAGACTTCAAGCAAATTCAGAAAACATACCTGATTTGCTTTTATCTGCACCATCACCAGGCTGGCCATCTGTGAAAATAAATCAAGTTTTAAAAGAAAGATTTAAATATTAATGTTTCTAACCAACAAGCCAGCATCATTTATCTGTCACCTTTTGATTTCTTCTTCCTTTTTCTTTTCTTAGGTTCTCCTCCCTCCTCTACATCTTTTCGTACTCCTTTGCCATGCTTCCCTCTGCAGTCTGGTGCCACCACCACACCATCAGCTGCTTTGGATATTGCTGTATCTACCCATGAATCAGAAACATCTAGGGTTTGAAGGAACATTGTTTTGCAAACAGGAATCTTTTCTGTGCCTTGCCGGAAAAAGTAAGAACGTGAGGTTTTTCTTCTTGATCTAACTGGATCTTGTGTACGATGTTTAGGCGCTCTCACACTTGTATGCATTGCTATAAAAAGCCACTGAAGTTGGTGGTTACCAAGATTCCAGAAATAATTAAAAATATTAGTACGAGCCACATTGCTTATTCGTTCTTCACATTTAAACCTGAAAAAAAAATGGTATGAGTAAACAGGAAGTAAAACAAAAGTTTCTGGAGAAATTTCCATAATGACAAAGTTGAACTTACCGGCAGCCCTTTGATGCACAACCCTCACCCATTCTACGAGCACGAACTAGTTTGCCTTTAGCATTGATGTGCTCTCGGCCTTTATTCAACGCTTCCTTTGCTTCTAATACTCGTGACTTTTTAGGTTGCTTCGGAGCCTTTTCTGACTGGGATGTACTTTCATCGTCGGATTTTCCATAATCCTCTGGCAGGAGTAAGGGGGCATCAGGATCCATGTGATGCCGAAACGGTTCAGATGACCGATAGTCCCCATTTCTTAATCCAGTTAGGAAGCCTTGCCAACCATCAGCAGCAGTACCATTTTTCTGATTTTGGTTCTGGTTTGGTCCAGCAGCTTTATCACCTAAGGAGAGGCAAGCAAATCAGAATTGAAATCAATTACTCAAGCTGATAAAGAACTCACTCAGCTATCAAGAAGTAAGGGGAAATTACGAGGACAAACAAGTCCAGATACTGAGACACAAACCTGCATTCCCAGCACTGCTTAGAGCAGCTGATTTCTGTGGTGAATTACCTTTCTTTTTTGGTGATGCTTTCTTTTTAACTGTTTTCTTTCTGATTGTTGTATCCTCTTGTGATGCTGAAAAGAATGAAAAAGTCATTATTCAATGCACTCTGACAAAGGTGTCGACGGAAATATTTCACTGGAATAGAGCTTACCTCTTGATTGCCAGCTAGATTCATTCATGAGCATGTTTTGGTTTCTTCTAATATCAATCTGCAAAATTACATAAACATGTTAGAAACTTTTCAATAACAATGGGAGCAGGGAGCAGGTATAAACGCAAGTAATTAAGTAAATTTAAGTATGATTTACCGTTGGATTAGGTTGAGGAGCTGTGATATTTTCTGTATGACTTCCATCTCTTCTATGAGGGTCAAATCTTGCATGTATCCCTGTTGTGTCGGTTGCAGTATTAAAATGATGGGGAACTGTGTGAGGAACAGATCCAAGGAGGTGCCTGTCCATGTACATGTGTTGACCTTTATCAAAGGAACCACTTGCATCTGGTACCCACGCAACGGAAGGATGCCAGGAGGAATGTGGACCATAACTTGGAGGGTTTCGTTCCATGTTCGCAAAGTATGAACCTGAGACCCTGATAAACAAAGATAAAATGCATTAGAATATGTGTCATGAATCAACCTTAAACATTCCATTTAGAACAATAAATGTTAACAGGGATTTCCACAGTTTAGCATTGTTAAAAGGGTCGTAGCCACCACAGGGAAAATGAAAACAACCTGTGTTGACACAGGCTGACAGAAGCTAAACATAACCTGTCTCTAACATCAAATTGAGTCCCAAAGAATAGACTTTGGACATGCAAAAGAGAGAGGCGTAAGTTTCGATTCGTGGCTTGACAGACTCTTTCATAAATGCCCTCCCATCATGGAAAAGAACGCCCTAAAAGGTGTTAGAGCCGGTCGACTTACTGGTTTTGTGACATGGTAGCAGATCAGGGAATCAGGGCCAGCTGGGACAACCAAAAATTCAAACAAAAATGCTCCAGCGATAGGAGACTTAGTCACATTCTTGTAGCCACGTCCATTCTGAGACAACTCAGACGATCCTTATTTCACCAGGGTAGTGTATTCAGGACTCTAAACATCACCAAAGAATGGTGACAACAAACTTTCCAGTCTCCGGAGAATGGCATTACTTGACCGTCTTCAGACATTCTGCCGCATCTGGACTCATGGTGAGTAGCTCTCCGAAGTTACCGGATAACGAGTGTCAATCCGAAACTCTTTCAGGCAGCGAAATGTCCGTGAAAGTCCTAAAAACCGTGTCACAAAATACACCTTGAACGACATAAATATCTCCTCCTAAACCAAAATACCGTCTGCACTTGCACTTTGATCGATCGTCGATCGACTCTGTCCGCCTCTCGAACTAGACTCGATGTATCGAACCGGGCACCGGGCGCGCCAACTCGACTTGATTCAAACGTGCGCGCGCAACGGTCCAGAGGCCAAGAGAAACATGAACAAAACGAGAAAACGAAATGAAGGAGAAAAAGTGGTCTATAGGATGTATTCTGAAACAGGTGACGGCAAAGATGAAAGACGCGGAAGGGGTTTGAATTTAACTGGGGCGCGGCGTCGTCGAGGTGCGGTGCGCCAGTATCCTTTTGAGGAGCCACCAGGCCACGAACAAGATCGTGTTGACCTTGACCGCCAGGAGGGTGTAAAGCACTATCTTGAGCACTGTGTTCTTGATGGTGTTGGCCACCTCCTGCAAAAGGAGAACAAGCAATGAAATGCTGCCCGCCTCGGCGACACCAACCACGGCCTTACCCCGGGGGTCGTCGTCGTGGCGAAGCCGATCGCCGCCGTGGACGCGTCCTCCTCGTCGTCCTCGGTGGTCGCGGCCGCCGCGGCCACGACGCTGGTGGACTCGGCGGCGAACACGAGCCTGGCCGACGGCGCGTCGGACGCGCCCAGGGCGCCCAGGGGCATCACACCTGGCACAAGGCATTCTAGTGGCGGTGCACGAGTGGCGGGGTGTGGGGACCGCGGAGGCGTCGACTCACGCGAGATCTCGGGGTGCTGTGCGTGCTCCGGGTGCGCGACGGTGGTGGCGGCGGCCACGGTCGTGGACACGGCGTACACGGCCAGCAGGGCGTGCAGCAGCACGGCGGACCTCCGGTACCTTGGCGTCGGCGACATGGCTGTGTCGCAGGCCGCCACGTCGCCGAGCACGCCGTCAACGCCGTCTAGAGCACCGGCGCGGTGCGGCGCTCCGAAGCGGCCCGACCGGCCACTGCGGCGGCGGCAATGTTTCGGACGCAGGTGCGGCGTGGGCGGGGGCAGATAACAGACTTCGGACCCTGTCTCTCTCGCACTCATGGAGCGTCTCGTAAGGGTGCGAGAGAGACAGAGCGACCAAACGACCCTCCGGAACCCCCCGCCTGCCGCTGGCAGTGCCAAGGCAGTGCAGCCTGCTGCTCAAGAGCGTTTACCCTGCGCGTTTTCCCCATGTGCTTGTTGTGTTGCGAATGCGAGAGTGAGAGAGACTCTGAGAGAGGCAGGGGGTGCGTCGGAAGCAGGAAATTGCGTTTCATTATTAAGGCAGAGGCGAGGGTGAAGGGCGAACGGAGTCGAAGGGCGAAGCGGACGAAGTGACTCGGTCGGAGGGGCAGGACGAAAAGGTCAGGGCCCGCTCCCGCCCAAAAGCCCTCGCCCTCCCTTCGCAATCATTAGGGCCACATTTTCCTCCCCAAACTCCCGAAACCAGTCCAAATTTCCGGGGAAATCCAGTTGGTACAAAAAAACAAAACTCTCGTGAGCATTAAATCATCCTCATTTTTGTAAATTTAAGTTTGGTTTTTATATATTTTGCATTTTGCAAAACTATGTCGTGGATTTTGTTGGGACGGCAGTGTCAGGGGACGAGAGGACTGCAAGACGGACGCGTGTGAGTACGCACTTTTTTTTTTTTTTTTTTTTATTTGAACCAATTTTAAACTCCTAAGAGCTATTGCTCCAATGGGGGAGTTGTTACATTTGTTGGAAGTTGACAGGGCACTTTAGTTTGTGATGAACAGGAAACTCATTGGTGTTTCTTTTAATACAAAAGACAAAAACTCTGCCTCCTCCGTTGTAGGTACATACATATAACAGGTAAATACATTGACAATACAAAGAGCGACGTCCCCGACTCGATGTTGTGTTGCGGGGGCGCCTCGAGTAGAGAGTAAGAGTACATAAAGACTGAGTAACCATGAGCTACGGACAAAGAAATCGCGCGCCTTCTTTATGTACATAATAATAATAATCTTATTATTGTATATCAACTACTTTCTAAATTATTTTGAACTTTTGGGGTCCTCAGTTTTTTGGCAGGGCTACTAGGGGAGCGCAGTCTTTGGGCCTTTCAGGTGAAAGCTAAGCTAAGTTAGCCGACTCGTTACTTTATGACTGGGATGAGAAAGAACAGAAACTGGGCGGCACGGGTGGGGGCGGGCCCTCGGGACCCTCGGGCGGACTAGGGCGGACCGGGGGAATGCCAGCCTTGCCAGCTGCCGTCGCTCTGTCTCACTCGCACTTGCGGAGTTCCTGGGGCCACCCTGGGCCCGCGGCCACCCGGACCGCAATGCACAACCGTACTCAACATGCTGGGAAGGGTGATGCACTAGTACGAACGACGAGTAATTAATTCTAACGTTACACACATAGCAACAAAATAAATAAATCATTCCATAAATAATAAACACGCCTACTATTTGGAACGTTGAACCAAAGTCAGATACAAAAGCCTACATATTTTTTTTTTTCAAAATCTTTTTTGTGCTTGTTTTCTGGCCTTTCCGGGCGATTTAGTTCTTTTTCCGGATCGGCACTGCTCAAACTTGCACCGGTGTGGACGCGTCCTCGTCACCGTGGCCCTTCTTGGTCTTCTGGTAGCAGAGGCAGGTGAGGATGGTGATGTTGCAGAGCAGGTTGCAGACGCAGCAGCAGAGCAGGAAGGACGCCACGACGGACACCAGGAAGGCCAGGTTGAACACGAAGGCGAACCAGTACAGGCGCTTGTGGCAGTAGCCGAAGCCTTGCGGGTTCCACATGCCGTAGTCGTTGTCGGGGACGAAGATGCCGAACACCCACACGCAGCCTGGAACCAAGCGTACAACCAAAACAGTTATTTTTGAATTTCTCAGTATGGCAGTCGGCTCGTTATCGGTGTCCTACCCAGGATCATCCAGATAAAGAGGAACAGGGAGGTGAGCGTGAAGATAGCGGGCTTCTCGTCGTCCTTGAGGTACGACAGCTTCCGGTAGGCGTCGATGGAGGTGGACAAGTGCAGCACGGCGGTCACCACGCCGGTCACGATCAGGTGCATGGGGATGTTGCGGTTGGCGGGGCACTCGTCGAGGTAGATGGCGCCCACCAGGATGGCGGCGTAGGGCACCGTCACGCCCACCAGGTGGATAAGCCAGGTCACCCACTTGCGGCACTTGGCTGCACATAGACCAGACTCACTATCTGCCTACGGCAGGACGCACAGTGGGCCAGAAGACCGGTGGAGGCGGCCAAAACTCTAGACGCGTTTTGAGCTCCAGAGTCGCTACACAGGACTCGAGCCAAACGTGTGACCCCACCAATGGATTCCTCGTTCGAAGAGCAATCCATTGGTGGGGTCACACGTTCGGTTCGAGTCTCGCTTACCGACACTGGAGCTCAAAACGCGTCTAGAATTTTGTCCGCCCCCACCGGTCTTCTGGCCCACGGCAGGATATGTTCGTCCTTCAGATAACCGCTACGACACAATTAATACAAGTTATTCTCCGAAACTCACAGCTTTTGGTGAACTCCTGCGAGACGCGCTTCTTGATGTGCGACAGCTTCCTGTTCATCTTGTTGCTGTCGGGCGTGTTCTCGCCGTCGGCGTACTCCATGGTGACCGTGGTGGAGGTGGCGTCTGCAAGGAAAAGCAGCGTGCATGGTTCAAACACTGTTTTTTGTTTGTGGTTGTTGTTGTTGTTGCTTCCCTGCGACAAAGGACTCACCGTGGGAGCCGTTCTTCCCGTTGTCAATCTTCTCGCCGGAGGACGTCAGCGAAGTCAGGAGGGCTGTTTTGGTCTCGGCCGGCTCAGCCTGCGCGTCGCCCGATGCCTCCACCACCGTCTTCGTCGTCCTGGTCACTTTGGTCACTTTGGCGCTGTCACACACACACAAGCACAACACACCGTCAGCAATCCAACCAGTAATATTTTCAGTTTTCGAGACGCGTCGTGGGGGTGGCGTAGCTCTGTTTCGCGAGTTCGATTTCGAGACCCTTTGTGCTGGTCGCAACAAAAGGGAGCGTGTCGCTGAACGGTCGCGTTTTCCGGCCGGCCCCTTTACGAGGTGGCTGACGCCCCCCCCCCCCCCCTCCCGCGGAGCCAGTCCACCGCGGCCAGCCTGCCGCGCTGCCGCGGCGTTTTCTCCAGAGCCCTAGAACTGGGACTCGAGAGACTCCAGCGCAAGCTCCAGCGCACCCGACGGCACCCACCTGCTCATGGCGGCGGTCGCGGCGGTGAGGCGAGCCGGGGGCCCCGGGGGGCCGTGGCTGGAGAAGGGACTCCCCGGAGACAGACAGTGGAGGTTCGGCTCTGGCGCCCGTCGCCGCGGTATCGCCGCCCTGGAGCGCGCTGGGGCCCCTGGAGTCCCTGCAGTCCCTGGAGTCCCTGGAGTCACTGGAGGCGCGGGCTGCTGAAGCGTAGCGGGGTCTGAGTCGAGCCGGGTACTCCAAGGACACGGTACCTGGCGGCCCTGTCGGCTAGCGCACTCGGTTATTGGACTATCGCTTCACGCCACGCCACGCCACGCCACGCCGTGTCGCGGGCTGGAGAGCGTTGCCGTGGCAACCAGAGCGCCGCAGCCGCACGGAGCGACTAGGCGTAGCTAGGCGTAGCTAGGCGTAGCTGGTAGGCGTAGCTAGCCGCGCGGTGGTGGGGGTAATGCAGGGCCGAGCGAGCCGAGGCGGGCCGAGTCGCTAGCCGAGTACCTCTAGGACGAGGTGCTCTAGGTCCGCGACGGGCCGCGAGGACTCGCCTCGACGCTCGGCCGCTCGGCCCGCGAGGCACGCCCCGGGGCCCCGGGACGCCCCGACGGCACGTAAACAGGAGGCCCGAATCCAAACAAGGGCCCTACACTGTCGAGTCCACGACGCGGACCTCGGGGACGCCGTGGTGCATGCAGCGAAGCACCAGCGGAAAGTACCTGGCAGGAAGTGCCTAGGCGCTGGCTGGCGCGAGTGCCACTGCTATCGGTGCTGCTGCACTGCGACGCTGGGCGGCCAGGGCGTCGCGACGCGGTGCGCGGTGCGCGGTGCGGCTCGCTCGGGTCGGTCGGGACGCTCGCGGGGCGACGGGCGGGCGCGGACTGGATCCGCTGGACGGGACGGGACTCGACGCTCGGCGCTCCGTGCGGACTGGCGGCCGGGCGTCGCGGCGCCGCTCCGACGCCACTCTCCGCAGGGCGGGGCAGGGCGGGGGGGAACGCGTGCGAACCATTTTTGCTCGGTCTCTGTCCCACTTGAGCCGGTCGCAGCACTCATTCGCTCAAGTGTGAGTGGTCGTTGAGCACCACCAGGTTGCCCCTGCCCGGGCGTCGGACAAATGTCGCGTTAAAAAATGACAAAAAATAACCACTCGCACCGAAGAAAACAAAAACAAATCGGCTGTCGGTGGGGATTGAACCCGGGATTTTCACGCGGGTGTCGACACCTGTAGCCACGCGGCTAGGCAGCCTGTCGACGCAGTCATGCACTCCAGTTGTTGCACGCGTCCACAAATAGCAGCAGCGCTTCCGGCGGCAGCGGGTCAACGTCAGCCGACGTCACCCGTCAACCTCGGCCATTAAGACCATTCCAGCGTCCAGGCCGTCAGGGCAGGCCGTCGGGCCGAGCCATCAGGCAGGCCGCCGCGCCGCGGACTGGAGGATGGAGACGGTGTGGCGGTTTCGGCAGCACTCGCCTTCAAACTGCGCGTCGCGTCGCGTCGCGTCGCGGAGTCACGGAGGGTCGCCGCCTTGCCGCGTCGCCGCCTGTCGTTCCGGGGATGGGCCAGCCCGCAACACACGCGCGTCGCGCAGGCGGGCCTGCCCCGCCATTACCATAACCATTAAGGGCTAGACCACACATGATCGTAGGCGCCCTGGCCTGCCCTGGCCCAGCAGACCGATTCCGAGAGGCGCTTTCGTCGCTCTGTCTCTCTCGCACTCATGCATTAGGGGTCCGGTGTTGGTGTGAGAGAGACAGGGCGACGAAAGTGACTCTCTGAATCAGTCTGCAGGGTCACAGTGGACCAGAGGACAGGTGGAGGCGGCCGAAATCCCGGGCGCGTCTTGAGCTCCAGAGTCGCTAAATGGGACTCGAACCGAACGTGTGACCCCACCAACGGATTGCTCTCCGAACGAGGAATCCATTGGTGGGGTCACACGTTCGGTTCGAGTCCTGTTTAGCTACTCTGGAGCTCAAAACGCGTCTAGAGTTTTGGCCGCCGCGCCGGTCTTCTGGCCCACTGCGCGGGCCAGGCCTGGGCCAGGCTCTCTGGAATGGAGCCTGGATCTAGCACACGGGGACCAAGTCCAGCTCCCTCCGGCCAAGAGGTCGATACGTGTCCAAAAAAACAAACAAACAAACAAGAGCCTTATTAAGCAATAGGTCAATTGCGAAAGGACTGCGAGGGGGAGTTGTGTCGGGTGGTGACGGGGGAGTGACCCTCCCCTCGCCTCTGCGCCTCTTTGTCCTTCCTGTAGGGCCGGATCGTCGACCCCGGGCTTGCGCGAGCTAGCGCGAGCTAGCGCCCCTGGGTGGCTTGCCGCTCGCCGCGTTGCCGCCACGGCATGGCCAGGGCCAGCCCTCGCTTGCCGCGCTTGCCGCCAACCCCCGCCGGGCCGGGCCGACGGGCCGGCGTGGCTCCAGTCTGTCGCGACGCTTGTGGCGCCAAACAACCGCCCCTCCGCCCCGCCAACCCGCCCGCCTCCTCCCTCGGCCTACATAGCGCCGCCATAGCGCAGTCCTGCCCCCGATCCGCGGGAGGGGTTGCGTCCGGACAGCGTCGCCAACTCGTGTGTGTGTGTGTGTGTGTGTGTGAGTGTGTGTGAGTAAGTGAGGAGGGGGTTATGGCGAGGGTGGGGGCGTGCAAAGGACGCAAAGGGCTCGGCGCCAACCGTGGCGTGGCGTGCCGTGGCGTGCCCTTTCGCGGGCCTTCCCGCAGGGGCAGCCCTTCCTTTGTCCCCCCCTCGCTGCCCCTCCGCTAATCACACGGCTGGCCTCGCTTTCGCGGCTGTGTCTCTCTCGCACCTTGACGGGACGCCCATTGGTGCGAGGGAGACAGAGCGACGAAAACGACCCTCGGAATCGGTCTGCTGGCCGGCCGCCTGCAGGGTGCATGGGGTGCACTGCGTGCACGCGCCGCACAGTGGGCCAGAAGACCGGTGGAGGCGGCCAAAACTCTAGACGCGTTTTGAGCTCCAGAGTCATTATATGGGACTCGAACCGAACGTGTGACCCCACCAGTGGACTGCTCTCCGCACGAGCAATCCATTGGTGGGGTCGCGCGTTCGCTTCGAGGCCTGTTTCGCGACTCTGGAGCTCAAAACGCGTCCAGAGTTTTGTCCGCCTCCACCGGTCTTCTGGCCCACTGTGCGGCGCACGTCGCGCGTGCTGGTGTCCGCGTGTCCGCCCTCCACCAGGCCGTCGGCGGGCTGATTCGCTCTGTCTCTCTCGCACTCCTGGCGCGTTGCGTGTAGGTGCGAGAGAGACAGCAGACAGCTCACTGCGTGACGCCAGGCCGCATATCGGCTTCCTCCCCTCCGCTCCGCTCCCCGGCGGTGGTGTCATCCACCTAGCCTTTCAATATACTCAGGACAGATCCGTCATCCGGGGAGCCCCGCCCCGCTCCGCCCCGCCCCGCGCTTCCGCGACGAGCTAGCCTCGCGAGGGGCGCCTTTGTCGCTTGTTTACTCGGGCCGCGGGGCGGCGGGCAGCGCAAGCCGCGAGGTGCGAGAGTAGGTCCGGCCGGGGGCGGGGCCGGGGGCGGTGCAGGGGGCGGTGCAGCAGGCGGCAGGGGCACTGTTGCTGCTGCACCACGGCCTGCCGGGCCTGGCCTGCGCGTGGTGGGCGTGGCGAAGCGTGGCGGCGGCCCGCGGGACAGACGGGGAGGGCCCGGAGGGCGTCCCGGAGGGGTCCCGGAGGGCGTCCCGGAGGGCGTCGGGGAGGGTTCTGCAGACTGATTCCGAGAGTCGCTGTCGTCGCTCTGTCTCCCTACGCGGGATTCCCCACGAGTGCGAGAGAGACGAACTCGACTCTCGGAGCCAGCCCGCCGGGAGGGCGGCCTGCACGGCCTGCACGCGATGCCGGAGCCGCGGGCCGAGCCATGAGGCATGGGCATGGCGGCAGCGCGGCAGTAAAGGCCGATAATTTGACCGCGTCCATTCCGCCAACGCCACTCCACTGCTGTGCGTCTCTCTGCGCGCCCTCCGCCCCACAGTGGGCCAGAAGACCGGTGGCGCGTTTTGAGCTCCAGAGTCGCTAATCAGGACTAACCGAACGTATGACCCCACCAATGGATTCTCTCGGAGAGAATCCATTGGAGGGGTCACACGCTCAGTTCGAGTCCCATTTAGCGACTCTGGAGCTCAAAACGCGTCAAGAGTTTTGGCCGCCTCCACCGGTCTTCTGGCCCACTGTGCGCCCTCGCCGCCCTGCCCTGCCCTGCCCGTATCCCTTCATCTGTATTCACTCTCTTCACTCATCTCGCCGTCGCCGCGTCGCCGCGTCGCCGCAGCGGGACGGAGACGCGCAGACGCGGCGCAGACTCACAGGGACTCGTGCCTCACAATGCTAATGGCGATGCCAGGGCGATGCCGGACGGCCGCGTCGCGAGCTTGAGCTTCGTGCTTCGCAGTGCTTCGTGCGCCCACACGAATGCCGCGGCAGTCGCTCCAAACAGCGAACAGTCCCGTCTCTCTCGCGTCCGCAGCGTCCGCGCGGGGCACCTAGGGGCACCCCATGCGCGAGAGAGAGACGGCGAGCTCTGCAGCGCGAGCGGCGCGGCCCCGAGTTCAAGTTACGGTGCACAGCAGCTCGGCAGCGGGCGGCGAAGGCAAAGGTCGAGGCGGTGTCCCGCGTCCCGTGGGTCTCGGTGGCGCCTGCGTCCGCCCGGCCCAACCCGCCACCCTACCCGTGCACTACCCTTCACCCTCCCTCCAGAGCACGGCGGAGCACGATGGGCGGCGGCGGCCGAAACTCTAGACGCGTTTTGAGCTCCAGAGTCGCTGAATAGGACTCGAACCGAACGTGCGACCCTACCGATGGATTCCTCGTTCGGAGAGCAATCCATTGGTGGGGTCACACGTTGGTTCGAGCCTCATTTAGTGACTCAGGAGCTCAAAACACGTGCAGAGTCCCCCCCCCCCGTTCCCGCGTCCGCACCCCTACCCTTGACACCGTGGGCGAGAGCGTAAGGGTGTCGACCTCGCTACCCGCGGGACCGGCGTTCTGTTTTCCCGTTTTTCCCGGAGGAATATTCCGCCCCAGCTTGGGCAGTCGTGCGCCGAAACCTCCCTTCCCGACGTCCACTTCGACAAGGCTGGGGGGGGGGGGGAGTGGGGAGTGCAAATGGACTCCCGCAAAATATGGCCTGTCTTGGGGACACCGCACGCCCTGCCGCCGTGCCGCCCTGCCACTGTAACGCCACGCCGTTGAAGGCTCCCGCCTGCTCCCACTCCGGCGGACTAGTGGACTGTAGGACCCCAGGACCAGTACAGTGGACTGAAGGACTCAAAGGACCAGCACAGCCGACTGTAGGACTCAAGGACCAGTACAGCGGACTGTAGGACTATGTCTCTAGGCACTCTAGGACCCTGGACCGGACTGCGACTGCATAGCTTGAAACTGAGTGACGGTCCCTGGTCTGTAATTTCTTTCCTTCGACAGCTGGAGGCCTGTGGGTTGTCGGCATGACATGACACCCTACCCTGCGTTGCAGAGGAAGCAGGCTGGCCGGGGGAAAAAAGGGGGGGGGGTCTGGGGGAATTCGATACCATGACCAATCCGATGCAGCATAACTGATGTTAAAGCAAGGCCACCATCCACCGTCTCCAACGTGACAACTCTGAGTCCAATGTAAAACAAAGAAGGTGTTTCATAGAGAGGAAATCCAAAGCACATATTTAGTTTCTTTACACCTTTATTTTTAACACTCAACATTGTCATATTTACAGCACAGTACAACAGCCGAATCTAAACATACACCATAGAAAAAATAAAAATGAAATCAGAACTAACATTTAAATGAGGTGATTACCTACAGAAAAATATCTGGAAATGCCAAATTAATTTAACTATAGCTAGAGATGAATAGTTTGGATCTGTTTAAGAATGTGACCAGTCATGTTTTGAAATATGGTTCTGTTGTCAAATGGTGTGTCTGAGCAAAGATGCTCAGAAACAACTGAGGTAGACAAAGGCTCTTCTAGCCCAAAGTGACCGACAAAATCAAGGTTTTGGGTTTACCAAGAACCTTCAATCCACACATGACTAATTTTCTAACCATGTCAAATCCTGCCTGTCGATTAAACATGCTAACATGTTGCATGGTGAAAAGAATCACAATCCACACAAGGTGCATCATAGAAGACTCTTGTCTTACCCATGTGCATCCTTCACAGAGACTGCAAAACATAACACAAAACAATGAAAATTTTTTAAAATCACTAATGCACACTACCCTTCTAATAAATTGCTGTTTAGGTGTCTGTGACAGATAGCGCTGGAGTTATCACTATATTGATTATGAATGACAAGTATCACAATTAAGCTATGAAGAAAGACCGCTCTGCTTTAGCCATTTCAAAGCCCACCAGAGTAGTTGTGGAGTAAAACAATTATCCTTTTGAATAATAAATTAACAGAACTATTTGCACAAATTTCAAGATTTTTCAGTATGAATCTGCACAGGTCTCAGATGCATCAAAATTTACTTCATCAAGGTATATATATCACACATGTCCAGCTGAGGCATCACCACAACACGTTACCACCCATAAATTTAAAAAAGGGCAATAGTTTCCTATTAAATCTATGCTATAGAACACAAAAATGAAAAATAAAATAAAAATCTATTCTTAAGTACCATTCATAAATCAACTCTGGCTTTACAGCACAATCCACCTCGCCAACTTGCCCCATTGTTAACAGCAAAATAATAAAGTCAATCAAATTAATAACACCTTGTAAATGGCAAAACATACATTTAAGCTACTTTGTACAACTGCATGCTCTCACACAATGTTCCTTTATAAGAAATAAATTCTCCCTTAACTTAACAAAGACCCACTCCACTTCAGATTATTGTCTGGTATCATATCCAAAATTCACATTTGAAGACAAGAGAGCAAACTGCCGCCATGTGTGAAGGAGATTCAGAAAAGCCTAAACAAAAGTGCAACGAGGAAAGAATTCCTGCTGAGCATCATCAACAAGACATCTACAACAGGACTGTAAAGTGTAAAGTGTTTCACAAAACAAAATACAATAATTACGTCAACTACAAAATGAAATATCTCAAATCAAAAATGTTGTAGGAAAATTTGTGCATTGTATCTTTCTTAGTCAATTCCCATTACTGATCAAGGTAAGGAAACAGCTTCAAGAAAATTAAAATAATCCAAAATTATTTCAGATTTTACTAGTAAAGCAGAAAATAGAGAGAAAAACTTAAGAATTCAAGAAGGAATGATAGAATTATCACAAGAGGCCATTTCACTTACACCAAATAATAAGTAAGCTGATTTAATAAGTACAGCAAAATCAAAATCAGTTTTTTAAGCATTATGAAACAGTACTATCATGAGCTCCAACCGTTGACCATCAGTTTCACAACCATAGAGGCTCTGTCTGAGTAAACCCTGCACCATCAGAGTTCAATCCTTGACAAATTGAATCCTTGTTGGAACATGTTTGCAGTTTGTGCATCATTATGAGAATCAATACCAAACCTAGAAAATCCCATAAATTTGTTCACCTACTTAAGACAAACTTTGGCTTCACTATTGGTAAGCTTAGCTTACAACAAAAAATTTCTCAGCATTCAATACACTTTGCTGAACAGGAGAGACAACTTTTTAAAGGAGAAGTACCAATCTAAACATAAAATACTGTTGTGTGAATGGCAGACAAAGTTTCTAAACCACCAGGTTCAATCTAAGATTTGAACAACAATTTGTTTTTATGTTAAAGTTTGACGTTTGGAGGTAAAAATGAGATTCTTAAGCTTATTTGACCATTGACGTAAATGAACAATGAAATGTAAACGGAACAACATTGAAGTTCCAGTAATAAACTCTAATATTTTACAAATTTGTCCTGGTAATAAGAGGAACTAAGAAAAAAAGTCACTATAACAAAAACGTTTTAACCAAATTATTAGATAGAAGGCATACAGGCACTTATGAACTTGACAGAGATGATGGTTATATAAATAGTTGACATGAGAGAATAAGTAAGATATAACTAAACCACTACTTACATCACAAAGCAATCGGACCTCAAAAGGAAAAACAAACAAAATTTAGATTAAAATTATCTAAGTTGCAGAAAATGGTCCTTACATGATATTTGTCTACTAAAATAACTCCACCTACCCAATGAATGAGAAGTCAATACTGACTGAACATCTATTTAGGAATATGATGGCATGCATCCAGGGCAACACTCCATGCATTATCAATAAATTCAGAGAGATAACTGTGCATGGAATGCAAAAATACATCCACAAACAGTCAGAACTATTAGTAATGCCAAGAAATAAAAAGTTCTTGTTGATTCAATTCTTGTCACAAAAATTACAAAGTCTGTTGGACAAATTAGGGAACCCAACATTGCCAACATTCAGAATTAAGTTGCAGTTTGTGCTTCACTCCCAAACAAAGTTTTGATTGAACTCCACCAGGGAGTTACTCAGGGTTTTTCAAACTCAATACATCCAACACGAATAAACCATATTCAATATAAAACAACATTATTAAAATCATAAAAGATGAGCAGAATCACCAGCTCCAAACAAGATGTTCAAACTACTCATAAGTGCACCGAAATGTGTCTTCCTGAGCTCCCTAGCTGAAACAACTGGCAAGGGACATAGTCCCATTAGCATCTTCTGTCTTCTTTTATTTTCCAATAGCAGGCACAGCCTACACTTGTTTACAGCTCAGCTCGAGATAAAGGCAGTACTTCTCAACTATGTACCACAACATTTTCAATGTTCAAGCCCATACCTGCAAAAGGAAACAAGAAAAATAGTGGAAGGGTTGAGCCTGCATTCCATATAAGATAGCACAGTAAAAGAAGGCTTACCCTCAATGTACAGTCCCAGCTTCCAGTAGAGAGGGCAGTGCCGTCTGGAGAGACTTGCAAGCAAGAAACTCGGTTTTCGTGTCCCAGTAGTAGACTGACACGTGTGCATTTGAGTGTGTCCCACACGTTTACAGTGTAATCATTGTATCCCGCAAACAACAATCGACCTGAAACCACATTTTTACGATGAAATTAATTATACTTTGACGATTTTAAATTATAAAATAATACCAAAAAGAAAAAAAATGAAAACAGGTTTCTTACCACTGACAGAAAAGTCCACAGAGTTGACACCAAATATTATGCTTTCCTTTGTATATACTGCTACCTCCTTGTCAGCTCGCAGATCAAACAGCCGGCACTATAAAAATAGGAATGAGAAATGTGCATGCTTAGGATGAACAGACCTGCTCAGACCTACTTATGGTACAAGGTACTCACGGTTGAGTCATCTGATCCTGTTGCAACGGCATCCCCACTGGGATGGAATTTTACGCTGTTTATATCGGATTGATGTCCTTCAAACGATTGAACACAATGGCCTGTCCTCATATCCCAAATAAGGACCATTTTATCACAACTCTGAAAATTCATTAATTTTATTTTACATTTTACCCTCTTGTATTGGTACTTAATGCAGATTTGCAGGGACAACTTTACTTACCCCTGAGACAAAAGTGTTCCCAATTTCAGATGGTGCCAGATCCAATGCCATAACATCACCATTGTGCCCATGGAAATTTTGCAGCATTTGTCCAGACTCCACATCCCACAGAGCACATGTTGAATCGCCACTTCCAGTCAGAATCTATGGGTGAAAAGGAAAAAAAATAATTCAATACAGAGGGAAAAGAGAACAAACACATTTGTCTGTAGTGTTAATTTACATACTTGCTGGTCTGAGTTTGGAAATGTGCAACATGACATGTAGCTAGTATGGGTTCCCACAGTCTTCTTCTGAGTAGTAACATTTTCTGCCACAGCTAGGGAGTACACGGTCACTTTGTTGTCCAGGCCCCTAGAATCAGTTACAATTCAATAAGGCCTCTGTATGTAAACAAAATCGTAGACTGCACTTCAAGGAAAAGTCATATAAAAGAAATACACAGGCAGGAAAGTTGGACAATGGACAATGGGCTATAAAGTGTTAGCAGATACCAGTATAGTCATGGATTACAAAAGCAGAATCACAACTCACCCACAAGCAACCAAGTTTCCAGATGGGGCATAAGCACAAGCCATCACCCATGTTGTTGGCATAGTGACAGCATGTTCTTTGTTTGTTGTAAATGCGTCCCATATTATCATCTTACCATCCTGAGAATCCAAGTGAGGCATGACAGAAAGGAAACTTGTCAGGCAAAGAAACCCAGCACCATGAAACCACAGCCCCAAATAGAGCAAAAAGGAACCACAACCACTCAAAAAGTCCCCACACCACTCATGAGAAACCATGCATGAAACATAAAATCAAAACTACTCGCTTGTTGAAGAAAGCAACCTTGACCACTACTAGTATGTCAGTTTAAAACCATCGCATCACCTAAAATCTCAATTATTATTTGTTTGTTCCATTTGTAAATGATTTAATTAAATACCTGAGAAGAGGAAACTATGTGTCGCTTGTCGGCACACCAGTCTGAACAGAGCACTTTGGCTTGGTGACCACGTAAGTATCGCCGAGGTTTAATATTCAGCAGACTTATCATCTCAAGTCTTTCTGCCACATGTGATACTGAAACAAGGCCATATGTGATACGATTAATGATTGTAAGGAAAGAACAAGATGGATGTTTCCAAGGTGTGACATAAAATCATGAACGGATGAACACAAGTGCCACAGCAAGACGCGTCACGTATCAATGAAAAACCAACGGCAATTTTTCAAATTTCAAGAGGGAAGCAGCTTTAAGGTACAGTTTGTCTCATGAAAAAGATAAAATCCATTTACGAAGAGGTATGTTAGGTACGAAACGAAGAGGGCTGTCACAGAGACCCGAAAGACTGGCGCTTGAACAGGTATTGAGGGACTTCCTATGGAAATTAATACTCACATGTAACGTCGTTGAGTTTAAGGCGTTCATCTTCAAGTCGTGCTTTCAATGTATCAGCTTCTTTGATGAGAGATTCCAGATTTTCATCAGGAGTCCGACTTACTTCGCCTGCCATTTTGGATTTTCATGAGATAATTTTGTTTCTAGAGAACAGTCGTCTGCTGTGACGCCTTCTACAAGTGTTTACTGCCCCTGGAGCAGCCAGAAACCTTGCAAAATTTGCTTCAAGGCAGTGAAAAGATGGCGTTGTTTCCACACTGGTCGCCTTCTGCTTGATTCTTCTAACCGGTTGTTATTTATTCTTGATTTCTGTCTATTTCTTCACCTTTCTGTGAATTAAAAGTTGATCCAGATAGGTCTGGCACTTACTTACACTCTATTTTCGGTAAATCCGCTGCGCTAAACTCTTGAAATAAGTCTATTCCAAGTCGGGCGTTATCGTGAAAAATGTCAACATTTCTTCTCTGACATGCCCTCCTGATGATTTTCTTTCTATTTGGCTACGCATTGCGTTTCTTGAATTATTCTATCTGTCCTACCGGCACTATGCGTTAATGAGCTTCAGTTATTTGTTGTAAAATCAATGTACCTCTATTATTTCAATTTGATGATTTGTGGGTTAACTGCTATCTTAATGACTTTATCACTCAAACTTTGAGTTTCCTTAATGTTGTAGGATTAGGCCCCTAGAAAACATTATTTTTTCATTAAAAAAGTGCTTAGCTATGTGACTTTTTGATGCTCATAGTACAGCCCTGTTTGACAGCTATCCAATCAAAGAACGCTTATCAACTGCTTCTATTTGTTGTTGTTTTTTTTTTCAGCTACATGCCACAACCTATATTTGTAGAATGTGATGTTTTTGAAGGACCCTAGTAGTGGATGAATTTTTCACTGTGAGGACTTGACTGAAACTGTTATCATGTGGTTCCTTTCATCTGTGATGACTGGTGTGATCTTGCTTCTTAGTATGGAATATGCTCTACTCAATGCAGGTAAGCATTTACATCTTCCTTTTTCTTATAACACAAATTACGCAAAACTTATGCTTGTCTTTCTGAAAATTTTTTAGTTTCAACGGTCCCTCAACCCTCTGGCTTTTGTGCACCATACAACGGAAAGGTGTGTCGTAAGTTCCTGGCAAGATCGGACTGGGTTTGGTACAATTTAACAGATGATGAAACTGCTGCTGCGGGGTGGCTCAGTGAGCAGATAGTGCAAAATTTATGGGAGGAGATGAATGAGAAATTAAAAGAGCCATGTCGCAGTAATGCCGAAGTAAGTGCTGGTTGTATTCTGAAATACTGTTTTGCTTTTGTTTGTTTTTATGCTATTCTAAATTCATAAACATATTTCAATATTTTCTGTTCAGCAACTACTGTGCACCTATGCTTTTCCAAAATGCACGGTGAGAGGAGGCCATCAAACCCCATTACCTTTATGCAGGGAAGATTGTCTGGCCGTCAGCAAACTGTTCTGTTACAATGACTGGGCACTAGTGGAGGACAACAAACTCACTTTCAAAGCCAAAGGTCCATTTCGACTTCCCAATTGTGATGTTCTTCCCTCCTACATTCCTGTTAAACATGTGCGGAATGCCAATGTCAGCTCTCCTCCGTACCAACCAGAAGGCTCTGTTTGTTCTCCTGCTAATCTGACGGAAGTGAAACATGATCAAGTTACACGGGACTGTATCAAAGGCCGGGGAAGATTTTATCAGGGCTTTGTGAATGTAACTAAAAGTGGCTTGCCCTGTCAGAAGTGGGACGTGCAAGAGCCTCATGAGCATGACAGGCCTCCCAATGTTTTCCCCGAAGTTCAGAATGCGGAGAACTATTGCCGCAATGCTGGCGGTGAAGAGCATGCGCCCTGGTGTTACACAATGGACCCCATAGTACGCTGGCAGCATTGTGATATACCTCCATGTGGTATGTAAAGAAGCCACTGTGCTTCGTGACTACTGGTCTGCAATTAACATTCATAGCACAGGTAATCTTTTATTTTCCCTTTACAGAAAATACTACAGACGCTGTATTGCAGGATTTGGAACTTTGGGACCTTAAAATGGATGACCTGTTTTCTCCTGCCTTCATCTCGGTGTTGGGTATGATTGGTTTTGTGACACTTGCCCTCACTCTCTTTTTATTGATAGCATGTTCCCGATTGATCAAGCGGCGCCTTCAGAATGGGTACACTCCTCCAGCAAATCAAGTAGGTTCTCAACAACATTGGGAAGAAATGACTCTTGACATTTTCTATTTGATAATAATGGCTTTCTCTTTCAAGGATCTTAATAATATTGATCTTGACAAGCTACCAGACAATATGTCTTACCATCGCACTGGGGCCCAGCTAAATCCTAAATTGGAAAAACTGGAGTTTCCTAGAAATGATATAATTTATATCAGAGACCTTGGGCAAGGGGCCTTTGGCAGGGTCTTCCAGGTATGCCCCGCTTTGCTCCCATAATTTTTTTTTTTTTTAACAAATATGGATTCTGGATGTTAATTAATTATTTTCTTCTCAGGCTAAAGCACCCGGACTCATTAAGGGGGAAGAATTCACTCTTGTTGCCATAAAAATGTTGAAAGATGAAGCATCGGACGATTTACAGGTACAACTCAATTAACATGCCTTTTACCTTCAAATAAATTTCAAGTATTTTTTCAAAATCTGTTTTTACTTGTGAAAATTGCAGAAAGACTTTGAAAGAGAGGCTTGTCTTCTGTCTGAATTTGAACATCCAAACATTGTCAAACTCCTGGGGGTGTGTGCCATTGGGAGGCCGATGTGCCTTCTCTTTGAGTACATGGGCCGAGGTGATCTGAATGAATTTCTACGAAGTTGCTCTCCTAGTAACTACATTGTTCGAAGCTCTGATGGCGAAAGGTCTGTAAAGGGCTCTCAAACTCTGGCTAGGGTGCTTTCAATGTGACATTTAAAACTTGATGTGTAATGTTCCCCTTCTTCAATTCACAGGGATGTCTTTCGAGATGTGCAGTTAACACCATTGGATCTTCTCAAGATATCCATTCAGATTGCTGCTGGTATGAAATATCTCTCTGACCGGAAATTTGTTCATCGTGATCTAGCGACCCGCAACTGTCTCATCAATGACCAAATGGTTGTCAAGATTGCAGACTTTGGTCTGTCTCAAAAGATCTATTTACAGGATTACTACAAGGGAAATGAACATGATGCTATTCCTGTACGCTGGATGCCTTTAGAAAGCATCATGTACAATAAGTACACTGTTGAGTCAGATGTGTGGGCATTTGGTGTCTGTCTCTGGGAAATATTTTCCTTTGCTCTGCAGCCATATTATGGAATGACGCATGAAGAGGTTGTCAAGTACATTAAAGATGGTCACACTTTACAGTGTCCAGAAAATACTCATCGTTCAATCTTTGAACTCATGCGATCTTGTTGGAATTTAAAGCCGACTCTTCGACCTAGTTTCCACGTTCTTTATGATAATCTGGAACGCATTCACGATGACATCCAACGTTCGTGTAGCTACGGAAATCTGCCTCCTCAAGTACATATATGAGAAGAGCTACCCGAGCGCGTTGGTCATTCATCGCGCAAGGGTTGTGTGCTTATGTAAGAGTCCATACCTAAATCATGGTTTAAGCGTGCATCATTTTATGTGATTTTTATGTACCAGTTTAAAACATAGACTTGCAGTAACTTTTCTCGAATGATTGGAATGTTTAATGATTAGGTTTTAATGCGGCCAATGTAAATAATGCAGGCTACATCAGACGCCATTAAAGTAACTTTTTAGAATATACTGTATATTCTATATAGAAGTTCAGTGACATGAAAATGACTTGATTCATTTACCTTTTAGCACTTTTTTCCTATTATTTGTCATGTATTATCCAATTCATACTTGTTTTGCAATTGGTTTCTTCCATTTTTTATGTGGAAACATCATTTTCATTGATGGTCTCAAACCCTGTACTCCTGTAAGATGTTCTGGCCAAATTTTATAACAGATAGGACTGATCTCAATTAGAATTTTCCTGCAAGGACATTTTTACTTAGTTGGCATTTGTATAAAGTGGCAATTCTGATTTACCACACTGCTTTTCATCAAAATGTCAATTACTATTTTATGTACAAATCCCTTTAATGGATCTTCCAAGTTGACATTCCAGTAATTTTGACTCTTACTCTCTCTTTATTATAAGGACACTTTTTTATGTGGATACATAAATTATTTCTTGAAGAGGAAATGGGGGGAATGAATCTCCACTGCCCTTTCAAAGCACATTAAGTGCATTTTATTTCTGATCTGTGTATCTGGTATGTTTAAACTACTTTTACATCACTATGATCATCTCTATGTGACATGTTTGTGTGGGCCTGAAACTGAATCTTTGGCCAAATTGTTACCCATTATCTTTTATCTAACTTGTTTACCCTGTTTTAAGAAATGGTGTGTCACTGTAGTGTGAAAGGTGTGCTCATTTTAAATAATCACTGTATTTGTACTGTATATTCTGAAAGTGTGCGCCTACCCTGTAGTGTATGTGTGTTCGAATATTTACAATGCTTCTGTTTCGTATCTTGCTAATACACTCTTTGTTAATACAAAGGTTTCAGAATGCTGTCTCCAGAGTATTAGTTGTGACATGAGACTTCTATAAAGAAACTTTAATCTCTTGTAAGTCATTATTTAATGCCAAAACAAAGCCAAAATCAGTAGGTCTTTTTGGAGAATGACCAAATTTACTGTAGAATAAGGTTTGTTTCCAGCATCATAAATGCATTTAATAGCATGTGGATACTATAGTTTTATTATTCCAGAAGTATTTTTCTTTACTTTATAATCATTGTATGATGTATACAAATATTTTCATTGATTGTGGAAACCACTAAGAACACTTTGTCTGGTATATTGACTGTTGCCTGATACCCTTAAATGCTTTACTCGGCAACATTTATATTGTGTTAAGCATTAGGTATAAGCAATACTGGTAATATATGCATGGTTGATTTCCTTTTTTAATCTTTAATGATGTAGTGGCAACATATGTTGGGGCTTATGTTGGCATGAACTGCATTCTTACCTGTAAATGTGTGTATGATAATGTAATTTGAATGTGAAACAGGGAACTTTAACTTTCCTGTACTGTGATGATGATGTTTTTGTGTTTGTAAGTTCCTCAATATTTCTTTTCATCTCTTTTGTAACTTTCCTAATGTCTGGTACTTAATTTATGGCATTAGGTATGTGTTTTCTGTCTTGTTCACTTTTATTTGCTTCATGTTATGTTGTTTTTAGTGTTTAGTGGCATATCGAAGGATTATTGTTTTGTGATTATTCGTTTGAAGTTTGCAATTGTTGCATATCGCCCAGCTGTCGGGGTTTTTGTTGTTGTTTCTGTTAGTGTGTGTGGCTTGTCAGCAATGCTTTTCATGTGGCTGTTTATGTTTTATCCTGGGTTTGCACTCTGTTTGGTTATTTCTTAGCACTGAATCCCATGCAGTGATCAAGTATCATGCATTGTCTATGTCGTACCTCTTTTATGCTCAATAACTCACGACATGACTGAATGAAAGGATATATGAATGAATGGGTGGATGAATGGATGAACAATAGTGGTGTCAGTTTCTAACTCAAACAATGAATTTGCTTTCTTGTGTACGTTCTCAGAGAAGAGAGTGCTGAATTGGTTCTTGTTTCTAGCTACTTTGACTGAGCTGGCCATCTTTCTTTAGTTCAGGCCTCAGGAAAGGATTCCATCCAAAACCTCAATTCATTATTTTTCAATGGTTGATGCTTGGATGGAATAATTTCCTAAAGACCTGCTTGGTCAGAATTTGTCTCACAGCAATTCTGAAGCTTACATTTACATAAACAATTCTGTAAATGTATTGCTCTTTCTTGACTGATACAATTTTTTTAAAATTGTAAGGTGGATTTATTTTCTACTACTTTGTTGTAGTAAAGCCGACTGCCTTACATTTTCCCCATTTGACTGTAATACTGATTTTATTTTCTGTGAGATACGGGGAGGGATTTTCTTTCAGTTCATTGATTAAAAGAATCCTTCCATCGCAGAATCTACTCAGCACTGAAAGAAGAGACAATAACCTTCATTGAAGGTATTGGGACCAAAGAAAATCTGCACAAGCTAGCAACATGAAACCTTTTGCTGAAAATTCTTAGGTGGAAAGATTCACTGTGGAAGTTTGGTTGTAGCTATTTGGTACTCTGAAATTTGATTGTCAGGAAGTTAAGGTTTCCACTTTTGGTTTTAGTGCTTTTTAATTTAGTGAGTCTCTAGGTAGTGCAACATGCCCTGCTTCAGCCATAATTGGCAATGCGCACATATAAGCCATGTTAATGTGTACATATCTGCATTGGAAAGATGTGCGTACTTTATTTGTGTTTAATTTACCTGATGCTCTTTATAACTTCTTCCGTCTAGTCATACAATACATTCATGTTGGACATCACAATTTGATTAAGCAAATTTTTTGTGATACCGTTTGTGTTTCATTAATAAAATGTGTGGCCAGTCCTGATAAGAGTTTCGGCTGATTTGCTTCCTTACATTTACCTGAGCCAATGATATTGGAGAAATCACTACTCAAGATATTGAGATCATAATTTATTACCATAAGAAAAATATGTACAAATTAATTCGTGGGTTAACAAAAAGGAAATGGAAATTCTAGGAGAAGTACAGAGATGTAGATACAATGTCAATCAGTCAATTAAGGCTCATAGAGTAAAGTACATGCATTTTGAGAGTCAATTTCATAAAACACTCATGCATAATGCAAGATGTAAGTCTTGTGAAGAAAATTCCTTCTCTGTAAGCATAACACTGTGACACCAAAACGGGCGGAAAACACAAGACTTTTCAGTAAATTATCATCCAAATTGGAGGATGATTTTCAGTTCATAATTATATCACAAGATTGACTGATAATATTTCTATCCAGCCTTTTCCCCGCGCAAATGTTCACAGACTTTTATGGACCACATGAAAAATTAAAAACTCAATGAATTAGGGATGTGGAATAAATGAAAATAAATATCACAAAAATTTTAAAAAGAGGGAAAAATAAACACCAGAACTATCCTCTAATTCTGCTCAAGGTAAATCAGAAAAGTTGCTCGTTCAATCTCAACTTACATGGACGCTTCAAAGCAACAACTAACTAAATCCATGACATTTCACCACCTGGCAAGTTACAGATTTCTAGATACATATTATTTAGTAACCCTTTAATACAGATTAAGCACATTAGTAATTTTACAAAAGCTAACTAAAAGACATCAAGAAAATCTTCTAATAAGATCTTAGAGGAAAATGTAATTGGAAGTTAAGTACTAGACAATAAAGAATACAGTGCTGACTACAAGAACACACAATGAAATGGTATGCTGCCCCTGTTTCTACTGAAGCACTACATGTACACAGTAATGAAAACTACTTGAGACTGGAATCACTAAGGGATGAACTTTGAGCAGATGGGATATAGCACTACAGTGTGTTGTTCAGTCTCAATTGTTATGAATTTCAATAATGAGAGACATACAAGGAAAGCATCTTAAGAAACATTGGGGGGAATCAAAGTCGCTCTCTCTTTCAGTCATGGTAAACAGCCCCTAGACAGTCATAAGCCATGTTTTTTGGTTGATTATTTTTTGTAAACTAGGAGTATACATGGCATTCCTCAACAATAACGGAAAAACCTAGGAAAAAAATGACTATTCTCTCTTAATCACAGTTTTTTAGAACTGCAGCTTTATAGTTAAAGTATCGAGTTGGACATCAATTGCATACGAATAAGATACATTGGAAATGACAATACAATCGTGTGCAATGCACCAATTATCAAACACTCATCCATGCACACACCACTTTCACTTCCACACATTTATAAAAAAAAAATGGTAAGAGCCATTTACTGTAATGTTGCTTGACGCTCGTCAGAAATAAACTCACAAGTTCATTTGGTCAATTTTTTCCAGTAATAATTGACAAAAAGACAACAAAAAGTTCATTGTGATATGTTATCCCAAGTAGAACACAAAGTAAAAACTATGAAGTCCAGCTGACACACCTTGGCATGCCAGAGATAATACCACAGTAGCTTTTTGTTCCACCTGGGATGGCTGTCAGTTGACAATATCTTTAACTGAAAACCATTCTACTTATCTTCATGTGTTCACAAATAATCACGTACAGTCCGGAGGGAAATTAAGCATTTAAAGATGACTGTTACAATAAATAATGACAAATCCAAATTCTTGATCACTTATTTATGTTATGGCAAAGAATAGTAAAGAATCTTTGGCTACGATGGCCGGGTAAAACGGCGCCATGGGAAATATTTTGAGCAGATCGAACATTAATTTCTATGTCCAAACCTTGGAACAATATCTTTTTGAATCCAGAAGTTGCAATTGGGATATTCATTCTTTGGCAGTGTGTCCTGGTCGACCACAAGCACACGGCCACTGTACCTCTCGCTACCATGGTGTAGCTCACCAAATCTGACAAACTGATAAAAGAGTTGTTGCATGGCAGTGATGTAGCGACGTTCCTCAGGTGTGGCTCCCTCAACCCTGCCCATGATGGCAGCAACATCAATGCCCAGCTCAGCAAGAGGCTCCTGGTACTCCAGTTCATCCTCAGATTTGGAGACTGCAAAGGAAAACGGCATCAAGTTAGAATCAGACATATCTGATTGGGAAAACAAAACATAAGATGGCAAAATGGTCAAAAACATGTACAACTGTGGTAAAAATACAAAACAAATAACTCTGAAAGAAGCATTTTCTATTAGGAGATGGAGTTTCCAGGAAAAATACCACAAAGCAGAACAAGTCTTTCAAGAAACCCGAAATTAGGTTTGGTAAATGTAAAGGAACTGCACTAGTAAATTATACTAAGACTAAACAATAAAGTCTGATATTTAAAAGGAAAAACATATGCATGGAACAACATGCAAGAAGCCCACAAAAACAATCAAGGGAACCTACAAAGGGATTTACCTTCACAGTCTACAGGTGGGGCAGGCCACTTGGTCTTCCCGCTTACACGCTTAGTAGGGATGTTTGACCATCGACCCCTCCCGCACCCCTTAAAACCTACGGGTTTTAAATTAAAAACGTCTTGTTATATTTTTTAAACTACCAAATAAAAAATAGAAAACCAAGAGCTTCTACTGCTTTGAAATTTAAGAGGCCATGGCCTAGAGGGACTTTTCAAGAATAAATTTTATGAAATGAAGCATTTTTAACATCAGCCAGAGAAGAATAGACTACAGACACTTCTGGGAAGACTTACCACTAATAGGGAAAGTTGCAACATAGAAGTATGCAGATGTGGGCATCTTGGTTGCCATGGCATTGAGGGGACACACAGTGCGGATGTCAGAAACCAGAGAAGCAAGTCCAGACCATGTGGCATTGTAACGGTTGATAGCGTCCTCAGCAACCTTTGCCTCCCCTAGGACACTGTTCTCAATGTGGCTTCGGACATCCTTCTCAGCACCATCGGAAACATTACGGTACAGCTCAACACTGGCATCCGAATGGGCAGTTGCACCTATTTCAAACAGAAGTTTGTTAGATTCCTGATTGAGACAAATATTACAGTTTGAATGAAAAAATGGTTACCAATGACGATTTGCAGAGCACCAGTGCCTTCTGTCTCCCATTTCTCCCACACTTCAGAGGGGTGGTTACGCAGCAGGTCTCCGTCAAGAACGAGCCACTGATGAGGAGATGGCATGCCATTGGTCGAGACAGGAGCGGGCAGGTCAGGAGTAGTCGGCCTCCATTCCGCAGGCATTGCATCCAAAAGGTCCTCAACATCAATTGAGCGTAAGCACTCAGCAGAAACCTCATCAGCTGCAACCAATTAGAATGTGAATTCAGTAGCAGGCCTAGAAAAGAGCCGTGCATCAAAATAGAGCAGAAAGAAAACCTTACCGGTAGAATTTTTGTTGTTGCATTGACCACGAAGTTTCTCAAGGAAAGGTGCGGCATCATTTTCCGACTCAGAGAGAGGGCGTCCAGGGAAGTCAGCAGAACCACTTGTCACCCACACACGCTTCATCAAGCCTATATATTCAGAATAAATTAATTTTTGAAACAATTTTATGAGAAAAGTTTTGAAAAATGTGGTATAGCGCACCTTTCGATGAAGGGGATGATGCTAAAGCTGTTACCAGTGTAGCACCAGCACGGTATCCAAGAACAGTTACGGCATTGGGATCCCCTCCGAAAGCAGCAATGTTGAGCTTCACCCACTCTAAGGCCATCTTAATGTCAGAGAGACCATAGTTTCCACTAGTTTGAGGATAGGCAGATCGAGATAAGGATTTGGTTGAAAGGAAGCCGAGAACCTGAAAAATTAACCCAGAGTCAAACGTTACATGAAATTTAAATGACGGTGAAGAGGAAGGAACATTTAAAAGAAACAACAACTTACTCCCAAACGGAAGTTGGGCCTGACGAAAACAACTTCCTTGGCACGAGAAAGCTTGGCTGTTGGTTGCAGGAGCGGAGTAGTTGAGCCTCCAGTCATATGAGATGACCCAACAACAACGACAACTGGAAGAGGGTTCTCAAAACTCACTTGAGGAGTGTACACATCCAAAGTCAAGCAGTCTTCAGCTCCATTCACTGATTGCTAGAGTACAAGATTGTTTCACCAATAAGTTCCCAACATCACAGAACAATAAAGAAATAAACAAAGGAATAGAACAACAAGCTTACATCTTCAGGGAAAATTTGCCAGCAGAAGTTTGAAGCGTTGTGAGCAGTGAAGGTACCATTCCAACAGTGTTCCAAATTGTCCAACGGTTGGGCAGGTTTCCAGCGGAGCTGACCAACGGGAGGGCGTGCAAAGGGAATGCCTCGGAAAGTGTAAGCCCCACTTTCGAGCAGGCTGCAAAACAAGTGTGACACAATTTAGAAACAGAATGGACACGTTGAAAAGGAGCATTGCGAGCTTTTGACTCCGACTGGGACTGACCCTTGCACCAGTCCGCACGAGGTGGTGGCGAGGGCGAACTTCCCGTTGCCGTCGGGGATGGGCCCGCGCGCGAAGTCATGCCGCGGCCCGGACACGGCCACCGAGATGATGGTGATGAGCAGCACCACGAAGACGGCCACGCCAGCCACCACCAGCTTGTGCGGGTAGGCGCGCACGCGCTCCATCAGGGGCAGGTTCTTGTTGGCGGCGGCTGCGTCCTTGTCCGGGTCACCCTTCTCCTGCAAGAAGACGCGAGTCAGCTCCACCAATCCACAGCAACCTGCACGGGTAGGAGTCCCTGGCCGGGCCGTCTCACCTCGGCGTCGAGCTGCACCGTCTCCATGCCGTCGGCGGCGTCAGCCTCGTCCTCCTTGTTCTTGCTCTTGACGACCTCCACCACCTCCAGGCCGGCCTCCTTGGCCTTCTGCAGGTGCTTCTCCTTCTCGGCGAGGGCCTCCTTGTCGGCCGCCTCCTGCACGGGGGTCGTCTCCTGCGCCGCGCCTTCCTCGCTGGTAACGGTGGGGCCGGCCTCCACGTCCGTGGCCTTCTTCTTCTTGCTGAAGGGGTTGGCCAGCTTGAGGCTGGCGAGGTGGGGCCGCAGCGCGGGCATGGCGGGCATGGCGGGCAGGTTGGGCACGCCCTTGGGCATGTTGGGCATGAGGCGGCGCAGGCTGCGCTGGCACCGCGGCCCGAAGCCTTCGCGCGCGCCCTCCGCGCCCTCGGCGGCCTTGTCCGCCGCCGCGCCGCCCTGCTCCAGCAGGTCCACGCCCTCCTCGGGGTCCGGCTCCTGCACCAGCAAAGGGGCACTCAGTTGCGGCGCCAGATCCAAATTTGAAATTTCCCAGAGTGGCCAAAATTCTAGACGCGTTTTGAGCTCCATAGTCGCTAAACAGGACTTGAACCAAGACTGTGACCCCACCAATGGATTCCTCGTACGGAGGGCAATCCATTGGTGGGGTCACACGTTCGGTTCGAGTCCCGCTTGGCGACTCTGGAGCTCAAAACGCGTCTCGGGTTTTGGCCGCCAGTGGGGTGAAGGGCGGCGAGGGGATTCGGCACCCTCAAGGGCCTCAAGGGCCGCAGGGCGAGTGGTGAATCACGCTCCCCTCCCTTCGCCGCGATGGTGATTCACCGACCGAATCACGCATTGCCGAGCGAAAGCCTTTGCCCGGCCTTTGCGAAAAGCGCTGGCCGCCGCCGGGATTCGAACCCCAGCTCGACCCACCTTGCCCTTGTCCTTGCCGCGGCGCTGCAGGAAGCCCGGCATGCGGATGCCGCCGATGGGCACGCGGCCCTTGTCGTCCTTCTTGGTGGCCTCCTCCAGGGCCTTGCGCTTCCGCTCCACCTGCGCCAACAACAACAACATGGTCAGCAACAACAACACTTCGGCCGGCACCAAAACCACCACGCGCCGCTCACCTCCCCGGTAGACACCTTGGCGTCGGCGGCCTCGATGGTGTCCTCGCCGGCCTCCTTGGCCTTCTCGTTGGCCTCCTCGGTGTGCTTCTTGTTCTCCTCGTTGAGCATCATCTCGCGCTCCTCCTCCTCGATCTCCTTCTTGTCGTCCGTCTTCTCCACCTTCTCGGCCGCCTTCTCCGGCTTGTCCAGCTTGTCCTCAGTCTTGGGCTCCAACTCCATGCTGCTCATCGCGGCCTCCTCCTGGAACAACGACGCGCCGCGGGGTGAGCAAAAACGACAACAACAACAACGACAGCGACGCGGACGGTGACACCGTTAGGCCCTCCCGCCCACCGCGCCAATTAGCTCATTGCACACAGCAGACTGATTCCGAGAGTCCCTTTCTCTGTCTCTCTCGCACTCATGGAGTGGCCCGTGCAGGCGCGAGAGAGACAGAGGAGTCTCCAGTTGCAGCAGGAGCCGCGGCGGGAACAGAAAAAGAGCGTCGCCGCGGTGCGGGGGCGAGGCAGGGCGTGGAGGGGCGGGGCAAGGCGTCCAAGCCAGCTACGCCACTGGGGAAGACCGAGACGGAAGGACCGCGGTACGTGCCTCCGTGCCTCGATTCCACGTCCTTCGGTCTTAGCGTCCACCTTTTCTATTTCGGTCACACTATTGCCCCGCCCCGGTTTATCACCCCCTTCCCTTCCCCCGGAGGACAGGACCACACAAGGCAGTCGCCCAACGCCCCGCACAGTGGGCCAGAAGACCGGCGGAGGCGGTCGGAATCCCGGACGCGTTTTGAGTTCCAGAGTCGCTAAATGGGACTCGAACCGAGCGTGTGACCCCACCAATGGACTGCTCTCCGAACGAGCAATCCATTGGTGGGGTCACACGTTCGGTTCGAGTCCTGCTTAGCGACTCTGGAGCTCAAGGCGCGTCTAGAGTTTTGGCCACCTCCACCGGTCTTCTGGCCCACTGTGCCCCGCCGCGCCATCGGAAGAACAACAAGAATGCGGCCATTGCGGCGGCCGCCGTCTAGACCCGCCTATTCACACGCCACTGCATCGTTTCGTCGCTCCGTCTCTCTCGCGCCTGCACGAGACGCCCTGTGGGTGCGACAGAGACAGAGCGAGGAGACGGTCTTTCGGGAACGCTCGGCTGGCAGACGATGGGAGGGGTGGCGTGTATGGTAAAGGATACGTGAAATCCACTTACAGCGGACGTTGCCGCCTGGTGCCACACACACACACACACTCACACACACTCACACACACAAGGGGTTGTTCCTGGGAAAGCACAGCAGACGATAGCCAGGCCCTTGGAAATGCCCGCCTGTAGTGCATCCCAATTTTTCTATTTTTTGACCGAGTTTTTCCGACGCCTTAATCAGATCTCTGGGTTGTTATGATTAGGACCGGGCCGGAGGGGAGGGGGAAAGGGGGGGGGGGCGCCACCCAGCCCTCCCCTTGCCCGCTCCTCAACTTGTGAGACTTCGGCCAAGAGGGCGAGAACCGACAGCGTCAAAGTCCAGCACGGCCTGCTGCAACCGCTGCTGCAGCCTGCCGCCGGCCTTCAGAAAGCCCTCGAGTGCACTCAGTGTATACACCGATGCACATGGGAAGGTACAAACTTCCATGTATTCCACGGGCTCCGCCAAGGCCAACAAGGCCTCCAGTGGCGCGGCGCCGCTCTTCTCCAGGCACTCCAGGCGGCACAGTGGGCCAGACGACCGGTGGAGGCGGCCAACCTCCCGGACGCGTTTTGAGCTCCTGAGTCCCGAAATGAGACTTGAACCGAGCGTGTGACCCCACCAATAGACTCCTCGTTCGGAGAGCAATCAATTGGTGGGGTCAAACGTTCGGTTCGAGTCCCATTTAGCGACTCTGGAGCTCAAAACGCGTCTGGAGTTTCGGCCGCCTCCACCGGTCTTCTGGTCCACTGTGGGCCGGGCCCTCCACTGGAGAGGGCTGCATCAGCGACCTTGGAGCCACAAGGCTTGCACAGAGGGTGTTGAGTTCCTAGAGGGAGGCACGGAACAGGCATGCCCTCTCCCACATGACTAGCCGAAAGCTGAAAAAATCCTGCGATCGTAGGACTCAGTTCATCGTTTCCGCGCATTAACATTTTTAATTGTTCCAGGAAAGCCTGGCAGGGTATGATGGCGCCGCGGTCGCACAGGTGCAAAGTGCAGCTCGACTGCTACACCGTGGCTACACCACACGGACACCGGACACGGCGGGGCGCGCGGCGGTTCACGCAGTCGGACACGCGCTCCAAGGGAACGGCTGTCCCACTCCTGCGCGAGCGAGACAGACACACTAGTGCGGGCCACGCCGCGGCCACGCCCTGCTATTAGTAACGGCCCCAGTAACTCACGGGCAGACGACGAGGGAGCCACCCCACCCACCCCACGGAGGGCCCACGGGGCGCGGGGGCGTCCTCGCACTATACTAACAGCGATTCATTTTTCCATATCCACGAAGAAATTGGCTTTGAAGGACAAGTCGGATAGTCGGATGACGTCACTGCGTTTGTTCCACCGGTGCTTCGTGGAGAGGGCCTGCTCCACGGCGGCAACGCAGCTGGCGCGGACCGCCGGACTTCCGGCGGCGCCCAAGAATGCGATTGAAAGGGGGGGGGGCTCGCGGGGGCTCCAAAACGCCGTCCTGGCTGCCTCTGCCTCCAGCTGGCGTGCCGGCCGTGCAGGCCGTGCCGCTTCCCCTCGGCTGGCGTATTTTCGTACGTTTACGGCAGCGGCTGGGGAACAACGAGGAGGGCAGAATTAGCCCACTGACTGGCTGCAGCGAAGGGCCAGGGGGCGAGGGGGCTGGCCAAGGGGCCTTCTGCTCGGCGATCGCCAGCGCCAGCCCCGCGATGGACCACTTCCCGCACCCGGCATGCCGCCACTCTAGACGCGTTTTGAGCTCCAGAGTCGCTGAACAGGACTCGAACCGGACGTGTGACCCCACCAATCGATTCCTCGTTCGGAGAGCAATCCATTGATGGGGTCACACGCTCGGTTCGAGTCCCATTCAGCGACTCTGGAGCTCAAAACGCGTCTAGGATTTTGGCCGCCTCCACCGGTCTTCTGGCCCACTGTGCAGCTGGCCCGGAGGTGGCTGCGAAGCCGCCAAGGCAGTCAGTCAGCTGCCTACATTTGAATACATCGGGCGCAGCGCGCAGCAAACTCCCAAAGTCAGACCAGCTCGACATCCGTCGAGATTTTTATCAACTTTGCGGCGCCGGTGCCCCCGACAGCCCCTCGGCACCGCACGCCCCCGCGCCTACACGACGGCCTGCACGACGGCCTCCTCGGCGTGCTCTGCTGCTGCTGCCTGCTGCTTGCCCCCAATCACGCAATTAGTTTGACAGTTGTAACGCGAGGGGCGTGGCGGGCGTGGCACCGTTCCGGTTCATGACCCCCGCCAGCCACAAGGCCGGGCCGCCAGGCTGCGACATGCATAGTGCACACAGTGCACACAGAGCGCCGCTTCGGCGCCAGGCCCGCCAGCCCGCCCCGCGCACAGTGGGCCAGAAGACCGGTGGAGGCGGCCAAAACTCTCGACGTCTTTTGAGCTCCACAAGGGACGCCCCACGAGTGCGAGAGAGGCAGAGCGACGAAGACGACTGCATCTTGCGATGCCCTGCGGTGCGGTGCTTCTGCGGTGGAGGCTGACATGTGCAAGGCAGCAGGCAAGCCGGCAAAACAATTCCCCCCCCCCCCAAGCGGTGGAGTGGGGCGAGTCCAGCGAGATGCGCACCTGCTTCGGGGAGAGCGTGAACGAGAAGCGAGTCCCCTTCACTGGCTCGCGCCTCGCGCCACGCGCCGCCACGCAGTGGCTTTGCCAGAAGACCGGTGGAGGCGGCCAAAATTCCGGACGCGTTTTGAGCTCCAGAGTCGCTAAATGGGACTCGAACCGAACGTGCGACCCCACCAATGGATTGCTCTCCGAACGGGGATTCCACTGTCCTCCGCTCGCTTAGGGACGGCCCCCCAGATTTGCGCGCCAAGAAGAGGCCGGGCTAGGCCGGCAGTGCGGCACCCGGGCAGGCAGAGTGTTTGCACGCGCCACCTGCGGACCACATTGAGGCCTACACTGCCAGAAACTCGGCAGGGGCGGTGCGCCGCCGCTTTACGTTTTCGACCGAGGGGGTATGCGCTCTCTGAACCTGTGTACCGACTATTACGCTATTACGCTCTATTACGCCACAAATTAATCGGAATTTAGCTAAAAACGGCCTAAAACACACCAAAATTGGTAAAATTTTGACAATTTCGGCTATTACGCGACTAATACGCGACTAATACGCGACTATTACGCGTATTATTACGCGTGCTATTACAGATAGAGTGAACCGACTATTACGCGAGTGCATACCCCCTCGTTTTCGACGGTTCCCTTTTCGGGACGCGGGGTTGATCTGCATGCAGCAGAGGCCGGCAGGGGCCGGCGTCAAGGCCGGCATTCGTAGTCATAATGTGGCGTCGTGTGCCGTGCCCTGGCGGTGCCCTGGCGGTGCCGGAGCGGGGAGTTGGGGTGTGGACTGGAGGGTGACGGGCCGCGGCAGGCGGCGGCAGGTGAACTACCTGTCGAGCACCCTGCGAGGAATACTTTCAGAAAAAATAATTAAGAGGTATTTTTAGATAACGGTCCTGATTAATGGTGCGACGGGTCAGCGCGGCGTGCTCCACTGGCTGCGCGTGGGGCCGGAAGGGGATGGCACTTCCGGTCAGCGCGAGGTCAGCCCCCCCCCCCTTCCCCCGAAAAAACAGTCGCTCCCGGTCATTTGCCGCCGTGAGCAGCGCTCCGTCGCGCTGTCTCTCTCGCTCTCATGCGGGACGCCCCACGAGTGCGAGAGAGACAGAGGTGGGGAAATTTGGCGCACCACTGTAATGGGGTGGGGAGGCGACGCTGAGGGGAGCAGAAAGAGAGAGACGGTGGGGTGGGAAAAAATGGGGTTCATTTTCTGGAAGGGCGGGGCAAGGCGGGGCTAGGCGGGGCCGGCTCGACAGGGAGACCATGTGTTGAGTCGAGGTTCCGAAAAGGGTGGCGGTGGCGCGGCGTGGCCTCCGGGCTAAAGTAAATCACAAAAAATAATCCCAACGCCGTTTCTGCTGATTGCAATTCCAGGGGTTGCAGTCCCTGGAGCCGCTATTCAGCAATGCAGAGCGAGATGAGGCAAAAGCGTCATCCCGTGGAGGGAGCGCCTCGGGCAGCGGGCAGCTCGCGGGCCGCCACCCGCCACACCCTGGAACGCCCCGGACCAGGAACAACCCGGCCGGCCCGGGATGCGAGGAACCTAGAGGAACCCCGCCACCCGCCACCGCCCCGCCCGGGCCGCTGAGGGGGCGCCCCGCCCCGCCCCGCCCCGGCCGCCAGACCCACCCCACCCCAACCCAACAGGACCCGCCTCGAAAGCTGCGCCAGCACCCCAAATTGAATCCCGTTCTAAAATCCTCACTGGGAGTTCGTTCACTGCGAGGACAGCGGGTCGTAGGTCAGGGACCCGCACACCGATTCCGAGATTCGTTTTCGTCGCTCTGTCTCTCTCGCACTCGCGGGGCGTCCCCAAAGGTGCGAGAGAGATAAAACGCCTCCCGGACGCGCACCCCTTCACAGCGGCCAGGATGCTGCCGCACTGCCAAGTCTGGACAAAATCTTTGCGATGTATTTTGCGCTGCGCACCCTCTCATTCCGGAACGGTGCTTCGCCGGTCTCTCTCGCAATCACGGGTCGTTGGAGTGCGAGAGGGAGAGAGAGAGAGAGAGAGAGCCTGCCGCCCAGCCTAGCCCAGCCTCCCCGGCCGGCACGGAGCACGGAGCCGGCACCCCGCCTGGGGCTCAGGCCGGGTGGCTGCCTGCCTGCCCGCCTGTCAATGGGCTTCCGGGAAGCGAAGCGTAAACCCCCGGATGAACGAACGGGCGACGCACCGACGGCCAGCCTCCGCGAGGACGCCCTCCACGGGGTCGCCGATGACGGGTACGCACCTTGGCGGCCACCATGGCGGCTCTCGGCTCCGGGGACGGCGACGACGGGACGCTCCTGGTGCTGGCCGTGGAGGCTCTGAGGGCGGCGGGGCGGCACTGTGCGGGGCAAGCCGGGCAAGCAGAGGCAGAGCCGGCGGGCGCGGCACGGCCAGGGCACGGCCAGGGCACGGCGCGGCAGGAGCCGAGGCAAGCCGAAGCCTGGCAGCTCCACGGCGCAGCGCGGGCAGCGCGCAGCAACCCCCTTTGTGCACGACGCAGCTCCCAGCCTGCCAGCCACCACTCGATCGATCTCGGCCCCACGCCGGCAGAGCCCCACGCCGGCAGAGCCCCACGACCGGCCCCGCGGAGCCGCGAGGCGAGCGCGACTCCGCGGCCGCGACTTCAAAACCCCGGCAAACGTTCAAACCGGCGGGCCGCGCCGCCGCCGGTTCGGGGTGGCTAGCGCACCCCCGAGGGCCCCCGGCCGCAGCCCGCGCCCTCGCGAGGACGGCCAGGACATCCCGAACGCCGAGAAGCCGGTGTCGGCGGGCAGCGCCGCGATGAGAGCCGAAAACCGAAATCCGGCGAGGGCGACAGCCCTTGAGAGCTCACCTTAGAAAAGCCGCTGGACGCGGAGCAAGAAGTCTCGCTGTCTGCGCGGCCTCCCTCCCGGCGGCACCGCACTGGAAAAGTCCGTTACGCTAGGCAGCCGGCATCCACGGCACGGCACGGCGCGCAGGACCCGCAGGACACGCTGGACACAGAGTACCCTCCTCGCGAACACGCAGTCACACTCGGTACCGGGTACCGTCGGCCAGAGCCACCGCGACAGCGCACTTCTGCCGCCCTGAAACACTGTAACTCACTGACAACACGGAGGACAACAAGCCGGGGTGAGGCCGGGTCGGGTCCCAGGACACGCTGAAACTTGCACCGCGCCGCTCCCCGCTCCCCGCTCCCTCCAAACTCAAGCGGGCTGCAGCTTCCAGCGCCGCCCGCCCGAGCGCAGCAGCGTACAGCGTAGCGTACGCACGGGGTGGGTCTCCCCCCTCCCCCTCCCCCTTCCCCCGCCCGGCGCGCAGCCGCCGCCGCCGGCCGCCAGAGCGCAGCACCGCGCGGGGCCTCTACGGCGGGGCGGCCTCCCCCCGCGGCTTCCTGCTGCCTCCAGCTGCGCGCCGTTGGCGGGAAGGAGGAACAGCGGCGCGACTACAAGTCACAAAAAAGGGGATGAAGATGACGACGACCTTCGCCTCGCCGCAGTAGAGCAGCTTTTACGACCCGTTCCCACAAGCGGCCTGACCCTTGACTCAGACAGCCAAGGGGGTGGCGACGGCTCTGGCCAGCTGCGCGCGGTGGCGGGAAGGAGGAACAGCGGCGCGACTACAAGCACAAGGGATGCCAGAAGGCCTTGCCGGGGGCCGGGCGGTCGAGCACTTTAGCCCGCGTTTTCCCAGAGTCGCTAACCCTTGACTCGAACCAAGGGTGGGGGACCCCCCAAATGGATTCCTCGTTCGAAGGGCAATTGGTATAGGTCACACGTTCGGTTCGAGTCCTTTAGCGACTCTGGAGCTCAAAAGGCGTCTAGAATTTTGACCACCTCCTCCGGTCTTCTGGCCCACTGTGCGAAGGATGCATTCCCGGTCAGCCTTTCACTTTCGATCGCCTGTCAGTTCCTGACTGACCGCGGTTGAGGCGGGGCCGAATGGCGCCCGGGAGGCAACCTGTTCGACGCGGGTGTCCGATGGGTTGCCTGCCGCGCGGGCTGTGCTGTCCTGGAGGAGGACGTCCTGGGTCTCGTGTCTATATCGAGTCTGCGTCTCGAAGAGTCGCAGGAACGGTGCCAAATGAGACCAGTGGTCCGCAGCAGGCAGAGAACCTAGCCATAATTTTTCAGTTCAATTGTTTCAAGGGGTGTCCCACTGTATAGTTTTGTGTACAATGATTGTGTAAATAAGCAAGAATGTGCAATATTTCTGGCATTTTGGCCACACATGTTGCGTACTTACAGGCGTTTTCGTCACCTGAATGTGGAATGTGGTCAATTTTTGTACAATGAATGAGGGAAGCTGTTCCCCCCTCGTATTGTTTCCATTGGTTTCATACCGAAAATCAAGAGCTTGATTCACAAGCGCTTTACATGGCTGCTGGGGCTTGTGCGTGCATCGCCTGCCCAGGATCCCGGGTTCTAATACCCGCAGCGTCGCCAGGCGTGTCTCACGAAAGTGTGATGAAAGGATCATTTTGCAGTTTGCAGGCCTCGCTGCTGCTCGCTGCATACCCGGCAATCATACTGCACCACTCCACTCGCCTCGCTTAAGAAACAACAACAACAACACTTTTTTTCCCTTGTCGCTTCGCGGCTTCGCGCCGCTGCATGCCGCTCGGCTGCATGTGAGTCCTGGGGCTTTTCAAGGTCTCTGGGTCAGGGACGTTCCCTGTCGTTCCCTGCAGCCTCGCCTGCAGCGTGACCCGCCGCGTCCTGGGGACCTGCGTCTGCCTGCGTCCGCCTGCGTCGACGGGACAGGACATGGGACACCTGTCTCGGTGAGCCTGTCCTGCCGCAGTCTCGGTGAACCCTCGGCCAATTGGGACGCGGCCTCAAACAAAATCATCCTACAAGTTTTCCTTGTTTTGTTTTATTTTTGTGCTGTTTGACGAAACCTGCCCTGCCGCGCACCGCGCTTTGCACAGTGCCCCAGCAACCTCCCGCCGATGCGGGGCGGCTGGCCGCCGGCCGTCGCTCGGCGCTTACGTAGTCCTCGGCGTCGCCACGGAGTCCCTGCCTCTGCTGGATCTGCGCCGTCGCAGCCGATCGACCCACAGTGGACCAAAAGACCGGTGGAGGCGGCCGAAACTCTTGACACGCTTTGAGCTGCAGCGTCGCTGAACAGGACTCGAACCGAACGTGTGACCCCACCAATGGATCCCTCGTTCGTGCAATCCATTGGTGGGGTCACGCGTTCGGTCCGAGTCCCATTTAGCGACTCTGGAGCTCAAAACGCGTCCGGGGCTTTGACGGCCTCCCACTGTGCGGCCCTCCGGCCTCCGCTTGGCTCCGCTTGGCTCTGCTTGGCGCCCTCGATTCGGCCTCGGCCGCCGTAACCCTCTGTAACGCGTGGCCGCAGCGGCGGCGCGGCCCGAGGACCGGTCTTGAACCGCTTTTGAACGGGCCGCCTATTGTGGCCCATTATTGAGCAGTGTACGTTGTATAACGGGGGCGGGGCGGGGCGGGGCCGTTGTGTCCCGCGGTTTACGATAAACCGGCAAACTGAGCGGTGTGGCGGCGGGGCGGCGGCCAGGACGGCGAGCCTCCACTGGCGGCCGGCAGGGCTCAGAGGCTCGGCCAGGTTTCGAGGGCAGTTACATAAGCCCAGCCGTGTCCAGGACGCCGCGCCGTGTCTTGCCCGCCCGCCCGCCCCGCCCCGCCCCGCCCCGCCCCGCCCCGCCCCGCCCCGCCCCGCTACTGCAGGGCGTCCAGGGCCTTCCAGGGCACGGCCTGCAGTCCAGGGCTGTTGACTGTTTACCTGCGCTCGTTGGCGCTCGTCTAGACGTGGATCGTCTCCTGGAGGCCGCGGAGGTCGTTGAGTTGCCTGGGAAAACCCAGAGGCACCGCGCCACCATCCCACAGTGGGCCAGAAGACCGGTGGAGGCGGTCAAAACAGCAGACGCGTTTTGAGTTCCAGAGTCGCTAAACGGGGCTCGACCTGAACGTGTGACCCCACCAATGGATTCGATGTTCGGAGAGCAATCCATTGGTGGGGTCACACGTTCGGTTCGAGTCCCATTTAGCGACTCTGCAGCTCAAAACGCGTCCGGGATTTTGACCGCCTCCACCGGTCTTCTGGCCCACTGTGCATCCGCGCCACCTCGTTCCCGTCTGAGCCAACCACTAGACGAGTACGAGGACGTCGGACGCGGGAGCCAAAAGTAAATACTAAACAGAATGGGTGGTTGACATGCAGAACCGGCTCGGGTCCGCTCGGTGGCTTTCTGCGAATCGGTTGTAATCGGTCCGTAAATCGGCGAGTGAAGCCTCATGTCCTCTCTGGATGCTGAGTGCGGAAATTTTTAGAGCGCGCGGGATTTAAACGAAGCGACCCCGCTGATCGACCCCCTCTCCCCTCTCCGCGAACCCTACACTGGAAAAAAACTCTTAGCGATGACACAGGCATATTTTGGTCGTGACGTATTTGTCCAGGCTCGCGTCATACTCAGAGGTTGGCGGCGCGCTGCTTGGCAAGCACAAACACCTGAGGCCGCCTTGCGACAGGGCTGCGGAGGCTAGGGTCGGTTTCGGGTCGGTTTCGGGCCTCTCCGGTGTTCCTAAAACCTGACCTGGCCTGAACTGAATCCACGTGAAGGGAGATGAAAATAAGCCTTGACGTCACGGCGTGTGTGCCCTCCCGCACGCACGGGCTGGCGGAGCAGAGCGGCGCAGAGCGGCAGGCATCCTCCAGCAAAACCAGAAAGAGCATCGGCTCCGGGACTCCAGCGCTCGCTGGACAAGACGAGCCCGGACTTCGCAAGCAGAGTCGCCCAACTTTGTGACTGGTGCGAATTTTTCCGGTCCCTTTGATTGGCAGATTGGCCCAGGGCTGCCGTCCCGTTAGGGCGAACGCGTCCCACTCCACTGTCGTATGCAAATGCGGCGGGGCAGCGGAAAAACAAGCGAGTGCCGCTATTGGTGGACTATCGGCTCCATTTTTGCGCGAGGTGACTGGCCGGGCTGCGGGACGGCGCACAGTGGGCCAGAAGACCGGTGGAGGCGGCCAAAATCCCGGACGCGTTTTGAGCTCCAGAGTCGCTAAATGGGACTCGAACCGAACGTGTGACCCCACCAATGCATTGCTCTCCGAACGAGGAATCCATTGGTGGGGTCCCACGCTCGGTTCAAGTCCTGTTTAGCGACTCTGGAGCTCGAAACGCCAGATTTTTTGCCGCCTCCACCGGTCTTCTGGCAAATCCACTGTGCTGGCTGGAGGCGACTTTCGCGCGGCAGTGTACTCGGAGCTCTTCGAACGGCGCCGCGACCGTCGCGACGCGCAGGGCGGCAGGGCGCTCAGTGACGGCCCTGCGCCGCCACCTTGACTTGACGTCATGAGAGTGCACGGCGACGTCAGCGGGACGCCTACGGGATTTCTCCGGCTGCACGAGTGCGTCAAGAACGAAACGGGATGCACATCTCAGTGAAATTGTTTTTCGCACAGCCCGGCCCAGCCAATACGTCCGTTGGTCTTCCCTCGCAGCAGCCTGCAGGCAGTGGGCCAGAAGGCCGGTGGAGGCGGACAAAACTCCAGGCGCGTTTGGAGCTCCAAAGTCGCTAAATCGGACTCGAACCGAGCGTGTGACCCCACCAATGGATTCCTCGTTCGGAGAGCAATCCATTGGTGGGGTCACACGTTCGGTTCGAGTCCCGTTTAGCGACTCTGGAGATCAAAACGCGTCTAGAGTTTGGCCGCCTCCACCGGTCCCACTGTGCGGCGCTTTCGTTGAACAGAAACGCCGATCACTCAGCTGAGTATCCGATGTCGTTTTTGTGAGCCTTTGTTTTCGCAGATGACACCTTATCACGGAGGGTCTGCCACTTCTTGCACTCAGTGTACCCGCCACGCGCCCAGCCTACTCACTAACATTTTCGACCTCAAAAAGTGAATGAATCTCTAACAGTGTCATTATTGCTTTATCGGATTATGTTGATTATTGCACTGATTGCCAACTAGACGTACACTGATCATCTCGGGTTGGCTACTCCTTGGACACAGCTGTAGCCAGAAGCAGACCCCTTCGCCACGTCACCATCATCGAACCCGAACTAATATTTTTAACGACGACTTTTCCTCGGTGGCGCGCGGTCGGAACTGGCGTGCCTATCACGGCCATGATCTACATCGACCACCCCCGAGCTGGGCGTGCTGGGCCGTGCACGGCCGTGCAGCTATCGGGCGACATTGCACGGACACAAACAAGGACCCCTTCCCTCCCCGCCGGCCCGTCCCTGGGCGCCGCGTCGCCGCTCGCCGCTTGGCGTTCGACGCGTACCCTACGCCCAGCGGACGGGGACCGCGCGGACGGCCCCCACCCGGGCCGCCCTGGCCGCCACCCCTCCCCGGACATCCCCGGAGCCTCGAGCCGTATATATGCGAGAGTTGGCGGCCCTTGCCGCATTAGATTCGGAACCGTCGACGCTCCAACATGAAGACCGCCCTCGCCCTGTGTGTGTGCCTGGCCCTGGCGGCGGTCGCGCTCGCCGAGGACAAGTACACCAACAAGTTCGACAACGTCAACGTGGACGACATCCTCAAGAACCAGAGGCTGCTCGACAACTACTTCAAGTGCCTCATGGACAAGGGCCGCTGCACCCCCGACGGCGCCGAGCTCAAAAGTGAGTCACTGTGCGATCTGGGCGGCGGGTTCGAATCCCGTGCGGCGTCTCGCGTTCTCTCTCTTTCGTGGAGGCGGAGGCTGGCCGACTCCAAGACGGTCGTGAGGCAGGCCCTCAGCGAATTCGGAACTTGGCACATTACCGCCAAGGCGGTGAGTGGGACCGGCCGCAGCCATTCGTTGACCCGCAGGCCGCGCCTAGCCGCGCCGTGCAGCGCGGGAAAACACAGCCGTCATTATGCAAGTCCCTCACGCAACTTGCAGGCACTTGCAGGCACTTGCAGGCACTTGCAGGCGTGCGCCTGGAAGGTGGCCGACGCCGTTGGCACGCATGCAAGGACACCTTCCTTGGTGTCGCGCCGCGGTCCTGGCGGTCCGGCGACAGTGAAAGTGCCTTGGGCGCCGCACGCGCCACGCGCCGCGGAAGGCGGGAAAATGTTCAAAATGAAAATGGGGCGAGGTTTGCGGTGATGCTTATCGCGCCGGGATGCTTTTACCTCCGCCCCGCCATCCAGCTGGTCGTCACGATCGACGTTCGACCGCCCTGTCAAAAGCTAGCCGCGGCACGCCATGCCGCCGGCACACTGCAGGACACTGCAGGACACTGGGACAGCTGGAGGAGCCGAGCCGAGCCGAGCCGAGCCGAGCCGAGCCGAGCCGAGCCGAGCCGAGCCGAGCCGAGCCGAGCCGAGCCGCGGTCAAGGACGCGCGCGGCCAACGCGGCCAATGCGGCCAGCACGCAGGAAGTGCTACCGCCCTGTTTTTGAACCGGCCGGCTGGCTGTGTGAGTGTGTGTGAGTGTGCGTGTGAGTGTGTGGCCTGGAAGTATCGACAGGGCATTACAACACCGACCCACTGCCACAGGTCCTGATCAATACATCCTGATCGTTAAAGCTTCGTCGCATGGGGTGTTATGTCACGCGCGTGTGTTTGTGTGTGTGTGTAGGTGTGTGTCTGCTCCTTATGTCAGCCTTGTCGGCGAAGTGTAGCGGGAAGGGAGACCGTCACAGAAATCGTGCATCGGAAGGGAGAAAATAAAGGGTTGAGCCCGAAGTGCAGTAGGAGTACTTGGTACCTCTCGCCGCTGAAGCCGGCCGGACCGAGTTGAATGGCCTCTGGGCGGGCCGGCTCGTGCCTTGCCGGCTGCCGCCGCCCGCAGGCAGGCAACCCATTCGACGCGTAGGGAAGGACAAGGATAGAGGTGGGGGTGAGGGATCGGGTCGTGCCTCCAATTCTAAATGCTTTTCTTGCTCCAGAGTCGCTAAACGTTACTCGAACCGAACGTGTGACCCCACCAATGGGTTGCTCTCCGAACGAGGAATCCATTGGTGGGGTCACACGCTCGGTTCGACTCCTGTTTAGCGACTCTGGAACTCAAAACGCGTCTAGAGTTTTGTCCGCCTCCACCGGTCTTCTGGCAGATCCACTGTGCGGCGGGGCGCAGCGACCCAATTGGGAGCGGCTCGACATGACATCCCACTGTAACTTTGTTTACTTTTTCCAGAGTCGCTGCCGGACGCCCTGACCAGCCGCTGCTCCAAGTGCACCGAGAAGCAGAAGATGCAGACCGAGAAGGTGGTGCGCTTCCTGATCGAGAAGAAGCCCGTCCTGTGGAACGAGCTGAAGGCCAAGTACGACCCCGAGGGCCGCTACGAAGCCACCTACAAGGCCGACGCCGACAAGCACGGCATCAAGGTCTAGCCCCAACTGTGATATCGTTCATGTTTTATTTAAATAAACCTAGTCGTAAGCGTTACTTTATTCAGAGGTGCTGTCTATTTTCTAGCCCACCCATCCACAGCGCAGTTACGATTGCGGCGCACTGTTTTGCGTGCTGTTTTGGCCTAGTCTGTGCCCATCCCCCTTTTTTATTTGGCGTCCCTGGCGGGTCGAAGGCGGAATGGCGAACAGAGCGATGCGATGCCATCTACACCTCACTGTCGACAAAAAGCATGCCCCCATCTCCCTCGCCGTGTCTGTGCACGCCACTGGACAGACGGACGGACGGACAGACAGACAGACAGACAGACAGACAGACCGGACAACGCCACGCGCCGTTCCTCGGCTTCGCCGAATTCGTAAAGGTGTCTGCTTTTTTCGCTTCCCTCCCCGATTACCCATTCATTCCGCGCCGTAGGAGATAAACATGCGCCGAATCTACGACGCAGCTGTCCAGGTGTGTTTTTTTTTTCAGTGTTCTGCAGGTGTCGTGCGATTTTCTCCCACGGCTGTTGCAGTAAACGGCCCGTGCCGGTGTTCCTCCGTTACGGAAAGGAACCTGCCACTCTCGGTTGGGTTGCTGTGTAAAGCAATTCTCTCACACTAGACATTTTTCTGTTTCAAAAAGTAGTTTTAATGTACAAATTACAGAGGAGGATCACAGCACTAAACACTTCCCTGACACGGGAAGTGTGTAACAATGTCGCTTAACGAAACGGCCGAAAGACGTCGGCAATGACTCGAACGATGGCTTCAACTGGATGCGTATTCACAGATGGAGGGGAGGGGTGTCCACGGGGCGGGGGCACTCTCGTTTACTGCAACACGGGAGAAACAAAAACGTTAGTCAGATTGACGCCGCGGCCTGGAGTCGAACCCCGGACCAGCGCCCTAGCGGCAGACCCGCAGCCGCCTCTGTTGTGGCAGGCGGTGGTTTTCCACCTCCTAGGAGAATGCAAGGCGCACTGCGGGTATTCGAACACGGGACCCGAAGGTCCGAAGGTACTCACGTTGAGCCAGTCCAGGTCGCCCCACTTGCTCTCGGGGTCGAACTTGGTCTTGAAGGCCTCCCACACGTCCTTGCGCTCGCTCTTGAGGTGGTTCACCACCTTCCTGGCGCGCGTCTTGTCGTTGGGCGTGCAGTCGGCACACTTGTTGGCGAGGTCCTTGGGCAGGCGCTCTGCGGCAAGGGGACGGTCCACGTCAAGGAGAGGGGAAACACGGAGGCGCACAGTGCGCCAGAAGACCGGTGGGGGCGGTCACAATTCGAGACGCGTTTTGAGCTCCAGAGTCGCTAAATGGGACTCGAACCGAACGTGTGACCCCACCAATGGACTGCTCTCCGAACGAGGAATCCATTGGTGTGGTCACACGGTCGGTTCGAGTCCTGCTTAGCGACTCTGCAGCTCAAAAAGCATCTGGAATTTCCGCCGCCTCCCCCTGGTTACTCACGCTTGAGCTCGGTGCCCTCCACGGAGCAGGGCGCCTTGTCCAGGATGCACTTGACGTAGTTGTCGAAGAGGCGCTTGTTCTTGAGCACGGTGTCCACGTCCACGGAGTCCAGCTTGCCGGGCTGGGGCTTGGCCACGGCCAGCACCAGGGCGGCCGCCAGGGCCAGGCCGGCGAGGAGGAGGGTGGCTCGAGCCATGGTGGTGACTGTCTTGGAGGAGAAGAGCGTCTGCCTGGGGCCGGCCGGCATCGGCTTTTATATATCAACGGCAGACACGCGCGACCGTGACCTTGCCCACGCCGCCACGCGCCCGCCAGCCGTCCCCTCCTAGCCCCTCCTAGCTGCCTGCCAGTGTGCCAGTGTCTAGTCTAGACAGGCTTCCGGAGAGGAAGCAGGCGCAGCAAGCCAGGAAGCTAGGATTCAACAACCCCAGCAGAGTCGCGTCCAGTCGAATGTCCACTCCAGGCGACTGAGTCACACCCCCTCGCCGGGACTGCGCGGCAACGCCTGGCTCCGCCACCCTTCCCACGGGACAGGGGCGGGTCCAGAGACGGGCTCAGGGGTGTCTACCTACAAGGGCTTGCTGCCTACGTCTTTCAAGACTCCACCTGGAAGCCCTCCGCGTCGCCGCGCGTGCGTCGCGGCCTTTGGGGCCTTTGTGCGCTGGCCCCGGAACGGCACGGCGCACAGTGGGCCAGACGACCGGTGAAGCGGTCAGAATCCCGGACGCGTTTTGAGCTTTAGAGTCGCTAAATGGGACTCGAACCGAACGCGTGACCCCACCAATGGATTGCTCTCCGAACGAGGAATCCATTGGTGGGGTCACACGTTCAGTTCGAGTCATGTTTAGCGACTCTGGAGCTCAAAACGCGTCTAGAGGTTTGCCCCTCCACCGGTCTTCTGGCCCACTGTGCTGCGGCGCCGGGGCGCACAGCGCACATCGCACATCACCCGAACAGCAATCAAGGGGGCAATCAAAACGCACGTGAGGAAACTGCGCGGCAAAACAAAACATCCTCGCCGCGACGGAGAACTTTTCAGCACTCACAGAAAACTAACCAACTTCGATAGTATTGATCATGAACTAAAAAAATTTTTTCGCGAAGGCAGGGGGAACGTTTACCTTGTGGCCCGCCGGCAAGATGCGTCACCGACTCCTCCCGACAATAGCCAGAGTGACAAAAAACGGCAAAAAACGTAAACAAAACATGGCTGCCAAATTGCCGGCCGAATTTCTGGAAATTGTTTCAAAGGTTAGCCGTAGTGACGCGCGTCCCGCCATTCCACTTTTTTTTAAGGTTTTAATGGTTGTTGCCAGTGTAGGTGCGGTGCATCACCTCGTACAGTCGCCCATTGCGCAGAGCGGTCAACTGAAACCGCAGTGGAGGCTCTTTTTTCTGACGCCTGGAGCGAGCGAATGAATGCATGAACGTGTCGGGCCAGCCGGGCGCGGCACCCAAGGCACTGACCGAACGTCATAGACGTCGGAGAGGACACCCATCGACGTCGAGGTGACGCGTTTTCGGTGCCGCCGGCGACGTCAGGAAAAACAACAACCCGCTGCAGACCGATTCCGAGAGTCGTTCTCGACGCTCTGGCCCCCTCGCACTCACGGGTCGGTCCCCTGTAGGTGCGAGAGAGACAGCGCGGGGGCGCCGTCGGCCGAGATGGCGCAGGCTCCGCAGGCAGTCGGCCAACAGGTTACCACCACACTGGAAAGTGTGTTATTGTCCACTTTAAGTTTGTGCGCCACACTATGGCACAGTGGGCCAGAAGACCGGCGTAGGCGGTCGAAACTCTAAACGCATTTTGAGCACCAGAGTTGCTCAATCGGACTCGAACCGAACGTGTGACCCCACCAATGGATTCCTCGTTCGGAGAGCAATCCATTGGTGGGGTCACACGAATGGTTCGAGTCCTTGTGCAGCTCAAAACGCGTCTAGGAGTTTTGGGCGCCTTCACCGCTCCTCTACTGTGGGTGGCAGCCCCACTGTTGTGAGTGGGGGAATTCCCCGAAATAACCCGGCTGCTCCGGACCCGCAAAACACCTAGAACCTCAGGGAACCTCACCACTGCATCAATCATCGGTTCTCGCTTCTTGCGCGGGTGAGACGCCGCGAGACACCAACACGCCAAAAATTGACGGCAGTTTCCGTTCGGCGGTGTGGCGGTGGCTGCTACAGTGTACCCGCTTCTATCCGCTTCGAGCGCCAACGGGAGGCTCGCCGCTCGTGCAGTCATCCGGACGGCTGAGCTGGCTGCGCTCCTCAGCGCTGCGAGGTCTAGCCCTTAATGGTAATGGTAATGCGAGGTAGGCCACCGGTTCGTTCCGCGACACACCAGTGTGGAGACGGTGGCCTGCCTTGCCCCTGCCTTGCCCCTGCCTTGCCCCTGCCTTGCCCCTGCCTTGCCCCTGCCTTGCCCCTGCCTTGCCCCTGCCTTGCCCCTGCCGGGCGCAGGATAGGCCACCGTCTCCACACTGGTGTGTCGCGGACCGGGCCGGGGGCCTACCTCGCAGGCGCTTTAGGCGACTGGCAGGCGGTGAACAGCCTCAATTGTTGTTGTTGATTTTGATAATGTTGTTGTTGTTGTTGATGATGACGTCGTTGCTGATGTTGGCGTGCTGGCTAGACGACAGGTCACGCCAGGACAGAAGCCTTCGTCCACTTCCGACCAGGCGCAGACAGTGTGACAGTCCACGAGTGAAGGAAGGGGTACAGGAGGTCAAGTGTCAAAACAATGGAGGCAAGGACTGGGGCAGCAGTGCGAACGCTGAAGCGCCGCGCCACGGCCAGGGCCTTCCAGGACCGGCGCGACCTGCCCGCACGCACACAAAGGCGGGCTGCTGCTTGTTTTCGCGCCCGAACTGGCAGCGCGTCGTCTGCTGCTCCGACGCACGCGAGCCAGCCGCGTCGCCGGCCGGTCCACAGTGGATTTGCCAAGAGACCGACGCAGGCGGCCGAAACTCTAGACGCGTTTTGAGCTCCAGTCGCCGGACAGTGAGGCGTCGCGAGGCGTGCAGTTGGCCGCACTGGTTGACCGCCACCGCCAGGGCACCGCCAGGGCACCGCCAGGGCACCGCCCCGCCACATGCGACCGGCAGTGTCTTGCATTTCCCGGTCTTCCTGCCGGCGTGCCGGCCTGCGCCTACTGCTCCGTTTCCGGAACCGGCGGCACACGCGGCACACGACACCGCCTGGCTGCCTCTGGCTGCCTCTGGCTCGGCGCCAATAGGCCAGGCGGCCAATGGCGGCCAAGCGCATGCGTGTTCTATGAGCAGCGGTTCAAGGCCGCGGCGCGCTCACTCAGGAGACGCGTTTTCTCGCTCAGTCCCTGCGGGTCCCTGCCGCAGTGTCGCACGCATGGGACGTCCCGCAAAGAAGCCAGAGACGAGGAGACGCTCCGGAACCGCTCGATTGGCAGCAGTGTAACGGAGTGGAACGCACTCATCCAAGGCGATCTCCGTTCGCGACACCGCACAGTGGGCCAGGCCAGAAGACCGGTGGAGCTGCCAAAATTCTAGACCGGCGCCTCTGCGGGCTTCCTGTGTCCTTTGGGTCGCCTACCTGTCGGGCGGACAGCCAGGGTGCTGGTGGAAGTGTACGGTGGGCTGCCTACCTTGCTGGCGGAGGCGTGTCTCCTGGCTGGCGGGTGCCTGGCGTGAGTTGGGTTGCCTAGTGCGGATTGACCGAGGCGCACAGTGAATTTGCCAGAGGACCGGTGGAGGCGGCCTAAATTCCAGACGCGTTTTGAGCTCCAGAGTCGCTTAATGGGCCTCGAACCGAACGTGTGACCCCACCAATGGATTGCTCTCCGAACGAGGAACCTATAGATGGGGTCACACGTTCGGTTCGAGTCCTGTTTAGCTGCTCTGGAGCTATAAACGCGTTTGAAATTTTGACCACCTTGGCCGGACTTCTGGCCCTCTGTGTGTCGATGAGCCTAAGGCCCTTGGGGTCTGTCTTTGGTTTTGATTGCTCCTGACTGGAACAAGTTCGTGCTCAATGGAGTCACACGCCAATTCTACTATCATTGCGCGTCTTGACCGTGGCCGGGGCGATTTTCCAGACGCTCAGCTGGTATCAAAGTGCCTACCGAAATGGGGCCATTTCCCGCCACTTCCCGCCATTTCCCGCCATTTTCCCATCAGACGCGTGCTCTGTTTTCCATTCAGGAATCACGCAACCACTTTGGTTTACAGTACACCGGTGAAGAAAACTCGTTTTGGTCTGATTGCATTTTATTATTCACAGATCACATCATCGCTGTCGTCATTGTTATCACATGCGCTAACATCTCGTCAAATGTACACACTTCTGTTTTTGGTCTTGAGGTAATGATTCGTTGTTGGTGGGGGTGCGTCCGCTGAACGTCCTTGCGGCGGCGGCGGCGGGTCGGTCTAGACCTTGACGCCCTTCTCGTCAGCCAGCTTCTCGTACTTCTTCTCGTACACGCCGGTGGGGTCGTACTTGGCCTTGAGCTCCTCCCAGATCTCCTTCTCCTTCTCGGAGATGTGCTTCACCACCTTCTCGGAGAGCTCCTTCTGCTTGTCGGAGCACTTGTCGCAGTCGTTGGTCAGGGCGTCGGGGATGGACTCTGCAACAGCAAGCGGCGCGTTAGACTCCGCCGACTCGGTCAGACGACGCTACACTGTGACGCTTCATTTCCCGAGTGAACCGACAAAGAAAGCGCCCAAAGCGTGGCTTTGGTCTCTGTTTGACGGTGTATCGAATCAAGGTGAACCCAGGCGACGCAAATAGAGACATGAAAGAATCGCTTGGTTCAGGTCGGCGCGGCGCGGCGCTGTAAAAACGTGGCGCCACTGTACTCGGCGCGTATCCGCGTGTGCAACTCATTAGGACGGCGGTACAGTCGCGCGAATCGCGAGAGTCGCCGAGAGTCCACGGTCCGAAGACCGGCTAGAGGGAGACGGTCTCGTGTCCCCTGCTAATTAGTGGACGGGTTTCATCTTGATCGCCTCCAGCCTCGCTCTGTCTCTCTCGCACTCATGGTGCGTTCCGTGCAGGTGCGAGAGAGACAGAGCGACAGCGACGCCCAGCGACGCCTCTCCGGGCGCACCCGACCTATCAGGGGCCAGCTCCGTTCCCGCGCAAATTCCAAAAAGCGCCAACGACCACGCGGCACAGTGGGCCAGAAGACCGGTGGTGGCGGCCGAAATCCTAGACGCGTTTTGAGCTCCAGAGTCGCTAAACAGGACTCGAACCGAACGTGTGACCTCACCAATGGATTCCTCGTTCGGAGAGCAATCCATTGGTGGGGTCACACGTTCGGCTCGAGTCCCATTTAGCGACTCTGGAGCTCAAAACACGTCTAGGATTTCGGCCGCCACCACCGGTCTTCTGGCCCACTGTGCGCGGGCCGCGGCCGACGCGAGGCCCCCGAAGCACCTGCCCGTCGGCGTCGTCCCGAGTGACCACGGAGTGACCGCTGCCGCTGACTCACTCTGCTAAATGTTTTATGCAGACACGAGCAGAGCCGGCGCGGCGATAGAACCGGTCATGTTAGTATTTGAAAGAATGGGCTCTGCACGTACACTGTCCAAATTAGGGGGGGGGGCATCGCGGGTACCGACGAGTTGGCTGTTTCCGCGCGCTGGCCACCACTCCACTCGGCGAGACAAAGTGATTCGCAGATTCGCTCTTAATTGCTTTCAAGACGAGTCAACACGAGGTTTGCCCGCCCTTGAACCAGTGACGTCATCCTTGATTCGAGCGACGCCCGCCCGCACGTACGCACACTCGTACACGCTCGCGCTGGCGGCGCGCTCTAAAAACGGCAGAACTATCCCGCGGAGCGGCTGTACGCGACGACGCATACATGAGCGTGATTTAAATTTATGATTCGGCTATCCGAGGCAGGCTTCCGAGAAGCAGAAGAAGAGCCCCCTCCCCCGGGGGACCACACGCTGTGAAAAATCCGCGACGACGAGAACACGGCCTTGATGACGTCCATCGCGACCGCATCGCGCTCACGGCGTCGCCAGCCTCCTGCGCACAGTGGGCCAGAAGACCGGTGGAGGCAGCCAAAACTCCAGACGCGTTTTGCACTCCAGATTCATTAAATGGGACTCAAACCAAATGAGTGACCCCACCAATGGATTCCTCGTTCGGAGAGCAATCCATTGGTGGGGTCACACGTTCGGTTCGAGTCCCATTTAGCGACTCTGGAGCCAAAAACGCATCCAGAGTTTTGGCCGCCTCCGCCAGTCTTCTGGCCCACTGAGCTCTTTGAGGTGCTCGCCTTGGTGGCGTGACGCTGGCGCCCTGAGCGCCCTGGCAGCCGCCCTGCGTTCAGGTCTCCGCCACCCCATGCCTGCACGCGGCCACGCGGTACGGGCGCCTCCGTCTGTGCGATGAGTGCGACAGAGAACGCATCACCACTTCGGGGTGCCTTTCTGAGACGTCGACCCATCCCGTCGTAGCCACGCGCAGTGCACTGAGAGGCCTAGGGTGACCAGACGGCCGGGGGTTGGCGTACTTACTCTTGAGCTCCAGGGCGTCGGCCGTGCAGCGGGCCTTGGGCTTGTCCAGGATGCAGTTCATGTAGTTGTTGAGGAGACGCTTGTTGGAGAGGATCTCGTCGATGTTGATGTTGTCGTACTTGGTGGTGAACTTCTCCTCGGGGCGGGGCGCGGCGGCGGCGAGGCCGGCCAGCACCATGACGGCGACACAGAGGACGAGCTTGGCCATGGCGGAGAAGTGCTGACTGGAGGAGGCAGCGAACTGTACGCCAGCCGGGCCGCCGTGGGCTTATATGTGCGAACCGTGTCCGCGCGAGGAAGCGCGGTGCGGGGCGGGGCGCGGGGCGGGGCGGGCTGGTGGGGCAGAAAGTACGCAAGTTTATGTACTTGGTGGGTGAGGCGGGCGGGCACCGCGTCGACGGCTGGGAAGATGGATGAGGTCCCTCTTCACCTTCCTGGCGGTTGCCGGTGTTTGGCGGCTCCTGCCCGAAAAATGACAAAACGCCGAAACGGCGCTTGTCGTTCCTGGTACTTATGCCGGGCGCGAGACACTACCACACTCGACCCGCACAGGGAGGGGTTGAAAGAGGCCTTTTCTGTCATTTTACATGGAAGTTGCTCTGGTTTCCTTGCTTTTGAATTCAGCTTCATTATTTTTTTAAAAGTGTGGGTGTTAGTATTCATGTTTTTTTCCCCCTCTGCTCTTGCACCGCAGCACTGCGGCGGTCTTCCCTTGCGTCTCGCTTGCTTCCCCTCCTCGGCCGGGTCCTCGGCGGCAACACCGGTAGACTGCTAGAACGACGACCGATTGACCGATTCGTGGAAGTCCCATCCACACATTATTTGCTTACAGAGTAGAGGCAAGAGGCAAACCCTGCCGGACGCTAATTCGAGCAGACAGGCAGACAGGCAGACAGACAGACAGACAGACAGACAGTCAGACAGTGGAGGTGCCTATGACGTCTTCCAGCTCCATCGCGAAGATTGACTCATTTCACTGCATTCTCGCTCCGCCAAGGACGTGTGAAATGGAGACGAATATAGAGATCCCGGGCATGTGTGCGTGTCTGTGTGCGTGCGTGTGTGTGGGTGTGTGTCTGTGTGTGTGTGAGTGACGTGCCGGTGCATGGAGGATGCTCGCGGTGACGCTCTGTGTTTGTGTTGATCTCGGCGCTAGGTGGGCGGTCACGAAAAAAAACAAAACACGCACGAAAACAACTGACCCAACAAACAATTGGCGGGAGCGGTGCAAGCACCGCGGTTCAGAGGTTCAGCGGACCAACACGCCGTCGTTCGCATTCCAATTTAATATTCGTTATCCTTAATGACGCACGCTGCTCGCCTGTGTTTCGCTGTTCAGCGCGCAGCGCTTCCCGCCATTGTCGGTTTAGGAAGATTCCTGTCCGCCGTGCCGGCGTTGCTGGCGCTGCTGGCGTTTCTCATTCGACCCGTTCCTGCTCCCGTCAGGTCCAGTCCGCACTCTTCGAACCCATCCGAGACTCCGAGACTACTCCGAGACTACTCCGGCACGACGCACGTGCCGCGGAGGGGCAGGCCCGGGGGCAGGCCGGGCAGGCCGGCCGGCTCGACGCGCCCGTCACTACGGCCGCATGGCGGGGTGCTGCGAGCGACGCGCGCGGTTGGCCAGCCTGGGAGCGCCCGCCAAGCGCGGGGTAGGCACCCCTGCGCACACGGGTGCAGGCTGTTGCCTGACCGCAGGCGTTTCACAGTGGGCCGGGGGCGGCCGAAACTCTAGACGCGGTTTGAGCTTCAGATTCATTAAACAGGCCGTGGGGAAATTTCCCGCAGGTTGACCGCTGGACTGTTGGACGAATCGACATCCGACGAGGCTCTAAGTGGGAGGCAGACTGGATACTTGCATCTTGGTGATTTTGGGCCGTTTGTGTGGCCATACTGGTATCCCCTTTCCCGCGGCGCCGCGACCTTGAGTTGACACTGCTGCGCTGCATCATCTGATTGTTGCCCTGTTCGCAGTCTCGCAGTCCTCGCAGTGCTCGCTTGCTCGCCCACAAAAACGGCCATTATTCAAGAGCCGGCTCACTTACGCCCCACACGCCGGGCTGGCTTTGCCGCTTTGGCTCAGTGCGGTGAGTCACGGCGGCAGGGAATGACCAGGCACGACGCGTTTTGAGCTCCAGAGTCGCTAAATGGGACTCGAAACGAACGTGTGACCCCATCAATAGACTCCTCGTCCGGAGAGCAGTCCATTGGTGGGGCCACACGTTCGATTCGAGTCCCATTTAGCGACTCTGCAGCTCAAAACGCGTCTTGGCCGCCTTCACCGGTCTTCTGGCCCACTGTGCGGCGCTAGCTAGGCTAGGCTACAGGCGCGGCTCCAGGGGGGGGGGGTTCGGGGGTCGCGACCCCCCCCTCGGCCTGCCTCATCGAGGTTTTTGACATCAGGAGTGACCAGCGACCCCCCCGTCAGGTTTAGTCTGGAGCCGCGCCTGCTAGGCTAGGTCTGGTTCTTCGGTTCGTCGAGCGGCGCTTCGCTGGACGCCGTCGACGCCAAATCGTAGCCCCTTAGCCCCTCGACTAGATTGTCCTGTCCGCGGTGGACGAGGTGGATTTCCGACCCGTCCGTGGGAACGGGCCGACGCTTCTCCACGACGGCCGGCTGCGTCCGCGCACTCATTCCGAAAGTCGTTTTATCGTGGCTCTGTCTCCCTCGCACCCATGGGCCCCGAATGCGAGCGAGAGAGACAGAGCCACGAAAACGGCGGAATCAGTCTGGCTGGTCGGGCCGGGCCAGAACGGCGTTCGCGCTCCGCACTTGCTTCGCACGCTGCCCGGCCAGCCGGCTGGATTGCTGGATTGCCTGGCTAGCCAAGCTACACTGCTCTCCAGCTCATGGCTGGGCCGAGCTATTTTCAGACAGGTGTTTGAGGCGCATCTGACTTCACCCGACGGCGTGACGACGCTCTCGCGTGTGTCGCGGGAGCGAGGATCTGTCCTGAGTGACTGATAGGTGACCGTGGTCTCGGATCACACTTGGAGGGAACAAGCATGCGGGCAAAGAATACCAGAGAATACTTCTCACAGATCACTGTAGCCTTTTAATTTTTACTAAACAATTTTTCTTTTCAATATTTTGTACATTTAAAGCTTGTGCATTAATGTTCAACAAGTTTAAAAATCGCCGTTGGCAACAAGGAAATGGAATTCCCTACTCACTGTAAATTTTCACTTGCATGGAATGTCGTAAACTAACAGTGTAAAGGATTTAACAATCACAAAGCAGCAAGCTACGTGAGTTCAGAAATGCAGTGACAGTGGCAGACATGAGCGAAACTAACAAACATGACTTGGAAATTAACTTAAAAAGGGACGTCTGACAGGATGCATTAGTTTGGAAAACAATTGCAAAAAAAAAAGAATGTCTATAATTCTATTATAGTCAAATGAAAAGTCACCACAAAACATGTTGCAAATATATATATGTATAAAAAAAATTATTTCAAAAAAGAAACCCACATAAAATTTTTAACTACAAATTTTGTAATTTATCATTGCATATAAAACGTTGTAATAGTTGCAGTGAACAGCTAGTACCTTGACCTTGAGTTGCTCCATAATACAAGTTTAGTAGACTGAAAAATCAATTTTTACCTAAAATACAATGTTTTTGATTGAAACCCTTTTGTCTCAAAATGTAAAGTTTTCTAGCTTCATAAAAAATGAGCTTGGTAACTTTTCAATTGAAATATATGTGCATTTGCACACTGTCCTTTTACAGATACAGACGTTTGTAGAAATGTCTACCACTAACATGCACTAGAATGAAGTAAGTTTGTAAAAGGTATAATGTACAAAAATCTTCATGGGGTTTCTATCGGGCAGTATAGTAAAAGCTCTGAGCTTTTCTTCTATAACTTAATAATGAATATTAATTGGCATGAGTTACAAGAATATTGCCTTTACTGCACAATGATAGTGAGGGATGACAAGATAAGATATCTACCACTTCAAAACTGTAATACTTCTGTTCACAATGCAAATTTCAGCCTTGCATACCAGAAGTTCACACTATACCCCAATCTAGATGATACTTTTCCGAACATGAAAGTGACTGTTTTGACAAAGTTCCTCCAACATGTGTTTTCCCAAAACTGGGTCCCTGCAGTATTATCAACAACTGACATATAACATAACAGTGTTCACGACACTTAATTTGAAATATGATGATCAACATAGTTTCATTGGCACAATAACGTATGATTATTTAATAATTACCTTATGTCACAGTTCAATAGAGATTAAATACCCCAATTTTCTTTCACAGTAAGAGTAGAAACATGCTTTCACAGATCAATCAGAAACACCACAAAACTTTAGATCAAACTAGGAACCACATCTGACATTGATTTGCAACACAAAAGATACTAAATAAGGCAACAAAAGCTGAAGGGAAAAAGGAGAGGGGGGGGGGGCATTTTACTGAATTGGAGATAAGAATATGTTCACATCACAACATACACAATAACTAAAGAGAACACAGGGGAGAGGGAGTCACAGGCTGAACTGTGAATACTAAATTAAATAAATATATAAGCATGCAAAATGACAAGAAGAGCCATTCTTATTGCCTAGAAGATACATGAATTTGCCCTACATGGGCACAAGACTTACACAATACAAATACACGTCCCTGAATGAGCTCACAAGGTACCCTACTGGAAAACCCTGCCTCCACCTCAGACTTGGCCAACTTGAGAAAGTCACAACTTCTCTGTTAGCATACTTCACACCCTTCTTAAGGCATGTAATGCATCACTACTATGGTCATTGCCAACATAAGAACTCCCAGGAAATTGTCTATAATAATTAGAACATGCTTCATGTAGTGCACCTTCCATTTTAAAAGGAGATTCCCCCAACTCCAGTGTAAGGATATTCTTAAATCAAAGATGCACTCTCTTGATTATTTTTTCTTCTTAAAAGAACGTGAAATACAGTAAAATTAAATATTTGATAACAGGTGCTACTAGCAACAAGCATAACATACAAATAATAATAATAAAACTTAAAATTCAATAAATGCCTCTGATTTAGTCTTGTAATGTTTGTAGTAGTGATGTACTTTTAACGGCTAACATATTGAATAGTAATCTAGTGTTTGTACTTAATGAAGTCTTTGTTAATACTATGAGAGATTTCAAATAATACCATAGACAATACCGCCACAATGGAAAATAATACCTTTCAAATGCACAAGTAAGACAGAGTATTGATAGTCCAGTCTGGGGCAAAAATCTGCCTCTATATTGAGAAAATTCAGAATCTCCTAGAAGACGAATCCAATGTCCTAACAATTTGAAACTCAATACAAGCCTAAAAACATTGGCAATTTAAAAAAGAAAAGACTGGTGCGAGAGAAGCACCAGGCCTTTTCAGACAATGGTACGCTTACCAGAAGCTTCTGAATTTAACACAAATGTGTTTCTGCAAATAAAGAAACAAATAGCATTTGTATGATCTAAACAGTACTGGCTATGTTCCTACAGCTTTGAGATTAACAAATAATACAGAGGATATTGATAACTTGAAACAAACTTTGCACAATAACAAAAAGTAAACAATAATATAAAAACATACATGATGGAGTACAGCTTTGAAGCCATGAGGCCTCACGTCACCCTTCTATAATAAAATAAAAATTCTCCTGTTCCAAAAATGACTACTTCAAATTACGGTTGAAATGGATGCAACAAACATTGGCGATGCAGATGAAGATGTAGACTTTTTCTTCGAAGAACCAATGGAAATAGGAGCAATTCCAGTTTGACTCATTCTCATTGCAAATTAAAGAAAGGCTATTATGGGTCAGTCAAATATGATGACTAGAGTCTCAAATCAAAATCAAAACTACTATCAATACATGATAAAAATAAGACAGATGAACATAAAGGAAATTAAAGAGCCACCAAATAAGAAATGAAGGCCACAAATGAATGATTAAAGCTTTGAAGGGGAATATTAAAAGTAAACAACATTGTAGGTAGATGACACCAAAGTTGGAACAGAAGTCACAATTGATCTGAATATGAATCATCTTGACCTCAAAATGGTCCCTTACCTTGACTTGGAAAGTGAATTCAAGTCAAGTTGAGGTCATTTTGACATTGAGTTGCCTTGGTTTTATGCTCTACCTAGGATAGGCTCACATGTTAAAGCAGTGGCTTATCATTTATAAACCTGAGGTTTATCACCTACTGTTCAATAAAACTGTAGTTGATCTTAACATGCAGGATACACAAAATAGACATAGGTTGCAATTCCTGCTACTTTTTTTCTTTAACCTTTTCTTGAGTTTTTATCCATGTTTATAAGGCATAACCATAAGCATATCATCTGACTTATGCAATGTGCTGTTATATAGCTGCCAGATACTACCAATATTTCCAATATTAGTAAGAAATGAGAAAGAGAGAGAGAGAGAGAAGATGAAGTCAAAGTAGGAGAAAATGTTGAAAATTGTTCTAAATTTTGCACAGATCTTCCACTAATAAATTTATCTATATTTTAGTCAATATTGATTCTTTAACAATCTAACACTAAATTTTTGACATGGTAGCCTGCAAGGCAACAGATAAGATCAAAATCTTACATGTTGCCTTAATAAATATAATATACAAGACTTCAATTTAAGTCAAATAATTTAAAAGTGAAAGGAGAAAAACGTAACAACGCTGAAAGAAATGGTCCTCAGTTTATACCCCATTTCTGAGGAATCCTTAAAGGAGAGCTCAGCCACGTCTCAAAAGGCCATGATCAAACAAAGAATGATATTGTTCCACCTTTCCATGAGAGTTGTAAAAGATGGTCTTCTAAGAGATTGAGGGATGTGCTTACACTTAGTCTGGAAAACTGGCTAGACGGGGAAAACTCCTCTGCTCAGGTTTGCAGAGCTGTAGTCATTTCACGGTGAATCATGGTGAGTTCTTGAATGCGGCCCGCCAGCTGGTTGTTGAGGGTGTCTATGACTCTGCGCTGCGAGTCCTGAGCTGCCAAAGCTGTCTCCAACTGTGCTTGAGCTAAGGACATGGCCGCCTGAAGCTCGGCATTATCCTGCTGAAGACTCTGTGATGCAGAAAAAGGACATTGAAAAAATGCAAGGTTATCTGATTGCTTGAGTTCAGTGAGTTTAGTTTTAGCTACCTTGATTCGTTCCTCGGCAGGAGCTGCATTTTGCTGCTGCTGTTGCTTCAACATGTTAAGTCGTTTTATTTCTTCATCTTTATTAGTAAGTTCTCCTTCCAAAGTCTCAATTCGAAGTCTGAGTGTTGCCAGCTCTTTACGCAGTTCTACAGCCGCCTCTGTGCTCCCTTTAAAACAAATTAACCAACATCAAAAAGATGACAAATTTTTTAAGCTTCTCTCTCCAATGCATTGGGAATGTCAATGCAACTCACCCTTGGCTGCCTCTAGCTCAAGATAGCGTGTCTTCAAACGTTGATTTTCCTCTTTGTAGCTCTGAAGCTGCCTCTTCCACTCTTCAACATTTGCTGTACTCTCTTGAAGAGCTGATGTCAAGCGCACATTATTGCTTTTAAGTGTTGCAAGTTCTACCTCCCACTTTTTAGCATTTGCAGAACTAAAAAGTAAAAAAACAAAATTCATTGTGAACTGTGGATTTGACATTTGATCAATCACTATTGAAAAAGCATAAATTGAATCCATACCTTTGAGCAAGGGCTAGTTTCAGTCGGTCATTTTCATACTTCAATTGCGCTTCCCCTGACCCTAAAGGTGCTGAAGATTTGTCACCAATCTGATGCTTGGGGCTTTCTCCAGCAGACAATGACTGGCTTCGAACATGTGAGGTGCCTCCTTCTCCATCAACTTTGATTGTAGCTGTTCCACTGTTGTTCAAATGAGCTCCAGGAGGCTCTAGCAATTGTTGAGAATCAGATTGATTTTGACCCTGTGTAGCTGATGCAGCTCTGTTGCTAACTGGACTTGCATTTGCACTTGTGACAGGCGTTACACCTGTGCTCTGACCATTACTTGTTGGCTTAGTAGCTCCACCCACAAGTCTTGTAGCTTCCTTTACTTCTTGAAACTTCTCAATAAACTGTAATAAATGAAAAAAAAAAAAAAAAAGTTAAGAACTGGTATTCTTATGTTACAACAAGATAACAGGCCAAAAATCTAAATTCACCTTATTTAATTCTGCTTCCGTTGCAAAACCTAGACCATAAACTGTATTGGCACGGACATCTGACCACTGGCCAAACTTTTGTGACGTCTTAGTGAATGTCATATTTGGGGTTATAGTGCTATTTATGACAGCCTGAAGAAAAAAACAAGATATTATGATGTAAATAAAAAAAATGAGAGGCATGAATTTCAATTGTGCACCTTCAACATACCTTTGTGCCTTCCACACTGATAATACGATAGAGATTCCGCGTTGAATCATAGAAAAACGAAACGCTGACTGCTGAGGTGGAAGCAGGGATCCAGGAGCGTTTAGTTTTGGGGTCGATGTGGAAGACATGTGCCTTGCAGGTGAAAATGGGCTGCTCACTATGATTTGAACAAGAAACAGGAAATAGTTAGGAGACTATTTTCATCTCATAAAATCATTTTATGAATTAAAAATAACCTTTACTCAGGAGAACACTTGAGAATATGGTTAAATCAAAGAGAACAAAGTTAAATACAACAATATTGGAGAGATCAGAAGCTTTAAAGATATGTATAGGACAGGAAGCTTAGCATGTCTTCATGTCAATAAGGGAGAGAATCATAAACAAAATTGAGAGAAAAAAAATGTTGATTAAGAAAATAACAACAAAATTTGTTGCTTCTAACGCATTTGTTGAGTGCTAAGGAGAACAATTGTAAGAATAAGGACGATGAACAGGTAAGGTTAGTTACATTAATGGGAGTAGCCACAAACAGCTTAAACTCTGCAATTTTTAAAATACAGAGGCGTATATGAAAATTTCCTGGAGAGGCACTTTAGAAGAAACAATTAATGAAAAAACTTACCCCATTGTGTCTTTACCAGAAGTCATCCGACGACGGGAAAACAAAATATAAACTTGAGACTGACAATTCAGACGACGGGACGACGGGTTACCTGGAACCTAACCAACCCTCTCCCCCTCCCCTTTCTTGTACCCCCTTCCTGCCTTTAACTTAAGTATGAGAAACTTCTGATGTTTAAAATCAACGCCAACGCACCACAAATAGATTTTTCGGTGCCAAACGCGGTCTGGAAAAGTCCTCCCTCAAGCTCCAGAGAAAAATTATTTTTTTTGTCTTTAATCAGACAACAAGAGCGCACTAGTCGTTGGCTGCTTCCACCTTTTTCTAATCATTAATAGTGGGCTGGGATTGTGAGCGTAGTCATAAATTTCTCAAATTGTGTTTGAAAGGAAGAAATCACTCTGCACATTCACTTTGCGATACACATTCTACTTGTGCACTGTAAGCGGCAGTCGGTTTGTTGAAAACCAACAAGTCATCTGTCAATCGTCTGCTTTTTCATTTGAGTGAACCTATTACAGGAAGTCAAAATGGTGAGTTTCTCTGTCATTTATTTCCCCAACTATCTTACGCTTATTTATATGCTTTTTACTACTCTCTATACCCTTGGACTCGGGCAAACCGGTATCTTAACCTCGTTGCGTGAAATGTATTTTCCTGCCTGTCATTCATTTTACACCTGTTTTAGAGTATTCGTGTCATTTAATCTTTTTTTTTTGTGTAGGCTCGGCGCTATGACACCCGCACCACAATATTCTCCCCCGAAGGTAAGTCCATAAGTGTAGAGGTCAATATGAATTCGGGGCTTGAATTGGATCGGATGTATAACGGAAGATGATTTAATGTGTTCTTTTTCTTCCCTCAGGGCGTTTGTACCAGGTTGAATACGCCATGGAGGCTATCAGCCACGCTGGTACTTGTCTCGGTATCTTAGCCAATGATGGTATACTTCTTGCCGCTGAAAGACGTAACATAAACAAGCTTTTGGATGAGGTGTTCTTCTCCGAGAAAATTTACAAACTAACAAAGTAAGCATATCTTCATCTTGTGCCCTTATTTCCTTTAAATGCCTGATCCTGCATGCCTTAATATGTATATTCTTTCTTTTCTTAGTGACATGGTCTGCAGCGTAGCTGGAATTACTTCTGATGCTAACGTCCTCACTAATGAGCTTCGGTTGATTGCACAGCGCTATCTTGCCCAGTATGGTGAATCTATGCCCTGTGAGCAATTGGTATCAGCCCTGTGCGACATGAAACAGGCATACACTCAATATGGAGGTAACGTATTTCACTCAAGTCAACTTCCATCTTTTAAAATACCGTATTCTTATCTTTCCAATCTACATGAGCCAAATCTTCTGTATAGAAATGTTCAGAGTAATGGAAATTGCTGTTTAATTACAGGAAAGCGACCTTTCGGTGTTTCAATTCTGTACATGGGCTGGGACAAGCACTATGGATATCAGCTGTACCAATCAGACCCCAGTGGGAACTATGGAGGCTGGAAGGCCACTTGCATTGGACACAATAGCTCAGTAAGTCTTTGATTATTTATTTCATTGATACTTAGTTGTAATAATAGTTTGCTAACTTCAAAGCTTTAGAGACATTTGCTTTAAAAAAATTTTTTTTTTTTTAAATATTGAATTTGTGTTTTGTTTTAGGCTGCTGTATCAACTTTAAAGCAAGAGTACAAGGAAGGGGAGATGACACTTGAAGAAGCTAAAGCTCTGGCTATCAAGGTCTTGAGCAAGACATTAGATCTCACAAAGTTGACCTCAGAGAAAGGTAAAGACTATTATTGGCTTCAATTTTAAATTTCTTGATTGTGTTACTGTTCTAAATTCTTATCTTACATTCTTGCAGTTGAGATGGCTACTCTCACAAGAAAGGATGACAAGACTGTTATCACCATCCTCCCTGCGGCTCAGGTTGATGAGCTTGTAGCGGCTTATGAGAAACAGGAGGCAGAGGCTGAAGCAGCCAAGCGCGAGAAGCAAAAAAGCTAGTTTACACCATCTGTGTTATTGTGTGTATTGTTGGAAAATTCTTGATGTGATTCCTCTTTCTTCTGTATTAATTAAAGCTATTTTATAACTGAACTTCATGTTACTTGAACTCTGCTCCAGACAGAACACTAGTACATTGGCCTGTTGGCCTTGCAAATTTTATCTTCAAAACTTATCACATTTTACAGTCCTCTTCTCATGGAAAATTTGAAATGTGTTTTCTGATTAGCCATAGAAAAGAAAGGCTATGCTCCATATACAAGATTGGCCATTTACCAAAATCTGACTTGACTACACAGCGTTAGCAGAAGTTGGATTAGAGGAATATCTACCCATGAGTAGAAAAAGCTTGCAACTGACCTTCAGTTCCAGCCAAACTGTTAATTAGATGTCAGCAAAGGAACAAAATGAAAAAAAGTTTTTGGTGTTGGATTGTATTTATCAGTAAGAAAAGCTTTACACCAAAATTAAAAGGAAAAGGTAACATTCATAAAACAGAACATACCGAGATTTGTAACTAAAGACCTCCTGAACATGACCAAGTTGATGCATCAGTGAAGTTACACAGGACTATGATGGCAGTATTGTACAGAGCTTCATAGTGCAAATGAAGTTCCCAGAAAAAGAAAGATCAAGACTGTAAGGATATCACAATTTTATTCCCCTGGGAAACAAGGTTCATGATGCATAGAGATCTGTACAGAGTGCATACCAGATACAGCATTTAAAGACACATTATAATCTAGAGCTTAGCCTTAAATGCTTCACAAGTCATCTTTTACTGATAAAAATTGTACTTTTAATACAAAATAGCTTCCCAAGCTATTGAAATTGATAAAATTCCTACATGTTCAAGGATTGTAATGCTAATTTATTTGCTTGCGGTGAAGCTGGCGAGGAAATCTTGTACAATTTTCTTAAGCTTAGCATCTGTTGCGTCGGTGATCTTGCCGTCGGTGGAGATGGTGGTAAGGACATCCTTGTGGGAGGAACTGTTGAAATGGGACAAGTAAATATGAATTCTCAAGTAAACAGAATTAAATATAGCTTTTCCCTTTGAAGTTAAGTACTTACAGAATATGCTCCAAGAACTGCTTCTCGAAGTCAGTGATCTTTGAGGGGTCCAGCTTGTCAAGGTGGCCTCGGACACCACAGTAGATAACAGCAACCTGCTCCTCAATGGCCATGGGCACTAGAATAACAGAAAAATTTTAATGCAGGCACTAAAAGGAACTAAAAACAAAAAAGAAACACCTGAACTATAATAAAAGAACATACCATACTGTCCCTGCTTCAGGAGCTCAGTAAGACGGACACCTCGGTTCAGGAGCTGCTGGGTGGCAGCATCAAGATCTGAACCGAACTGGGCGAAAGCGGCGACCTCACGGTACTGCGCCAACTCAAGCTTCATGGAACCAGCCACTTGCTTCATGGCACGGGTCTGGGCAGCAGATCCTACTCGTGATACGGAGAGACCGACGTTGATAGCAGGTCGGATACCCTTGTAGAACAACTCAGTTTCCAAGAAGATCTGTCCGTCAGTGATGGAAATTACGTTGGTGGGAATGTAAGCGGACACATCACCAGCCTGGGTCTCAATCACAGGCAGGGCAGTGAGGGAGCCACCACCAAGGGCAGTGCTCATCTTGGCGGCACGCTCCAGCAGACGGGAGTGGAGGTAGAAGACGTCACCGGGGTAGGCCTCACGGCCGGGGGGTCGGCGCAGCAGCAGGGACATCTACAACAGGCACTTGCCAGTCAGTTGCCACATTCTAGCATTCAAGAACCAAATCCAAGTGTTTATGAAGGACATCTCACCTGACGGTAGGCAACAGCCTGCTTGGAAAGATCGTCATAGATGATAAGGGCGTGCTTGCCATTGTCACGGAAGTATTCACCCATGGCACATCCAGAATAAGGAGCCAAGTACTGCAGAGGAGCAGCATCAGAGGCGGTGGCAGCAACAATGATGGTGTACTTCATTGCACCTAAAGAGCCAGGCCTCATTAATAACACAACCTAATTGACACACAGACACAGACACAGACAGCATTAACATACCGGCGTCAGTAAGCCTCTTCACAATCTGGGCGACAGTGGAACGCTTCTGACCAATGGCAACGTAGATACAGTACAGCTTCTTCTTCTCGTCAGTTCCATCGTTGAAACGGAGCTGGTTGATGATGGTGTCGATGGCCAAGGCAGTCTTGCCGGTCTGACGGTCACCAATGATCAACTCACGCTGACCACGGCCGATAGGCACCAAGGAGTCGACGGCCTTAATACCAGTCTGCATGGGGTCCCTCACAGACTCACGGGGAATGATACCAGGGGCCTTGGTGCCGACACGGTACCTAGAAAGAGCACATTTCGTGAGATGCAATACTTCAATGAAATTCTATACATTCAGGGGCAACCCAGTCACTCAGTGACTTGGTTACTCAATGAATGACAAAATAAAGCAATGAATGGTAAGTCAGTGCATAGACAGTTCTTTTACCTCTGGACTCCCTTAACGGCACCCTTGCCGTCAATGGTGTCACCCAGAGCATCAACAACACGTCCAAGCAGATCATCACCAACAGGGACGTCCACAATGGCACCAGTACGCTTGACAATGTCACCTTCCTTGATAAGCTTGTCATTACCGAAGACGACAACACCAACGTTGTCAGGCTCCAAGTTCAGGGCCATTCCCTAGAAGGAGAAACATAATTAGAGGACTGTCTAAAGCTACACTTGATACTCACACATCAAAATAATTTATCTCTTACCTTAAGACCAGATGAGAATTCCACCATCTCATCAGCCTGGATGTTCTTCAGACCATACACACGGGCGATACCATCACCAATGCTCAAGACGCGGCCAGTTTCTTCGAGGTCGGCCTTCATGGAAACGAAAAGTTCTATGAATTGCTCATTGAATGGACACTGACAATGAATGGTGCAAAGGAACATACCTTGGGGGCTGATCCCATAATTCTCTCCTCCAGGATAGATGACAATTCCGCTGCTCGCTTGCTGCAGGAGACATGAAGGGTACGTGCAGCAGCGACCTGGGTCGCAGGCCAAGCCAGGTTGGAAACCTGTCAAAGAAAAAACATACAGTAAAACATGTATTTTACAAGATGAAAGCAATGCAGCACTCAATAAGCTTCAATTTAACAACAAAAAGTGGTAAATTTCACAAATTAAACAGGTTTTATCAATAACCTACACCAAGGGTTAACTTGCCATCTCACATGACCTCATACCCGGAGAGGTTAGGAGGTTCCCAGACTTGGTGCATAGTTCTAGCGGTCACGGCGCGCATCGCCATCATTTAGGACTGACACTGTGCAATGTGGATCGGCCGAGCCAAATGACAACCACCCGGAGGGGGCGTCCGATACCAAAGGGCCCATTTAGCTGCATTTTCGCGGCCGGCACACCCTCAGTTTTAGCAAAGAGACGACACTTGCAATCAGCTGATACCCAGTGGCAACGCTAAACAGCCCCAAAAAAGTGGACTGGGGATGTTTCGGACTCCAATTACGGGGCGTAGGAGGCTGCATTAACGCCAAAATTGAGTCTAGAGTGAAATGTCCTCCAGAAGATAGAGGGCAACCTCTGCAGCCCCCTGAAGGCACATCGTCTGCCCAAGTTTAAGTCAGAATGAAACGGGAATACAGCGAATTTTGGAACTGCCGGCAACAAAACCAGGAGAATTTGGGTTATTTTCTTACCTGTGGGACGGCATTTGGCAATGCCTTCGCCACCTTGGCAGCGAGACGAGCGGAGAGGAGAGCCATTTTGAACAACACTTATCGAAGGGACCCCAAAGATGGAGAGCAGTAGACAAATCAAATCCCAGCAGGCCATGCACCGTGTAGCCTCCAACCCAAAGCGTCGCCCGAAAATTTGCTATTTGAAAGAGGTGGACGATCGATGATAATACACATTGGTTAAAAAGATTAGTTAAACTGAATAGTTTCTACGCAGTTATTAAGGAAATTCACACCTTTCATTTTAAGTAAAGTTACTTAAAACGGTCTTGCGTAGCTTTGGGTTGGAGACTATGCTGTATGGAAGATATGCCGATCTGCACGGCCAGGGTTATCTTGTACGTTGGGAAAATACAAATTTAAGCCTCATTTCAACTTGCGGAGTTCAGATAAACACGACAGTAGACGAGGAATATATTTTTCTTATCATAAAAAATGCGTCCGTTGCTGTGAAACTGACTTGAGAACCGCAAAAAACAACTCTGTGTCTGCCCGTCGAAAAGATTGACCACTGCGACCACGAAGGAGTTGAGGGTTGAGAGAGAGAGAGAAAGAGCGATCCTTCGCTTCACTTGTCGCAGTCGGAGAGACTCCGTGGTTGAAGTCTGTACAGCCCGCCCGGGACTTTACATCTTACCACCAGGTGGGCGTCGTTGAGTGGCCAAATCTTGATTTCTGTGTGTTTTCTCCCATTCCCTTGTTTCTTTACCGTACCGCCATTGTTGTGAGGCTTTAGTTTAATTCAAAAGCTGTGCTTTCGGTTCATGCCGTTCCGATCATTGAGGTTGTACAAAATTGGCATTCCCTCTGACCTCATGGTGTGAAAGTATTTTCGCCATCCTGTCGTGTTTGAGCAAGATCCCCTCATTTCTGCCTTCGTTTTCGGAATCCTCCCACGATTTCTTCTTCAGGGGTGTATAAATTTGTTAGGTTTTTCCTCGAAAAGTGGTGTTTTTGGGGTCGGCGTCCCTTGGGCGAGGGTGTCCCCTTTGCTTCCGCTGACCGTGCTGGTTTTCTCCAGGGTCGCCTGTCGGCTCATTTTGCTGATCCCACACCCGGGCCCGCGAGGAGTCTTCGTCTTCTGTCATCAAAACCGCGGAAGTGCGGTTTTTGCTAGTCGAGACACAGTTCCAGCCAAGGTGAGTACACGTTTTTTATGGGAGCGTCCTTCCCGAGGCACCGTTTCGTGGCCGGTTTTCGATTTTCCGTGCAGGATTCTTGCTTTCCCTCGGGGCTGTGTGTACTTCGCGACGTTCGTAGTCGCGGTTCTGTTAAAACGCGATCCGCCGGTGTGCCGGACCTGGCCGGCCCCGGCTTTCGTCAGGCCTCAGCCTGAGGTTTCGTTCTTGCCATTCTGGCATGAAGTCCCTCCGATCTAACCGAGTTCCTAGTATTTCCATAGTCTTGTTGCGTCTCCTTCGTTAAGCAACGCCTAATCTCTGATCAATATCGTCTAGGCACCTGTTGAATGGGGACCCCCCTCTGGTCTTGCCTGGCCCTGTGCAGATTAGGTTAGGCGTCCTCCCCCAAAAACTATCTAAAGGATATCTTGACTTAAAATTTGTAGTGGCCGCTGCCTCGGCGTTCTGGTTAACTGCTTTGGGGCTAGTTTGTCCTCCATATGAGTTTTTGGCAGGTGACACTGTTGCATTGTCGAACATGTGTCAGGAAGCCTACATTGTTTGGGATGGTTGCGCATCACTTAACTAGGAAGGGTTGTGATGTTTTACGGTCCTAGTTTCAGTATTCCTGGTGAATATGTTTGGTGGTACTTACGTTGGGAGGGAAGCCGCTCGCCAAGGTTCAAATTTGATTCCGATTGATACTCCCCGATACTGTTCAGTGACCCGTTGTGAGTGATGCCCTGAGCTTACTTTTTTCTTGTGCTGATATTGATTTGCTATGTCATGTTTCAGGTAACCTTTCGCCATGGATGATGATTGGGATGATTCGGTGAGTGCAGCTAGAGTAGCTGGAGAGTGGCGTGCTGGCCTTGGAGTGCGAGTTGTCTGACTGTAACTGTTCCAGCCCGCCCCCTCTGGAGGCGCCGGCCGTGGCTGGGGAGGCAACGATGACGGCGGCGAGCGTCGCGGTGGAGGTCGTGGAGGCCGCGGCGGTCGGGGTGGCTTTGGAGGCCGACGAGATGACGACGGCGAGGGCGGCGGCGGCTACCGACGTCGCGATGATGACGGCGAGGGCGGCGGCGGCGGCTACCGACGTCGCGACGACGACGGCGAGGGTGGCGGCTACCGTGGTGGGCGTGGCGGCCGTGGAGGTCGTGGAGGTGGCCGCGGCGGCCGCCGAGAGGACGGAGAGGGCCGCGACGGCGACGAGGAAGGGGGCGGCTACAGAGGCCGCCGTCGTGACGACGATGACGGCGGCTTCAGAGGCCGGCGCCGTGACGAGAATGGAGAAGGCGGCGAGGAAAACGGGGAAGGTAACTGCACTGGTCTTGCTGCACCGGTCAATGTGGAGTCTAAATTGCCCAATCCTCATTCTTGTCTGAATTACAGGTGGTGAGGATAAGCCCAAGCCGCCAGTCACTTATGTTCCCCCGGAGCCAACAGAAGATGAGGGGGAGATGTTTGGCACGGCTATTGGTAGTGGCATTAATTTTAACAAGTATGATAAAATTGAAGTGAAAGTAAGTGCCTTTTGTTTAAATTTGCTGGCATCAGTCCTTGGTGTTCTTGATCTCATCTTCTGTTTTTTTGTTCCAGGTATCTGGTGAAAATGCACCAAAGCACGTAAACAGCTTTGCCGAAGCGGGACTTAGGAATATACTACTACAAAATATTACGAAGTCAGGGTACACTACCCCAACACCCGTACAGAAATATGCCCTGCCGATTGTAATGGCAGGGCGTGATTTAATGGCTTCTGCCCAAACTGGCAGCGGCAAGACTGTAAGTTGCCCATTTATATTTTCATTGAAGTTAAAGAAGGCCCTGTCTTAATGTTTTTCATGTGTTTCAGGCTGGCTTCTTGTTACCTATTTTGCACAAACTGTTAAGTGAGCCAACTGATTTGGTGACAGACGGAGAAGACAGTCAACCTCAGGCAGTGATTGTTAGCCCTACTAGAGAATTAACTGTCCAGATTTTCAATGAAGCTCGCAAATTTGCCCATGGATCCATTTTGAAAGTCTGTGTGGCGTATGGTGGTGCTGCTGTCCGCTATCAAGCTGATAAAGTTCGGGTATGTTGTCTGTCATTGCTACCGTGTTCTATTTCTTTAGCATGTTGGTGGCTAACCTTTCCCTTTCCAGGGGGGGTGTCATGTGTTGGTGGCCACACCAGGCAGACTGATGGACTTCGTCAATAGGGGACGAGTTTCCTTCTCCTCAATTCGGTTTGTCGTGCTGGATGAAGCCGACAGAATGTTGGATATGGGTTTCCTTCCTGAAATGGAGAAGATGATGGAACATCCTACCATGGTTGCAAAGGTATGTTCAAATTGAGTTAAATTTGCTGGCACAAGGAGTTCTAGTTCTTGAAAATTGTTTGACAGGGTGAGCGTCAAACACTTATGTTCTCCGCTACCTTCCCTGAAGAGGTACAAAAGTTGGCTCGAAAGTTCCTTCAGGACTATGTGTTCTTGGCTGTGGGTCCTGTAGGAGGTGCCAACTCAGATGTGACACAGCGAATTATTGAGGTTGAAAGGAACACCAAACGTGACAACCTGATGAAGGTTCTTGAAGAAACAGGTATGATTTGAACTTCTTGTAGAGTTGGCTGTCAAGGATGGCTTTGCTCATTTGATTGTATTTCCAGAACTCGACAAGACTCTAATCTTTGTGGAAACTAAGAGGAATGCCGATTTCTTGGCTGCATTCCTTTCTGGCAAGAACTTGCCCACCACATCTATTCATGGCGACCGGGAGCAGAGGGAGCGGGAAGAGGCTCTAAGGGACTTCACCCGAGGAACCATGAAGATCCTGGTGGCTACAGCTGTTGCGGCCCGTGGTCTAGGTTGGTGTTAAGTCTCTTTGCTCTTTGTAACTCCTCCACATTTTTCTAATTTATGTCCTATTTCAGACATCAAAGGTGTGGCACATGTGATTAATTTTGACATGCCCAAGTCAGTGGATGAATTCGTCCACAGGATAGGCCGTACAGGTCGTGTGGGCAACACTGGAAAGGCCACCTCATTTTATGAAGCCTCAACTGATTCTGCCATCGCAGGTGACCTGGCGAAGATATTAAGAGATGTAAGTAATGTCTAGTGTAGTCTAAGCTCTCTCTCCAACTCATACACTCTTAGCTAATGCTACTCGACTTTTGTTCAATAGGCTGGTCAAGAAGTACCTTCCTTTTTAGAGGGGTATTCTTCAGGTGGAGGATTCTCCAGTGGTACTTCAGATATCCGTGGTGTAAGTAAACAACTTGACTTTTGTCTTTATTTGGGCATTGAACTTGTGGCTAATTTTTCTATTGTTCTGTTGCAGGGTGGCACCACCCAAGTGCTGGAGAAGGATGATGATGAATGGTAGGAATGCCATCGCCGTGACTTCAAGACAAGAACCCTGTGATATATCTTTTATCACTGTTTTTTTGTTAATGACATGTCTCTTGAGCGAGATTTTTTTTTTCTGACTTTTCATGTTTTTGACTTAATTGTTTTTTGTACTTTATATATACATAAGAATTAAAGTTTAGTTTTTGATAAGTCTTTTCTTATTCCACACTCAATCGTGTCCCGCCTTGAATTTTCTATTGGAGATTCTCATGTTTAGTCACCTACTCTGACAAGCTAGTCCAATTCCTATGATCTTCCTGAGGCAAGCCTCGCTGTACCAGGCTCCTTGATTCTCCAGCCTTCTATCTCAATTCAAATGCTGCCACTTACTAGCTATCATGGCAAATTGTACTTAACACTTGGAACAAACTTTACAACATCAGGGTTCCATGGGTCAGGGAACTAAGAAGGAGCACTGAGCATGAGATATTAATTCCATGCTCCATGTGGAAAATAAATATCGCCCTTTTTAATTTAACATATATACCTGTCTAATCCTCACTTACAAAGTATTTAACTGATTGTGGAGCGCATTTAAAACTGTAAGTCAAGGAAAATCAAAAATTTTTACTCAGGGGAAATCAGGGACAACATGAACTGGTAACCAGTGTGAACCCTGAACCTCAATATTTGGGATGGAAAAAGTGCTGCAACTACACTGAAGTCCTCATTGGTCACTGCCTAGGGTGATGATAATAAAAAAAAGGGACTTGAGAACAGAGCTCTCAATTGTTGAGACACTTCAAGGCCTAACTAAGCCTCTAATAGAATTAAATAACAGGATTCAAATAAGATACAGCGATATTTCCTTTTATTAGACAACAATGAATTTCTATAATACCTACTACAAAAGGCATTAGAAAATACAGAAAATAATAATACATGATTTAGCATCCTTCAAGTTATTTTCAACTGTCGCACATAGACAATCCTACACATATAATACAGTTGCAAAATTCCATTCATTCATCTGTCCATAACAAATAAAAAAAAATTGGGGGAAAATTGGAAATAAAGATACAATACTTGCAGATAGAGGGGAGATTAAAGGACATTTTGTAGTCAAGGAAGTACACAGTCCGTAACTATTACGGAGTAACAGTGCACAGCACCTTTCACAAGGACAACTTTGGTTTCATGAGATTTGTTCACAGGGTTGGGAGAGCACAAGACTTTAGTCTCCGATCCGCGAAGAGGGAGATATACAAGATTTTACACAATGTAAAATACCTTTCCTTCCTTTACTCCGCAGAACGCTTGGTATTTTTGAAAAATGTTGGAGCAACCAAAGAGTACCACAACACATAAAAATACGAGCAAAATGAATAAAAGGAAAGGAAGAGAGCCAATAGCAACACCTAGTCAACATGACAAATGTATCAGAGAGAAAATAAGAATGTTGATAAATGAGCTACAGGCTTCAGAAACTCGTCTAATTCGCCCAGTAATTCTGAGAGTACACCTGCTTTGAACCCGGCTTGTTGGACTGGGTTGATGATTGTGATCTCTGACCACTGTTGTTACCAGATTCCTAAAAATGAGGAGCGAGTGTAAGAAACCCATTGACTTGAAATATAACAGTAGTCACCATAAAAAGTATTTTTTTCTATACTTACAGATCGCCTGGAAGTATTCCTCATATCCATTTGCTGATGTACTGGGTGCTGCATTAATGTGGTTGAGTGATGCTGTGGCATTGGGGGTGGGATGTATAACGGAGTCGGAAAAGCTCCACTGGGTGCCATGCCTGTGTTTTGATTTCCAGCAAGATTGAAAGGAGGTGGAGTGCCGGAATGGAAACCTTTGTCGTAAGACTGCAACAAAACCATAAAATGTAAAACTTCCGACAAGAGTTTCCTGGATTTAATTTAAAGCTTTTCAATGACACTTCTTCAAGTACACTTACATTGACTTTGCTCAGAGCAACATGAGTCTTGTTGAAGATGTCTGTACTGGAGGAGCCGGTCGAGGGGGCATTAGCTCCAACTCCAGCCTTGCTTCCAGTCTGTGCCCCAGAGTGGCCACCAGTGTAGCCACCACTTCCCTTGCTGTAGTCTTGTGATGCTGACAAGCTCTCATAGCCAGAGCCATAGCTGCTACCATAGCTGCCAGGCTTGGGATACTGAGAGGAATTTGAGTTGCCGTGAGCATTTGTTGCTGGAGCTACCTGCTGATAGAAAGCAAAAGTAAAGTCAGTTTAAGGAGCAATTCTGGCCAATCAAGCGATAGCTGAGGATCTTTTTCAACTCACAGGGTACATAGCGGTTGGTGTTCCATATTGATAGTTGGCCGGCAGCACCGACCCACCATAGTAATATGTGTAGCCTGGTGGGAAGCTTGCAGCATTCATCATAGGCTGGTGTTGGGCTTGAGTGGGATTCTGAATCAAGAAAAAGCATAATTATTATAAAACAAAAAAGGCACAGGACAGACAAATATCTTGTGGCACATCAAAAATCAAAAACACACCTGCTGCGAGAGGGATGAAGGAACTGGCGAAGCATTGTCAGTTCGAGCAAACCTAGCATCAGACATTGAGTAGGGAACATTAGCTAAGCTGCCATCCCTGCCAGTGGCCAAGCTTGTTGGTGCTTGTTGGAAACTAATGTCGTAGTATCCTGCAGGCTACAAACCAAGCAATCAAAGTAATTATCATCAGTAAACACTAGTTTCAACAACCAACTCAAATTCGGGATGGCCAGCTTACCATGTGAGGTATCCTCAATGGCAGTATTTGCTGCTCTTCATAGCCATACACAGCAGGTTGCTGGGCAAAATACTGAAGTCCACCTTGGCTTATCATGTACTGGGTGCCAGCTGCAATAATGGGTGCTACTCCAGGTGGCACATTTTGAACAACATTCTTTGCTACAATACGATAAAATAATTCAAAGACATTGTTCTCACCAAACAAATGAACCTTAAGTTTGAGAGAATGGCATTTTACTCACCAGATGAATTTGTAACTTTTGTTGAAGTGTTGTTAGCATTGGGCAAAGATGTCGCTCCCTGCATTCCGAGAGACTGAGAGTTGTTGACAGATCCACCTCCATGCGGGCCAGACAAGCCAGGAGCGCCAGAACTGCTAGTCATGGGGCCACTCAGATTTGACGATGAAGTTGCAGTCGTGTCATACTGGAACATGATAGGCGAAGTTAGCATGCTTCCTTCAAAGCACTTATCAAAGGTTTCACATACTGTCTGATGAGCATACCTGAGGCATGTCCTTTGCTCCACTCAAGACAGAGGTAAGCTTATTTGTACTAGATGCAGAGGCTGTGGTAGTTCCATAGCTATTCTGATACACACTGGCACTGCTGGCAGTGGTGTAACCACTGGTGGAGCCCACTACAGAACCAGAGGTGTTGCCCCCTGTTGCTGCACCAGCATTGCCGCCACCATACACAGACTGAACCCCCACATTTTGGTAGCCTTGGTTTGTTGCATTAGAAGGGTAGTTAGTGGGGTAGGTGTTTGGAGCATTAGCAGACACTGCTTGGGATGCTGAGTAACTGGTTTGATTGTAACCAGTGGATGGCTGATACCCACTTGCCACACTTTTCTGGCTTGTGTAACTTGATTGGTAGTTAGAGTTAGGTGCCGAGTACGGGAGAGATCCTGCTGCTCCAGCAGCGCTTGCACTCACAGCGACTGAGCCCTGGTCATTCTTGACAAGGCTATCTAGAGGCGACTGCACAACCCCCACACCAGGTCCCCGAGACTGCTGATTAAAGTTGCTAGGCTGTGATTTGAGATCATTGCTTTGCGACTGAGAAACAGATTGAGTCTGTTGAGACTGAGACCCTTGTAATAAAGTATCCTGAAGGGTTCAAACAAATACAGATGTTAGTGTTAACACCCTAGAAAAAACTAGGATAAGAAGTGACAAGAGTGGCGTGGACCTTACCTTTAAGTTTTGTGTCAGAGCAGCAGCCTTTGCAGATGCAAATGGATCCATATCCAAGCTTGCTTGAGAAGCAGGTGCGGACACCGAATCCATGCCACCAGCACTGACCCCTGAGGGGTACTTGTTGGCCATGGGCGATGGTTGACTCTGAGGCTGAACAGATGGAGCTGACTTTGGAGAAGATTGTGGTTCCATTTCAAAGGCCTCAGTTCCAAAGTCTAAAGCACCAAATTGCACATCCAGTGCACCGATGTTACTGACTCCATCTCCTGGCATTTCAACCGCACTCTGAGGAATCTGAGACAACAAATCACCATTAAAATCTTTATCATGTTCTTATTTCAGTGAATACTGAACTGGCAGATTAAGCACTAAAGATAAATTACCTTAGAGGGAGGTGGTACTCTTGGCCGTTGAGTCTTTGTTCTTGCTGGGAGAGCTTGCCCACCAGAAACCCGAGTGGTCCCATCTTGATGTGATCCATACACAGTGCTGTAGGATGTTGCAGTCGCAGTGTATGAGGCAGGCTGAGCTTGCCCAGTTTGGTAGGTACTGAAAGTGTTGACAGATGAAGCCGGAGTGAAATTGGTCTCTGCCGCAGAAGAGACAGAGGGAACCGACGCACTGACAGCAGAGTATGAGCTTGGGTAGCTTGATGCAGCCGGTGCACTTGCACCAGAACTTGCAGCACTTGCAGCATAGCTGTTATAAGTAATGCCTGAAGAAGGGGCGGACGGAGTCATGCCTCTGGTAGCAGTCTTGGATTCAGTGGAATTTGTCATGGGACCAGCCATTGTCCCAGACAGCGCATTGGAACTTTGTAGCTTGTTGTCTGGCAACTGCCTCAGGTACTGTGTCTGTGCTGCTGACAGGCTTCCACCACCAGCTGCACTCTGCAAATAGCAAGAGAAAAAAGTTATTAAAAAATAATGAAAGTTGAGGAAAACTGTAACATTGACATTGAACCAACTAAACATACCTGTGCATAATTGAGATTTGTAGAATTGACACCAGGTTGGGATGATGGGTCTGTACTGCTACCAACAGTATGGGATGCCATACCATCATTGCCAGAAGAATCTCCACCCACATTGCTTGGTGTGAACACCTTAGTGTCCGACAAGGAACCAGTGTATTCTTCATTGTCCCAGTCTTCAGGGGATGGGAAATTATCTGCCAAGGAAAGAGGACACAATAAGAATGCAAGGTCATAGCAGCTAGTATCTGCCTTGCCAAGCAGCAAGACTGGCAAGACTTACTTGACTTGGCGTCAGTGCCGTCTTCCTCAGGGTTCCAAGGGGTGGCCCTGGGGAAGGCAGCACCGCCTCGGTCGTGCCCTCCGCGGCTGGAAAACGACCTGGGCCCACCGCGGCTCCCGCCCCGGCCACCGCCTCTACCGGCACCATTGCTCAACCGACCCCCTCGGTTGCTGCCACCAGCTCCTCCTCGACGGAATGAATCTCGTTGATCCCTGTCACCTCCTGCGGATCCTGCAGAGGGACCTGAACCTCGGCTCTCCTCCAAGTTACGCTCGTTTTCCTTGTTTTCCCTTCCTCTCCCTGTAGAGGCAAAGATCCAGATAAAATAAGTTGGGAAGGGACAGGAACAGGTGGGTAGAGCACAATATACGGTAGTTTCCACTTACATCCTCGGTTGTCCTGAGCACCTCGGCCTCGCATTCTGGGAGCACCACTGCCACCTCCTCTCTGGTTTCGCGTCCGTTGTGTGTCAGCCTGTGTGACAGGTTTGGTGGGTGTTTCATCATCCCAATTTTCACCATCAACATCAGCACTGCTGATACCACGAGGAGCTCCAGAGTCTGATTTTGAGTTAGCACTGGGCTGACGGTTCTTTTTCTTCTTACTGGAGGTCTCCCACTCACCCTGAGAGCAAAGAATATGTTACTTTACTTCCAATACAAAAGATGAAATATGACTTGCAACAGCACAGCAACTTACAGAATTTTGACCCTCAATTAGCATGTTGACAGCTCTGTTGGCATCGTAATCAGAATCAAACAGAGCTGAAACTACCTCTATCTCAGGTCTGTGGGTGGCATCCATCACCTAAAACAATTGGTTGTTCAAACATCAACAAATGCATTCAGAACCAAACAAAAAGGGAATACCCACTTCCATGAACAGCAGGCTTACCTGTTTAATCTTTTCCTTCAGCTGAGGATCTTCCTTGTCACCTATAATTTGTGCAATTCTCATCTGTTCCTAAAAAAGAAAAGACAGCGCTTGAAAACAAACAGGAGGGATGCCTTTGTGATCCATTCTATAGTGTACCAGTACTGACCTGTGCTTTAGAGTTCTCCATGGTTTTAGCTGTTTCTGTCTTGGTGTCTGTTTTCTGAGCTTTTGCAGTAGCATTAGTATGCTCCACCTTCCCGCTTTTAGAGCCACGGGATGTGGCTCGACCAACTGAGCTCATCCCTAACACTATTTACACCTACTATTTACAATCCAATCTGAAACAAGAAGAAAATGCAATCTTAATAAACCTAGCCGGGCAGCTACAGAATTACATCAGCTCAGATTTCCCCGCATTAAGACAAAGCCTAGAACAGCCTAGAAGTGATTTTAAATAAGAAAATCGTTGAACATAAATTAACTAAATTAAAAATTTCAACAGGTCACCAGCTCTGTTTAGCACAACTTATAACCTACAATAGTTTATTAAGAAATTTATTTTAAAAAATCAAAGGAGTTTATAGATTTTGAAGTCTAGAATGAAACTAACGAGTTTCAAAACCACAAAAATCCGAAAACATTGTTGCAGCAAGGGACAACCAATGCCTCATGAGCACAGTAAACAACCTGGCCACGACCAAAACAATTTGCCAAAATTCCAAAGAAAACAGTGAAATCCACCCCTAGGCCGGAGCCCATCGTCGACACGACACAGCCCGGCCAAACAAGCGCTCAGATTCGGAGTAAATACTTGATTTGCAGGGCATACGTGCGAGAGAGAGGGTTAGCAGTGCAGGGGCGGCGAGGCGGGCAAGGCGAGCACAGCCACAAAGGATGGGCCAGCAACCGCAGTACCAAATGCCGGCTAGCACTTATTTTTGAAAACAGTCGCACACGGGGGCAGTCACAGTCGAGCTACGACTCAAATAGACCCCAGCTTCGAAATTAGGGCCATTTCTTGCCCAAAACAAGAAAGAAAAATGAAAAAAATAATCACAGTCGAGGCGGTGAATAGGCCACAGGCGGTGCGGTGGGGTTGAGTGACTCAGGCTTAGCCAAGGTCAACACATACTCTTTATCGGTCCGAAAGAGTACACTCGCCAAGGTTCAGACTGGAAAAGAGTTCACTTCCAATCGCACCCAAATAATCTATCTCATACAGCCGATTGAGTCAGCCATGTGGGGAGGACGCCATTTCAGAGCCTTCTTTTAGGCTTACAGTTGACAACCATCCCAAGTACCACTCATTTTTTCGGTTCCTCCATTAAAAATAGGCATGTTACACCTGCGGCGAGGGAATCTGCTTGAAGCTGAGCTTAATGCGGTCAAGTCTCGAGCAAAACAAACACATAAATACCACTAAATTACCGTAAATCTGATCGGAATTGAGCCGTACCTGCAAAATGCGCTCAAATAGAAGCTAAGTCACGTGACACAAGAGTCAACCGTCACGGCCTTGTTGAGCACCTTGTTGCATCTTCCTCTGTTCGATTCGAATCACCGAATTTGCCGCTTTCCTGTTCGGGTATTTTAGGCGCGGCCTCGCTTCCACTGCAAGCTCGGAGGGCTTATCGGAGCTTCTCGCCGACTGCCCACTTGGCTAATCTCGCAGAAACCAGAGATAAAGCCACTTATCTGGGGCCGCATCACAGCCCCCTTGGTTCTTGTGGCCGAACCGTCCCGACGGGGGAGGGGGAGCGGGGACGGGGTGCGGCTGCGGCAGTCAGTGCAGTGCATCGTCAAATGGGTGTTTGACGTCCAGTGCAGTTGGAGGCGTACTATTCAGTTGATCTCTTTCAATGTGTAGACGCTGGTAGTGTAGTCGAGGTCTTAGAAGATGGGGGATTCGATCGAGGCGGTGCCGGAGGGCACGCCCGAGCCTGAATCTGTGGCTGTTGTCGACTTCAACGACTTCTGTAACTACATTCGCAAAGTGGTGACAGTGTTGCTGCCAAACGTCGACACCGTTCCACCGGCCCTAAATGCGGCCCTGCAGGACCGTAACAACCAGGAGTGCATCCGCAAGTTCATCAGCGACCAGCAGGTGCCGGTGCTCTTCATTCAGCGAACTTCGACCAAAGGTAGCCGCCCCGGTTGGATTTTTGTTTTGTAGGTTAAGACCCCTTAGCGGCTAGAGCTGTGTGCCCATGACGGCAGACAGCAGGACAGCTGCAGCCTTTCAAACGTCTTCGTTTGCGTTCCGCTCGGTGAACGTATCATGCACTCATTTCAAGCCGGGCGGAGGCCCAAGTGTCCTTGCTCTCTCTTGGCTTCCAGCTTATACGCTGTCCTCTGAAACAATGGGTTTAAAACATGCGTGCACTTCTGGTTTGCTGATGTCTATGTCTCTGACTGTTCCAGATGAAGATGGAGAGCCAACAGAAGGGGAGGAGAAGGAGGAAGCATATTACTTATCCAATCAGGTCCAGTACACCAGTCCCAAGGAAAGCAGGTGTGATTCAATGTCTTGTCTGTTGAGTCTAGTGTTTGTCGTGCAGAATCTTACGTTTGTTTCGATTTTGTTCCAGCCTTGTTTGTGTCAAGAGAAATTTGGTGGTGGAAGCCGACAAGAACATTCACTCACAGCTCCGTCTCACCAATTTCTGTGAAGGCTCTCCTTATGAGACAATCCATTCCTTTGTTAGCAAGTGGATGTCTCCTTACTTCAAGAGCTATGTGAAGGAATCTGGTAGAGCTGATAGGTACACAACCACATACTTTGTTTATGCCATATGAGTGAGTGAACGTGTTTTCTAACCAATTTTTTGTGTGCAGGGATGGAGACAAAATGGCCCCATCAGTGGAGAAGAAGATGGCAGAGCTGGAAATGGGCTTGCTGCATCTTCAGCAGAATATCGACATTCCAGAAATTTCCCTGCAGATCCATCCAGTGGTCATATCGGTCATCAAGCAATGTGCAGATGAAGGCAGGAAGCCCAGAGTGGCAGACTTTGGAGATAGGGTTGAAGACTCCACTTTCCTTAATCAGCTGCAAACGGGTGTCAATAGATGGATCAAAGAAATTCAGAAAGTAAGTGTTTTCTTTGCTTTTCACAGTATGCATGCATTAGTTAATTGACTGCTCAGCACTTAAACAATTAACTTTCCAGGTGACCAAATTGGATCGTGATCCATCCTCTGGAACTGCTCTACAAGAGATTAGCTTCTGGCTAAATTTGGAGCGTGCTTTACATCGGATTCAAGAGAAGCGAGAGAGTTCAGAAGTGGCTCTGACTCTTGACATTCTTAAGCATGGAAAGAGATTCCATGCCACTGTGAGCTTTGATACTGATACTGGTTTGAAGCAAGCTCTTAGCTATGTTAATGATTACAATCCCTTGATGAAAGATTTCCCAATTAATGACTTGCTGTCTGCAACTGAACTTGATCGTATCAGAGCTGCTATCTTACAAATCTTTGCTCATCTTCGTAAGATTCGTAATACTAAATACCCTATGCAAAGAGCTCTTAAACTGGTAGAAGCCATATCTCGCGACATGAGCTCTCAGCTTTTCAAAGTGCTTGGTACAAGGCGTCTGATGCACATCCCTTTTGATGAATTTGAGAAAGTGATGACTCTCTGCTTCAATGTTTTCCTGACTTGGGATGATGAGTACGATAAACTTCAGCAACTTCTCAGGTGAGATTTTCTTGTTTTTATTCCTTTTTCTTTTATTGTAGTTTCAATGTTTGAATTGTCAAGATTTCTCTAATATCTGCCTCATGTGTTTAGGGACATTGTGAAGAAAAAGAGAGATGAACAGTTGAAAATGGTCTGGCGTGTGAATCCTGCCCACAAGAAGCTCCAAGTCCGCATGGAAAACATGAGACAATTCAGACACCAGCATGAACAGCTACGAACTGTAATTATGCGAGTTTTGCGTCCAAACATTATGATGGTTCTCTCGGGGAGGACTGAGCCACCGCCGCCAGAAGGTGGAGATGCCTCTAACTTGAAGCAAGATGCTCTTGCTATTGAGGCTGCAGATGCCAACGCCATTGAGGTTTGACTTCGAATTTATCCTATCTTTCTGTGCATTTCTGTATCTTTTGAGATTGTTGATTTTTTATGACTGCTTGTGTTGAATTTTCAGGAAGTTAACTTGGCTTATGAAAATGTGAAAGAAGTTGATTGTTTGGACATAAGCAGAGAAGGAATGGAAGCATGGGATGCTGCTGTGCGGCGCTATCAGGAAAGAATTGATAGAGTTGAAACTCGCATCACTGCACATTTGAGGGACCAACTAGGCACTGCTAAAAATGCCAATGAGATGTTCCGCATTTTCTCTCGTTTCAATGCCTTATTTGTGCGCCCTCACATCAGGGGTGCTATCCGGGAGTATCAAACTCAGCTCATTCAACGAGTGAAGGATGACATTGAGGCCCTCCATGAGAAATTCAAGGTAAGTTCTGTCCTGCTTTGAATTATTCTGCTCAAGGTTATTTTTTTTTTCTGTTGGTTTAACGTATGTTGTGGTATTGCATCATTTTCAGGTTCAGTATCCTCAAAGCAAAGCTTGTCGTATGAGCCAGGTACGAGATCTGCCACCAGTGTCTGGTTCCATTATCTGGGCCAAACAAATTGATAGACAATTAACTGCTTACCTCCGCCGTGTAGAAGATGTTCTTGGTAAGGCGTCTGTTCATGTTACTCGATCTATTGATATCTTGTTCTATTTTCTGAACTGTGTTAAATTGTCCTGTCAAATTTCAGGCAAGGATTGGGGTAACCACATTGATGGTCAGAAGTTGAAAAATGATGGGGATAGTTTCCGCTTGAAACTAAACACTCAAGAAATATTTGATGAATGGGCAAGGAAAGTTCAAACACGCAATTTGGGTGTGACAGGACGCATTTTTGCCATAGAATCAACTCGCTCTCGCTCTGGGCGAGGTAATGTGTTACGCCTCAAGGTCAACTTTTTACCTGAGATCATTACACTTTCTAAAGAGGTAAATTTGTATGCATTGTCTACTCACTTTAAGTGATTTGTTGTTTGAAATGCCTGCTAACAGAGTTCCCCGCTTGTTCAAATTGTTTCACAGGTTCGCAACTTGAAAAACTTAGGATACCGTGTTCCATTGGCCATTGTGAATAAAGCCCACCAGGCCAACCAGACATACCCGTTTGCCATCTCCCTCATTGAAAGCTGCCGGACATACGAAAGGACTCTGGAGAAGGTGAGTTTGGTTAACTGGTTAAGGGTGGGTCCAACTGACATGCTAAAATCCTTAATCTAGTCAGTTTATTGAGGGAGTGTAGCTTTAGGTAGAAAACAATTTTTTTGCAACAGGTTGAGGACAGTAAGATTGAAGAAAATAATCTCCTTAGATACTTATTAATGAGTAGTGTTGTTGATTTGGGCACTTACCCCAGCGTAGCCCTTTCATAGTTCTAACTGGAATTTGGGCACTGTTAGCCTTCTCCCTAAATGAGACTTGGCAAGATTGATCTGTGATGTTTGCACATAACCAGGAGGCAATTTAAAGTGACATTTGCTAAAAGTGTGATTTTTCTTTAACAAGCATTTTTTTCTAATAATTCAAGATTTATTGACTTTTATTGCTGTTTGAGTAATGTTTGTTATCCTTCCCTTGCCACATTGATATCAGCTATGCAACAGAGGCACTGCAAACAGTCCATCGTTCAAGGTAGAATCTTAATCTGAGTAGCTTGTGTGCCAAACCGTTGTTTTAACAAAATAACAGTTGCTTTATTTGCTATTTTGATGTGTGTTTGCATGCATATAATCGACCTTACATTTTGTGTATCAAAGTTTATGGGTTACTCACCAATGTTAATGTTGAAAATTTTGTAACTCAAACCCCAATTCTAAATAACTGTAAACAAGTAATGCAATAGGTGTAGTCAAAGCATAAATTTTTTGAAAAATATTTCGGAAACTGTGTTTATGTAGATTCAATTGTTTTTTAAAATCAGTCTTGTGTTAGAAAAGCCTGCCGTGTTATATTTTATGTTAAGTAAATTTCTAGATTAAGTGTTCAATGTGTTACCTAAGGACAATGTGGTTACCTACTTGTTCTAGTGTAGGGTATTTTGAAAGTTAATTTTGGCTTTTAACTTGCTAATTTCATTTTTTCTAGACACATGCATTTTGATCCACGTTATGCATGAAGCTGTCATGGCCCTATCGTTGCTTCTTATTTACAACCTGTTTATTTCAGCATGCCACTGCAACTGAACATTTGCTGTTTGTTTGGGCCTAATGTGTCTTCATGCTTTATTCCTTATGAGTTCCCAAAGAATTTTAGGCCTAAAAGCTTCAGTTATCTTCTGTGTCCTTATCTTTTACAATTGATTCAGAATCTATTCCTTATTGTTTCTCTTTTTCGTCCAATTTTTTTGATAGGGTTTCCATTTGTTTTCCCTACTTATTAAAGTTTCTTTTTTGTTTTGTGTTACTTTCAGGTTGAAGACAAAGCATCTATTGTTCCTTTGGTTGCTGGTATGAGGAAAGAAGTTCAATCTCTGATTGGTGAAGTAAGTAGCAAAGGTTCTCACTTATGTTTCCTATTTTTATGTGTTCATTTTATTTATTTGTTTTTATTTTGCTTCAGGGTATTGGACTTGTCTGGGAGAGCTACAAATTGGACCAGTATGTGCAGCGTCTGGCCGAACTTGTATTTTCATTTCAAGAAAAAGTGGAAGACTTGCTTCTTGTTGAAGAGCAGCTTGACGTTGATGTCAGGTCCCTGGAGACTTGCCCCTATTCAGCCAATACTTTTGCTGACATCTTGGCTAAAATCCAACATGCTGTGGATGATTTATCACTTCGGCAGTATTCCAACTTGCACATTTGGGTTCAACGTCTTGACCAGGAAGTGGAGAAGAATTTGGCTGCACGCCTGCAGGCTGGAATTCAGGCTTGGACTGATGCTCTAGATGGCAAGAAGAAAGAAATTGATCATAGTATGGACACGGATGCACCAACTCAACCGACGCACAAACCAGGAGGAGATCCGCATATTCAAATTGTGACCCATGAAGTACGCATCACCAACCAAATTATGTATTTGTATCCCAGTATTGAGGAAGCCCGCTTCCAGATTATGCAACAGTTCTTCTCGTGGCAAGCCATAGTGACATCTCAGATTCATCTTCAGAGTTGCCGCTATCAAGTTGGGCTGGACAGACCTGTCTCTCAAACTTATCGCAACTTACTCAACAAATTGCCTCAAGGTAATGCTGTCCTTGCTGGTGCCTATGAGTCTATTGAGAATAAGATTGCTCAAGTGCAGAAGTATGTTGATGAGTGGCTTCGGTATCAATCATTATGGGATCTTCAGGCTGATAATCTTTACAGCCGCCTTGGGGAAGATATAAATCTGTGGATGAGATTCTTGAATGACATTAAGAAGTGTCGTACAACCTTTGATACTTCTGAAACAAGGCGTGAGTTTGGCCCAGTGGTGATTGATTATGCCAAAGTTCAAAGCAAAGTAACTCTAAAATATGATGCATGGCACAAAGATACCCTGAGTAAGTTTGGTGCTCTGCTTGGAAATGAGATGTCTCAATTCCACTCTCAGGTGTCCAAGTCAAGGAGTGAACTGGAAGAACAATCAATTGAAGCGGCAAGCACATCTGATGCAGTCTGTTTCATTACCTATGTTCAATCTCTGAAGCGGAAGATGAAAGCTTGGGAAAAGCAGGTTGAAGTGTACAGAGAGGGTCAACGCATTCTTGAAAGGCAGAGGTTTCAGTTCCCCCAGAATTGGCTTCATGTTGATAACATAGAAGGTGAATGGGGAGCTTTCAATGAAATCATCAAGCGCAAGGATTCATCAATTCAAACGCAGGTTGCTACCCTTCAAATGAAAATTGTCGCAGAGGACAAAGCTGTTGAATCAAGAACCAACGACTTCCTTACGGATTGGGAAAGCAGCAAACCCGTGGAAGGAAGTTTGCGTCCTGATGAAGCTCTTCAACAGCTCAAGATCTATGAAACCAAGTTTACTCGTTTGAAGGAGGAGCGTGACAATGTGGCGAAGGCCAAGGAGGCTCTGGAACTTCAGGAGCCTGGTGGTATGAACACATCTGAAGATCGAATGCAAGTTGTATTTGAAGAGCTCCAAGATCTTCGCGGTGTTTGGTCTGAATTGTCTCGTATCTGGTCTCAGATTGATGAGTTACGAGAGAAACCCTGGCTGTCAGTTCAACCCCGTAAACTGCGTCAACAGTTGGATACCTTGATGTCTCAACTCAAAGAATTACCTGCTCGTCTGAGGCAATATTCGTCTTATGAATATGTTAAACGCACTCTGCAGAGTTACACCAAGGTGAATATGATGATTGTGGAACTGAAATCTGATGCCTTAAAGGAACGTCACTGGAAGTACCTCATGAAACAGTTGCGTGTTTCTTGGGTCCTGTCTGACTTGACTCTTGGTCAAGTCTGGGATGTAAACCTTCAAAAGAATGAATCTGTTGTCAAAGACATCATTCTTGTAGCTCAAGGAGAGATGGCTCTGGAAGAGTTCTTGAAGCAGGTGCGAGAGTCATGGCAGAGTTATGAACTTGACCTCATAAATTACCAAAACAAGTGTAGACTCATTAGGGGTTGGGATGACCTCTTCAACAAAGTGAAGGAGCATATCAATTCCGTTGCGGCTATGAAGTTGTCCCCGTACTACAAGGTGTTTGAAGAAGAAGCACTTACATGGGAGGAGAAGTTAAACCGCATCAATGCACTTTTTGATGTCTGGATTGATGTTCAAAGAAGATGGGTATACTTGGAGGGAATCTTCTCAGGAAGCGCTGATATCAAAACACTCCTACCTGTGGAAACTTCTCGTTTCCAGAGTATAAGCTCTGAGTTCTTAGGATTGATGAAGAGGGTTTCAAAGTCACCAATGGTAATGGATGTCTTGAACATCCCTGGTGTTCAGCGTGCGCTAGAGCGTCTCGCTGACCTGTTAGGAAAAATTCAAAAAGCCCTCGGAGAGTACTTGGAACGGGAAAGGACATCATTCCCAAGGTTTTACTTCGTCGGAGATGAAGATTTACTTGAGATCATTGGTAATAGCAAAAATATTGCACGGCTCCAGAAACACTTCAAAAAGATGTTTGCTGGAGTTGCGGCCATTCTCTTGAACGAAGACAACACTGTTATCACAGGCATAGCCTCTAGGGAAGGAGAAGAGGTGACCTTTACGACTCCTGTCTCTACCATAGAACATCCGAAGATAAATGAGTGGCTGTCCCTAGTGGAGAAAGAGATGAGAGTCACACTGGCCTCTCGTTTGGCTGAAGCTGTTCAAGACATCAAGCAATTTAAGGAGGGGTCCATTGACCCTAATGCTTACATGAAGTGGTGTGACAAGTATCAAGCGCAGATTGTTGTTTTAGCAGCACAAATTCTGTGGAGTGAAGATGTGGAAAGTGCTCTCCACCAGATTGCCAGTACAGGTGGTGAACCGAACATGGCTCCTTTGGAAAGGGTGTTGGGCCAGGTTCAAAATACTCTTACTGTACTGGCGGATTCGGTTTTGCAAGAACAACCAGCACTTCGACGTAAGAAGCTTGAGCATCTCATCAACGAATTTGTCCACAAGCGCACAGTGACAAGGAGATTAATTGCTAACAAAACGTCTGGGCCTAAAGTTTTTGAGTGGCTCTGTGAAATGAGGTTTTACTTTGATCCAAGACAGACTGAAGTGTTGCAGCAATTGACCATCCACATGGCAAATGCTAAGTTCTTTTATGGCTTTGAGTATCTGGGTGTGCAGGATCGCTTGGTTCAGACTCCGCTAACAGACACTTGCTACCTGACCATGACGCAGGCGCTTGAAGCTCGTCTTGGAGGTTCTCCATTTGGACCTGCTGGTACAGGAAAAACTGAATCAGTTAAAGCACTCGGTCATCAACTGGGAAGATTTGTTCTGGTTTTCAATTGTGATGAAACATTTGACTTCCAAGCTATGGGAAGAATTTTTGTTGGTCTCTGTCAAGTTGGAGCATGGGGTTGCTTTGATGAGTTTAATCGACTTGAGGAGAGAATGCTTTCAGCGGTTTCACAGCAGGTGCAAACAATTCAGGAAGCTCTGAAATCTCAACAAGATGGCAAGAAAGAAGGAATGATCTCTGTGGAGCTTGTCGGGAAGCAAGTTAAAGTGTCAACAGATATGGCCATTTTCATTACCATGAATCCTGGTTATGCTGGACGTTCAAATCTACCTGATAACTTGAAGAAGCTCTTCAGGTCTCTTGCCATGACTAAACCAGACAGACAACTCATTGCTGAAGTGATGTTGTTCTCTCAGGGCTTCCGCTCTGCAGAAAAGCTTGCCTGCAAAATTGTGCCTTTCTTCAAGCTTTGCGATGAACAGCTTTCTAATCAATCTCACTATGACTTTGGTCTAAGAGCTCTTAAAAGTGTGTTGGTATCTGCTGGAAATGTGAAGCGCGATCGCATCCAGAAAATAAAAGAAGATATGAAGTCTCGTGGAGACTCAAACATTGATGAAGCAATGATTGCTGAGAACCTCCCAGAGCAAGAGATTCTGATCCAGTCTGTGTGTGAGACCATGGTGCCCAAGCTGGTGGCTGAGGACATTCCCCTGCTGTTCTCCCTGCTTTCTGACGTGTTCCCCAATGTGGAGTACACGAGAGCAGAGATGGCCGGGCTCAAAGAACAAATAAGAAAGGTCTGCCAGGAGGAGTATCTTGTATGTGGAGAGGGAGAAGAACAGGGAGGTGCTTGGATGGAAAAGGTGAGTCAATCATTTTATGTAAAGTTTTGATTTAGACCTACCAATGTTTACCACAAAAAAAACAACTTTCAACAATCACTTCATGACTTTGTTTGTCATACTTATAGAGATACGCAGGAGAAACATGGGTTGAGAAGGTAAAACATTCTTTGCATAGGTTTTGTAGCCCTTGACCAAATTCTGCATTGTAGTTAAGAACTATTATTTCTGGACCCAAAGCTTTCAAATGTAGAGTGTTTTTTGGCCTTGTATTTTTGAGTAGTTTAGTATGTCCATTATGGTCAAATGAATTGTTTGGCATGATCATTTACACACAGAATTGTGTGTTCCGGTATTTTAGGTGGAATATTGATATTTATGGTGACTTTCCATTCCAATTAGCATGGTAGACTTATTTATAAAACTACGAAAGTGTACTCTTTCATTTTTTTATATATGTCCAACTATTGCAGCTCTTATTGATCTACTGCCACATTACCTTTAATGAAGGTTATGCTTTCAACCATAATGTGCTCTATTGCTTGCATGCCTTTAATTTTTGGTCTATTTGATCTTTTCTGACTTGCATTATTGGTACTGATGACAATACAATACAGTTCAAGTGCGTGAACCATTTCATACTTTGTGGCTTGCCACTTGCTAAGGCTAGCATGTTGATGATACAGAGTTTTGAATAGTATGCAAGCATGAATGTCTGTCCTGAAATTTCCTTTCCTCTCACATGCCAGAGACATTAAAGTATTTTTTTTTCCTTTTGCAGGTTCTTCAATTGTATCAAATTTGCAATCTTAGTCATGGACTGATGATGGTAGGCCCAAGTGGATCAGGCAAGAGTACTGCCTGGAAGGTACTTCTTCGCTCGCTGGAAAGACTGGAAGGCACCGAAGGAGTCGCTCATGTTATTGACCCCAAGGCCATTTCCAAAGAAGCCTTGTACGGTGTTCTTGACCCCAACACTCGAGAATGGACTGATGGTCTCTTTACTCACATCCTGAGGTATTACTATCATTATTATGTACTTCTGTCATTGTGTTTATCGGACTATTCTCACTCTGATCAAAATCTGACTTGCTACCTTCAGAAAAATAATTGATAATGTGAGGGGAGAAATTAACAAGCGCCAATGGATTATATTTGATGGTGATGTCGACCCAGAGTGGGTTGAAAATTTGAACTCTGTCCTTGATGACAATAAACTGCTAACATTGCCTAATGGAGAACGTCTGTCCCTGCCACCTAACGTTCGGATCATGTTTGAGGTATGCTTTGCTGCTCTTTATAATACGGTTTGCTAAAACCTTTCAATTTTGATCCTGTTAATTTTTTACTATTTTATTGTTATACAGGTTCAAGATCTGAAGTATGCAACTTTAGCCACTGTGTCTCGTTGTGGTATGGTTTGGTTCTCTGAAGATGTCCTGTCAACAGAAATGATATTTGAAAATTACATGTTGAAACTTCGAAACATTCCTCTGGAGGAATCAGAGGATGACAGTCTGGGCAATTTCACTTCCAAGAAATCCAGCACTGAGAAGGATGATGATCTATCTCCCACTCTGCAGATTCAAAGAGATGTTAGCACCATTCTTCAGCCCTACCTTTCACCTGATGGCCTTGTTGTGAGAAGCTTGGAGTACGCCATGAAGCAAGAACACATCATGGACTTCACTCGCCTTCGGGCTCTCAGCTCCCTTTTCTCCATGCTCAACCAAGGTGTTAGGTAAGTATCTTAATTCATCTTGACATTACTCTGATGTTCTTTTACTTTCCTGACCCTGCTGATGATGTAAATTCTTCTGTACCACAGGAATGTCCTTGCCTACAACCATTCTCATTCAGACTTCCCTCTGACAAGTGAACAGTTGGATAGCTACATTCCTAAGTGTTTAGTATATGCACTTCTTTGGAGCTTTGCTGGAGATGCTAAGCTTAAAGGACGTTCTGACTTGGGTGATTTCATTCGTTCAATCACAACAGTTCCCTTGCCCCCTACAAGTTCACTTCCAATTATCGACTATGAGGTTTGTTTTTCCATTTTGTTCTCAAAACTAGGCTCATCAAATTTCATTTTTTTCTAACATGTTACAATTTGCAGGTGACTGTTGTTGGTGAATGGAGTCCATGGTCTAACAAAGTACCCCAAATTGAAGTGGAAACCCACAAAGTTGCTGCTCCAGATGTGGTTGTCCCCACCCTGGACACTGTCAGGCATGAGTCTCTGTTGTACACTTGGTTAGCAGAGCACAAGCCCCTTGTCTTATGTGGGCCCCCTGGTTCAGGAAAGACCATGACTCTGTTCTCTGCTCTTCGAGCACTGCCTGACATGGAAGTGGTTGGTCTCAACTTTTCATCAGCCACAACTCCTGAGTTGCTTTTGAAGACTTTTGACCACTACTGTGAATACAGAAAGACTCCCAATGGTGTTGTGTTGTCTCCAGTACAGGTAAACATTGTTGTTGTTAATTTTATTATTATTAATGTATCATATTCTCTTGACCAGTAAAAATATTTCTGTTTTTTTAGCTTGGAAAATGGCTTGTTCTGTTCTGTGATGAAATTAATTTGCCTGATATGGACAAGTATGGAACACAACGTGTTATTTCATTCCTCCGTCAACTTGTTGAACACCGTGGGTTCTATCGAAGCTCAGACCAGGCATGGGTTTCTTTAGAGCGCATTCAGTTTGTTGGGGCTTGTAACCCTCCCACTGACCCTGGAAGAAAACCGTTGTCTCACAGATTCTTGAGACATGTCCCAGTCATTTATGTTGACTACCCTGGAGAGACCTCTCTAAAGCAGGTTGGTCAAAGTTTTGGTTTCACTTTTAATCCCTCATTGCATGCATTTAATATATCTTTGTTTGTGTTCTAGATTTATGGAACATTCAGTAGAGCAATGTTGCGGCTCATACCTCCACTTCGTGGCTTTGCCGAGCCCCTTACAAATGCTATGGTCGAGTTCTATCTTGTATCACAGGAAAAGTTCACTCAAGATATGCAGCCCCACTATGTGTACTCTCCAAGAGAAATGACCAGATGGGTTCGTGGTATTTGTGAAGCTATCAGGCAAGCACTTCTATACTCTTATTAATTTTTTACTAAGTGCAATATCAAACCGTCATGATATTTATTTACTAACAGTGAATGTTTTAATTTTCTAGACCTCTTGAAACTCTCAATGTGGAGGGTTTGGTACGCCTGTGGGCCCATGAAGCCCTTCGTCTGTTCCAAGACCGTTTAGTAGATGATTCAGAGCGAAGGTGGACGAATGAAAATATTGATGTAGTGGCTCAGAAACATTTCCCTGGCCTTGATAAGTCGCAGGCCCTTGCTCGACCCATCTTGTACAGCAACTGGCTTTCAAAGGACTACGTTCCTGTGAACAGGGAAGAACTCAGGGAATACGTCAAGGCCCGCCTTAAAGTTTTCTATGAAGAAGAGTTGGATGTCCAGCTGGTGCTTTTTGATGAAGTACTAGATCATGTTTTGCGCATTGATAGAATTTTCCGACAACCTCAAGGGCATCTGCTTCTCATTGGTGTTTCTGGTGCAGGCAAGACCACTCTCTCTAGATTTGTTGCTTGGATGAATGGCCTTTCTATCTTCCAAATTAAGGTATTTGCTGTTATGATTTTAATCTTTTAAGTGCATGATTCATCCCATGACCTTCCTTACATTATTCTGTGTGTTTAGGTTCACAACAAGTACACTGGTGAGGACTTTGATGAAGATTTGCGTGCTGTGCTCAGACGCTCTGGCTGTAAGGATGAGAAGATTGCCTTCATCTTGGATGAATCTAATGTGCTAGATTCAGGATTCCTGGAAAGAATGAACACTCTTCTTGCCAATGGAGAAGTTCCTGGACTGTTTGAAGGTAAATACAGCCCATGCAGTTTTGCAGCTTTTATAACCAAACTGTCCATTGTATTTTAAACACATTATTGGTACAGGTGATGAGTACGCTACATTGATGACTCAGTGCAAAGAGGGTGCCCAGAGGGAAGGTCTCATGTTGGACTCTAATGAGGAGCTTTATAAGTGGTTCACTGGCCAAGTGATGCGCAACCTCCATGTCGTTTTTACAATGAACCCATCCTCTGAGGGTTTGAAAGACCGCGCCGCCACTTCTCCCGCATTGTTTAATCGATGTGTGCTCAATTGGTTTGGAGACTGGTCTGATGGAGCCTTGTTCCAGGTAAGTCATCATTTCAAGTCTTGGCTTATTTTTTCCTTCAGTTTTCATGGCCCCTTTTACTGACATCCATTTAATTATTGTTAGGTGGGTAAGGAATTCACCAATACCGTCGATCTTGATCGCCCAAGCTGGAAAGCGCCAGACTTCTTCCCATCTGTGCACACTGGGCTGCCAGCACAGCCGTCTCACCGTGAGGCAGTAATAAATGCCTGCGTGTATGTCCATCAGACACTACACAAAGCTAATGCAAGACTTGTCAAGCGAGGCAGCAGGACGATGGCCATCACTCCAAGGTGGGTTTTCAACAATTTTGTCTGTTTGGTGTGTCAAAAGGATGTGTAATAAATTGTCTTTCCTTTGATAGGCATTACCTGGACTTCATCCATCATTTTGTCAAGCTGTACACTGAAAAGCGCTCAGATTTGGAAGAACAGCAGCTTCATTTAAATGTTGGGCTTAACAAAATTGCAGAGACTGTCTTGCAAGTTGAAGAAATGCAGAAGTCTCTAGCAGTTAAATCTCAGGTACTTGCTCCTATCCTCATGAGCGCTTTTTCTCACTGTAGAAGTTAGCTTTTAATGCCTATCAATTTGTCTTGTAGGAGCTAACAGCCAAGAATGAAGCTGCCAATGCAAAGCTCAAGCAGATGGTGAAAGATCAGCAGGAGGCTGAAAAGAAAAAGGTTCAGAGTCAAGACATCCAGGCTGAAATTGAGAAGCAAACTGTGCGCATTTCAGAAAAACGACAAGTTGTGATGGAGGATTTGGCACAGGTTGAACCTGCAGTCATCGATGCCCAGCAAGGTTAGTGCCAGCCATTGTAAGAAGAATTAGCTGCTAGAAGGGATAACTGGTTTTGTTTCTACTAATGTGGTACAACTGTCCAGCTGTTAAATCCATAAAGAAACAACACCTGGTGGAAGTGAGGACTATGGCAAACCCTCCCAGCATTGTAAAGCTGGCGTTGGAATCTATTTGCCTCCTGCTTTGTGAAAACACAAATGACTGGCGTGCCATTCGCTCAGTTGTAATGAGAGAGAACTTTATTAACACAATAGTTAACTTTAATTCGGATGATCTCACGTAAGAAAGATTATGAATAAGTTTGGTTTGTCTGCTTGCATGAGCCTAACTTTTTGTTTAATTTTCATACCTTTCATAAATAGATTTAGATGTTCTTAAAATTCTTGACTTTCAAATTTGCAAGCAACTTTTTTTTAACTACAGTACAAAGTATTATTGAGCCTATCAATTGTTGAGATCTCTTTATTGCAAATCTCCTGTAAAACTCAGTTTTCATGTCTGATCTGTCTGTTGTCCCATCCATCTTTTGATTTCTGCATTTTTTTATGCTTATTTTTATTTTGCTTTATAGCTGTGAAAGAGATCAAGAAGCAACAGTTGGTTGAAGTTCGATCCATGGCGAATCCTCCTGCCATAGTTAAACTTGCTTTGGAGTCTATCTGTTTATTGTTGGGAGAGAATGCAACTGACTGGAAGGCCATCAGAGCTGTTGCAATGAGAGAGAATTTTATCAATTCCATCGTCTCCAACTTCAACACTGAGAATATTACGTAAGCGATTTTGGCTTTTTGCAATGTTTTTAGCATGTGCTTCCTCTATTCCTTTCCTTGCTTCTAGTTCTTAATTCCAATCATTGCTTTGTATTATAATATATCTAAAACTTCTACCTTATCTACCTGGTTTACAATTTTTTTCTACTGAGCTTTAACGTTAATACTTGCTTCTGAAATCTTACAGTGATGATGTTAGACAGAAGATGCATGATAAGTATCTCAATAATCCGGATTATACTTTTGAGAAAGTAAATCGTGCCAGTATGGCTTGTGGACCTATGGTGAAGTGGGCCATTGCTCAGGTATGCTCCAAATAACATTTACTACATTTGTCCTCTGAACTCTTTTGTCTCCGTCTGAAGGGTAATAGTACTAAGACTTTTCAATGTTACAGGTTCAGTATGCAGACATGCTTAAGAAAGTTGAGCCCCTTCGAGACGAATTGGGTTCTCTCGAACAACAAGCATCTGAAAACAAAAATAAGGGTGAGGAGGTGAAAAACCTTATTGCTCAGCTGGAGAGGAGCATAGCATCATACAAAGAAGAATATGCCCAGCTCATCTCTCAAGCTCAGGCCATAAAGACGGACTTGGAGAATGTGCAGGCCAAGGTGGACCGCTCCATTGCGCTTCTGAAATCCCTTGTCATTGAGAGAGAGAGATGGGAAGCAACAAGTGACACATTCAGGTCTCAAATGTCAACTATCATTGGAGATGTTTTGCTTTCATCTGCATTCCTGGCCTATGCCGGTTATTTTGACCAACATGTATGTGTCTTTGTGGAAATCAATTTTTGAAATGAAAGTGTTTTGCTTTTATTATTTAATGACCTTCGTTTTCTTTTTGTTTTTAGTATCGTCAAAACTTATTTGCAACATGGTGTCATCATCTTCAGCAAGCCGGCCTGCAATTCCGTGCTGATATTGCTAGGACAGAGTATCTTTCCAATCCTGACGAGAGGCTTCGTTGGCAGGCCAATTCTTTACCTACTGATGATCTGTGCACGGAAAATGCTATTATGTTGAAGCGCTTCAACCGTTACCCATTGATAATTGATCCATCTGGGCAGGCTACTGAATTCATAATGAACGAGTTCAAAGATAAGAAGATCTCCAAAACATCTTTCTTGGATGATTCATTCCGTAAGAACTTGGAATCTGCTCTCAGATTTGGTAACCCACTGCTTGTCCAGGTAAGGTGATAGTTAACTAACTTGTTTACAAAGTAACTCTCCAGTATCAAACACTCCTAATATTTTAAATTTTTTTAAATTTTCAGGATGTTGAAAATTATGATCCTATTCTGAACCCTGTGCTGAACAGAGAGTTGCGCCGCACAGGTGGCCGTGTTCTCATTACTCTGGGCGATCAAGACATTGATTTGTCACCTTCATTCAATATCTTCTTGTCAACTCGAGACCCAACTGTGGAATTCCCTCCTGATATCTGCTCTCGAGTCACCTTCGTCAACTTCACTGTTACCCGCAGCTCACTGCAGAGTCAGTGCTTGAACCAAGTATTGAAGGCCGAGAGACCTGACATTGACAAGAAGAGGTCTGACCTTTTGAAGCTTCAAGGCGAATTCCACCTGAGGCTGAGGCAGCTTGAAAAGAGCTTGCTTCAGGCTCTGAATGATGCAAAGGGGAAGATACTGGATGATGACAGTGTGATAACCACTTTAGAAACGCTGAAGCATGAGGCTGCTGAAATCAGCCAGAAGGTGGAAGAGACTGACAAGGTCATTGCGGAAATTGAAACAGTGTCTCAACAGTACATGCCGCTCTCTCAAGCGTGCAGTAACATCTATTTCACCATGGATAGCTTAAACCAAATCCACTTCCTGTACCAGTATTCGCTCCAGTTCTTCCTGGACATCTTCAGCTCCGTCCTGCACAGCAACCCTCGCCTCCAGAATGTGACTGACTACAACCAGCGGCTGGCCGTTGTGACCAAGGACCTGTTTGGCGTGTGCTACGAGCGCGTGGCCAGGGGCATGCTGCACACGGACCGGCTCACCTTCGCCATCCTGCTGTGCCGCATCCACCTCAAGGGCGTGCCCAACGAGGCCAGCCTGGACTCGGAGTTCACGTTCTTCCTGCGCGGCAAGGAGGGCATGCTCAACTCGTCGCCGCCGGCCATCGAAGGGCTGAACCAGGAGCAGATCGAGGCCATGGTGCGCCTGTCGTCGCGGATCAATGCTTACAAGCACCTGTCCAAGAAGATCAAGGACTCGCCGGAGTTCCCCGGCTGGCTGCAGCAGAGCTCGCCCGAGCAGTGTGTGCCCGCGCTGTGGGAGGAGGACAAGCAGCTGAGCGCCGTGGCCGTGGCCATGCACAACCTGCTGCTGATCCAGGCCTTCCGGCCCGACAGGGTGATCGCCGCGGGGCTGGCCCTGGTGGCCGCCGTGCTCGGCGAGGAGTTCATGGTGGCGGCGGACCGCGAGCTGGACCTGGCGACCATCGTGGACGCCGAGCTTCGCGCCAACGTGCCGGCCCTGCTGTGCTCGGTGCCTGGCTACGACGCGTCCGGCAGGGTGGACGACCTGGCCGCCGAGCTGGGCAAGCAGATCGCCGCCATCGCCATCGGCTCGGCCGAAGGCTTCAACCAGGCCGACCGCGCCATCAACCAGGCGGTGCGCTCGGGCCGCTGGGTGCTGCTCAAGAACGTGCACCTGGCGCCGCAGTGGCTCGTGCAGCTCGAGAAGAAGCTGCATTCGCTGCAGCCCCACGCAGGCTTCAGGCTTTTCCTCACTATGGAGATGAACCCCAAGGTGCCGGTCAACTTGCTGAGAGCGGGCCGCATCTTCGTGTTTGAACCGCCGCCAGGCATCAAGGCCAACTTACTGCGGACCTTCAGCACTGTGCCTGCTTCTCGCATGATGAAGGCCCCGAGCGAGCGAGCTCGGCTCTACTTCCTGCTGGCCTGGTTCCATGCCATTGTCCAGGAACGTCTACGCTACGTTCCTCTGGGCTGGGCCAAGTACTATGAATTCAATGAATCTGACCTGAGAGTTGCCTGTGATACTCTAGACACCTGGATAGAAGCTACTGCAATGGGTAGGACCAACTTGCCGCCAGAGAAGGTCCCTTGGGATGCCCTAGTTACCCTGCTGTCTCAATGTATTTATGGAGGCAAGATCGACAATGACTTTGACCAGCGGCTGCTGAAATCTTTCTTGGCCAAGCTCTTCACCCCGGCTAGTTTTGAGGGTGACTTTGCTCTTGTCGCCAATGTGGATGGGGTTGGTGGTGGCCCTGGGGGACAACGGCACATCACCATGCCTGATGGCACCAGGAGGGACCACTTCCTGCACTGGATTGAGGCGCTCTCCGACAGGCAGACACCCTCCTGGCTGGGACTTCCCAACAACGCAGAGAAGGTTCTGCTCACCACAAGAGGTATGTACTCATTTCTGCAGAATATTTTGTGCGTTCTAATTTAATTTCACATCTTTCATTTGTAAATTAATTAGTTAATTTTAATCCAAATTTCTCAGTTTTTTTTTTTTCGTAACTTTTGCGTGTTTGCCTATGAATTTGGCTTAATGGTTCTGTCTCTGTTGTCCAGGAACGGACCTGGTCGGCAAGCTGCTCAAGATGCAGCAACTGGAGGACGACGACGAGCTGGCCTACTCCAGCGAGGAGGGCCTGGACCAGACGCGCGAGTCGCTGGGCGACGGCCGTCCGTCCTGGATGCGCACACTGCACAACTCGGCCGCCACGTTCCTGGAGCTGCTGCCGAGGTCGCTGCCCACGCTGCGGCGCACCGTGGACAACATCAAGGACCCCCTGTACCGCTACTTCGAGCGTGAGGTCAACTCGGGCGCCAAGCTGCTGCGCGACGTGGTCCACGACCTGGAGGACGTGGTGCTCATCTGCCAGGGCGAGAAGAAGCAGACCAACTACCACCGCACCATGCTGAGCGACCTGGTGAAGGGCATCATCCCACCCAGCTGGCGCCGCTACACGGTGCCCAACGGCTGCACCGTCATCCAGTGGGTCACGGACTTCTGCTCGCGCGTCAAGCAGCTGCAGCAGGTGTCGCAGCTGGTGTCGCAGGGCGGCGCCAAGGAGATCAAGACCCACCCCGTGTGGTTGGGCGGCCTGCTAAACCCAGAGGCCTACATCACCGCCACACGCCAGTGCATCGCGCAGGCCAACAGCTGGTCGCTGGAGGAGTTGGTGCTGGACGTGACCATCTGCGACGGCCAGGAGGCCAGCCAGCTGCCCGACGAGTGCAGCTTCGGCGTGACGGGGCTCAAGCTGCAGGGCGCTAACTGCAAGAACAATCAGCTGCTGCTGGCCACCACCATCATGACAGACTTGCCCACCACCCTGCTGCGCTGGGTGCGCGTGGCGCCCGGCACCGAGGTGCGCTCCTCCAAGCTGTCCCTGCCCGTGTACCTCAACTCGACGCGCACGGAGCTGCTGTTCACAGTGGACCTCAACATCGCCCCTGGCCAGGACCAGCACAGCTTCTACGAGCGCGGTGTCGCCGTGCTCACGTCCACGGCACTCAATTAAACTGCTTTGTCCACTCTAATCCTATAGTCAGTTTTTGAAACCTCCATTTGGAATGAGGCTTTTAACCATGTTTTTTTATTATGCAGCTTATTTTTGTGTATGTTTAATATTTAATATTTATGGAGAATCTTGTGACGTAATCAGAAAATTGTCACTTATGGACTGTAATGTAAACTTTGTTGAATAATTAATTTATGCTTTATGAAAACTGACTTGTTTGATAATTTTTTCCTACCCGCTCAAGTTGAACAAGGCAAATAATGGCCAAAGAGTCGTGAACTCTATAAATACATCTTTATTTTTACACATATATATGTACAAACCATTCAGGCTATAACAATTACACAAACAAATTCACTATAAATTACGTATCTAATCACTTTCATACACAGTTAAAGCTTCCGCAAGGTTGGGGCAATACTCTGCCACCTGGACGTGGATAACATTCACATTCACTTACGCCAACTTTGGCTAATTTTGCGCTCATGGCAGCATTTGTCTAACACCATCAATAATAATTTTTTTTCTAAACTGAGAATTGCTAATTCACTCGTCGGCACTCTGAGAGTCAGGTCCCTGGGGGGTCTTTTAGTCTTGAGAGGAGGAGGGAGGGGAGGGGGAAGTCCAGCCTAAGTCCGGCCCGGCCCATCACCGGCACACCAGACTGTCGTCGTCCGCGGCGCAGAGGCCCTCCGCCGCGCTCAGGAACAGCTTGCCGTTGCCGCACATGCACAGCTGGTAGATCTCGTCTCGACGGCGGCCTTCTTGGCGGCCCTGCGCGCGCGAGGACGCCGCCTTGCCGGCGGGCACCTCGGCCACGGCCATCTTCATGCTGGGCAGGAACAGGCGCGCCGAGTCCAGTCGTATCTAAAAAAAAAATAAGAAAAATTCGATTTGAAAAAAAAAAAAAAACCTTTGGAATCGAACCACGGTCCTTGGTGCCGGCGATCCTCGCCTCAACGCGCTCGGCCACCGAGACAACTGACACTGAACTCACCGATCCCGCGACGGACTGCAGCTTGAGGTCGGTGAGGCACGAGGCGCTGATGTCCCCCGCGCGGGACTCGATAGCCACGCCCTGGGGGGCGCGCACCCACAGGGACCGCGTGGGTGACTCCAACCTGCAGGGCATGCCCGGAAGGAACGGGGACGGTTAGAGAGAGAGAGAGAGAGAGAGAGAGAGAGAGAGAGAGAGAGAGAGAGAGAGAGAGAGAGAGAGAGAGAGAGAGAGAGAGAGAGAGAGACAGCACGACCGGGCGAATGCCACGCAGTAGTACGCAGCCGAGGCATTCAGATTCTGTCGCACTCGTGGGGCACTCTACGACGGCGCGAGAGAGACAGAGGGACGAATCGCTCGACAGGCGCTGCGTGCGTTGAGATCTCTGCCGTCGCACAGTGGGTCAGAAGACCGGTGGGCCTTGCGGTACCTGAGGTCGCTGCCGGAGTCGGCCCGGACGGCGGGCGTCTGCACCGACGCGTCGAACACGGCGCCGCCCTGGCCGGTGACGCGGAGCAGCGACGCGCCCACCACCACCTCCTTCCTGTCGGCCGAGAAGAGCGTGCGGCCCTTGGAGTCCGCCACGCGGAAGCCAGACGCCGCGCACTCCAGCCGGTCCTTCCCTGGAGGGAAAAAAACTTTCAAAATTAAGAAACAACAACAAAAACAACATGCAATACTTTGCAACTGGGTGGCGCACCTAGAAACATCTGCGAGGCCACGGCGCCCTCCTCGTCCCGGACGTTGAGCGAGAAGTTCATGGAGGACTCGATGGTGATGGGCTGGCCCTTGCGCGACCGGATGTTGGACGCGATCAGGGCGTCCAGCACCATGGCCTGGCCGTTGAGCTGCAGGCCCCCCGCCACCACGCGCAGCTGGCCCATGCCCTCCTGGAACAGCAAGCGAGGGTCTCGGTCAGACGGTGCACAGTGGGCTAGAAGACCGCGTTTTGAGCTTCAGAGTCGTTAAACAGGACTCGAACCGAACGTGTGAACCCACCAGTGGATTCCTCGCTCGGAGAGCAGTCCATTGGTGGGGTCACACGTTCGGTTCGAGTCCCATTTAGCGACTCTGGAGCTCAAAACGCGTTCGAGATTTTGGCCGCCTCTACCGGTCTTCTGGCCCACTGCGCGGTCGCAAGGCCGTGGCCTGCAACGATCCGCACTCACACTGCGAGCCGAGGGTGAATCTTTCATCAGGTTTAAAACTCAGGGGAAGAGCCGGGAGGGGGCGGGGCGCCCTCCTGTCATAGGCGGGCTGCGAGTTTTGCAGTTTTGTGGCCCTGCAAGTGCACTTGGGACTGGGGCCGCGAAGCACGGCGGCGAAGCACGGCCAGCCTCCAATCGCCAGTCAAGTCGATGAAGCATCGAAGCCATGCGAGCGCCCCTGCGGAGTCGAGCGTAGGCAACACGCTGCGCGCGCGTGCATCGGATTGCCTGCCCTCCAGGGGCTCTTTGCCGCCTGGACCGCCTGGAGGCTCCAGCGTGGCTCCAGGCAAGCCAGCCGCCATAATCGGGCCGAGGGGCACGCGTTCGAGTCCCGGCACCGCCTTGCATTTTTCAGCAGGCTCTCCGAATGCGATTCAAAGCCGTCGTCAAACACGGCGCTTCATCGACGGGCGGACAGACAGGCAGACAGACAGACAGGCAGGCAGGCGGCGCGCGGGCCATATGGAGGCACGCGCAGCTAGTGCCAATTCAATACGGGACGCGAGGTGTGTCTGCGAAGAGGGAAGGGGAAGGGAGGGGAGAGAGAAAAAAAGGAAACGAAAACAAGAGACGAATCGCGAGGGAGGCGCGCTGGCGGCACGCGCCAACGACATTTCACTGCCGCTACACACACACTCACCACACACACTCACACACAGCGCACAAATGGAGTCAAACGCTTTGGCGGCGCTCTGTCTCTCTTTTCCCGCGCTATCGAGAGAGACACATCAATCACCATAATTGAGTGAGACACGCTCCGGCTTGCGCTTCCCCCCTTCCCCCTCCCCCCGAGAAGGGTTGCAGCTAATTCTGTGCCTGCACTGTGAAGCACAGTGTAGCAGCGAAGGGCCGTAGGTAAGAGGTCGTCAACCGATGACGTCATCGCGCCATCTATTATTAACATTCCGAAACGAAAACGCAATGAACGTTTGGCGGGGCGCGCATGGCGCTGGGGGTGCCCAGTGTTTAGAGCGTCGGCGTGGCGGCGTGCACGAGGCGAACGGCACTGTAAAAAAGCATTACGCCGACGGCACCTGATGCGACAGCGCGTAAAGGAGTGGTTTAAAACGTGTTAAAACGTGGCGCACAGTGGGCCAGAGGACCGGTGGAGGCGGCCAAAACTCTGGACGCGTTTTGAGCTCCAGAGTCGCTTAATGGACCTCGAACCGAATGTGTGACCCCACCAATGGATTGCTCTGCGAACGAGGAATTTATTGGTGGGGTCACACGTCCGGTTCGAGCCATGTTTAGCGACTCTGGAGCTCAAAACGCGCCTTGGCCGCCTCCACCGGGCTTCCGGCCCACTGTGACACGCCGCGAAAGTAGGCCTGTCATGCGGTATTTTAGAGGCACATTGCCGACGGACCCACACTAAGGCTGATGTACTACACAAATTTCAAGAGGTTTTTATGCGACCATGGGCTCAGTGTTGGCCAGCGAGCTTCACAGTCTGAGCGGGTATCAAAGCGAAGCCGGAAAAGGCCGCCCCGCCCCGCCCGCCAATTTGATGAGAAAAAGTGGCGTGGAAGCGATTGTCTATAATTACTGGGAGAGGCCGGGCAGGCCGGGCAGGCTGGCCTAGCTAACGAAGGAACCGCGCGTCGCCCCGGGCCGCTCTTTTGTCTTGGCGCCGCCAAGCCTGGAAGCCTCGAAGCCCGCCGTGTTCTTCCAAGTGCCCCGCACAGTGGATTTGCCAAAGACCGGTGGAGGCGGACAAAACTCTGGACGCGTTTTGAGCTCCAGAGTCGCTAAATGGGACTCGAACCGAGCGTGTGACCCCACCAATGGATTGCTCTCTGAACGAGGAATCCATTGGTGGGGTCACACATTCGGTTCGAGTCCTGTTAAGCGACTCTGGGGCTCAAAACGCGTTCAGAGTTTTGTCCGCCTCCACCGCGGGGCTTCCCCGGCTGGTCGCCGTTCGCTATTAAAGCCCCCTCCCCCCAAGAAGTCGCCGCCGATTCCCAATTTGGTCCGAAGCCGCGCGCCGAGCCGCAAAGCGCGGGTTCGAATCCCCCTGGCGCCTCGACAAAGCTCGTTAGATTTTTTTCTTTTCTCACTCCGTTTGGCGTCCGCTATCCAGCCGCACATTCGCACCCACACACACTCGCTCTCTCTCTCTCTCCCTCCCCCTCCTCTCTCTCACTCTCACACACAGACAGCTTGGCTTTCCTCCCCCAGGGCAAGGTGCCGTTATCGCCAGCCTTCCACTTGGGCGTCCAAAGCTCGAGCTGCTCCGAGCGGCGCCCCTCCTGGAGCCTGCCTGGAGTCTGGAGCCTGGAGTCTGGAGTCTCACAGGAATGATGGCGCTGGACCGCTCAATCCGGCCGCTGCCACAATTCCGCAAGAAAGTTGTGTCCGAATCCGAATGCGATGCGAAACGCACATATAAATGCCCCTCCTCGTCCCTTACGCCTCCGCTCGGCCTTGGCGCCCGCACAGTGGGCCAGAAGACCGGTGGAGGCGGCAAAAACTCTAGACACTTTTCTTGAGCTCTGGAGTCGCTAAGCAGGACTCGAACCGAACGTGTGACCCCACCAATGGATTGCTCTCCGAACGAGGAATCCATTGGTGGGGTCACACGTTCAGTTCGGTCCCGTTTAGCTACTCTAGCTCAAAACGCGTCTAGAGTTTTGGCCGCCTCCACTGGTCTTCTGGCCCACTGTGCCCTGCCGCCCCTCGCGATCTATCACACGGCACCGGCCGCACCGGCCACGGCGTGGTGGCCTCAGCCGCCTCGGCAGCCTACACCAGATTTATGTGCATTCAGGGAATCGCCGGGACTGGCAGAGCGACTGGAGCGGCCTGAGCGCCACCTGGACTCCAGGCCCTCCAGGCCCTGCCGCAGCATGGTGCCGCCTGCGTCGCTCTGTCTCTCTCGCACTCACGGGCAGCTACGGGACGCCCCGTGAGTGCGAGAGAGACGGAGCGCTGTGTGGAATCAGCCGGCAGACAAACCGGGTTCAAATCCGGCTAGGCCGCTTCGGATAGGCCGGCGCAGGGCCCTCGTCTCCAGGGGAAAAGGGCGGGGAGTGTTTGATCGGTTTGAAATGGCTGGGTCGCTGCCACCGCTCCGTCTCTCTCGCACTCGTGGGGCGCCCCGTATGCGTGCGAGAGAGACAGTCTACGGCACGGCGACCTTTGCGGCGGCCAGCGCGCGGCCCTGGAGCGCCAGGAAGGCGACGATGACGACGACGACCGCACCATGAACTTTACCGCGACACCGCCGCGCGATCAGGGATGAAAATGTTACGGAGACGATGAGCCGAATCACACCTATAAAGCATCGCCCCCTCCACACCGTGCACAGTGGGCCAGAAGACTGGTGAAAGCGGTCAAAATCCCAGACGCGTTTTGAGCTCCAGAGTCACTAAATGGCACTCGAACCGAGCAATCCATTGGTGGGGTCACACGTTCGGTTCGAGTCCCACTTATCGACCCTGGAGCTCAAAACGCGTCCGGGACTTTGACCGCCTCCGATCTTCTGGCCCACTGTGCCCCGCCAGAAAAAGAGGCCTTTTTATTTGAACCTGTCGCGAAACTATTTCATCGCCGCGCGCCCCGGAAGGGGGAAGCACGCGGCGAGCAAAAAGCGGCAAAAAGCAGCGAAAGGGGGACGGCGGATTTATGGGGGTGCGCGATGTGCAGGCGGCGAGCGGGATGAGAAATTTATTCATTGGCCGCGAAGCACCGCGAAGCGACATCATGACATGCATTACTCCCCTGTCTCCTTTGCATGGCACTCCTGGACGCGGGGGGGGGGGGGGGGAGACCGAGGGGACCCGGTCCGGACCTACGCGCTGCGCGCCGCGCGTGGCGGCCGCCCCCGAGAGGAACGCACACCGGCCCCCGATTTAGAGTGTCCGTGATGAAATTTGCCAGGCCGCCCCGCCCCGCCCCGCCCCGCCCCGCCCCGCCCCGCCCCGCCCCGCCCCGCCCCGGACGCCCTCCCTGCGATATTGTACGCGCGCTTTAACAAGAGGTGAACGCAATTCTTCGCCGGTCGTAGGACTGGAAGGACTCGCAGGACCCCTCGCCGGCTACGCCTGGGCTGCGCCGCCGCGCCTCCGCGCCTGCTATTACCCTTGGGGGCGAATACCAGCCGTCTCATACGCGCGCACTTGAGCTTCCGCCACCCCTCTCTGCCCCTCCCCTCCCCCTCCCCCTCCCCGCCACCTCGTCCCGACGGTGACATAATGTCCCGACACAAACCTCATTTGCCGTAATACGGCCTTGACGCCGAGCACGCCCCGGGCACGCCCCGCCCCGGGCACGGCGGCAAGTAGATCGGCAGGCATTCCGATCCGCCGCCACCTAACCTAGCCTAACCTCGCCGCCCTGACCACAGTGGGCCAGAAGACCGGTGCAGGCGGCCGAAACTCAAGACGCGTTTTGATCTCCAGAGTCGCTAGAGGGACTCGGACCGACCGTGTGACCCCACCAATGGATTGCTCTCCGAACGAGGAATCCATTGATGGGGTCACACGTTCGGTTGGAGTACCATTTGGCGACTCTGGAGCTCAAAACGCGTCAAGAATTGTGCCCGCCTCCACCGGTCTTCTGGCCCACTGTGCCGGGGCTTCGTCGCTGCGCGTGTTAACGTGATGGGGGTGCTTACCCGCGACAGACGCCACCTCGTTGATGACGCGTCTGCGAGTCACGGTGGAGGGGATGAAACTTTCTCTTTCCTACGTCACGGCCTGCATCTCCTGCATCACGTGGAATTCCTGCCCCGAGCGCCGGTCCCGGCCGGCCCAACCGGAGGAGTGAGGGAGAAAAAAGAGCGACAGAAACGGCAAAAGATTTTCTTGGTTTCGAAAAAATTTAAAAATTTAATCCAAGTGCGGTAAAACTTATACATTGCGAAATTTTCAATTTTTGTCTTTTTCAAATTTGCGTCCTGGTAGTCGTCACAAAACGTCAACCTGGGCAAGCCAAACTTTTTTTTTGCGTGTGGTGGGGTTCACGCCGGGGGCGCGGCACGCGGCGGCCGCGGGGGTGAGGTGCTAGGCCGTCGCCAAAGTTCTCACGTTGCACAGCAATTGGAATAGCTCGTACATAACCCTGAGTAGACAGCGAGGCGCGAGGCGGCGCGAGGCGGCCTCCCCTCCGGAGGCCGGCGGGGCTGGCGGGGCTGGCAGGCAGGCGGGGCAGGCGGGGCTGGCAGGCAGGCAGGCGAGGCGCGGCCGGTGCTGATAAGGGGGATCAGTGCTGAAAGAGGTTTAAAGAGAAGAACAAGACAACTCCGGGCGGCAGGGTGTGGGACAGAGATCACCTGGGCAAATCAACCGCGGAGGCAGAGCACTGTGCGAAGCCGTGCGAAGCGCACGCGCCGACGGCCGAAGGGGGCCGAAGGCGGCCGAAGAGAGCCGAAGGGAACCCCGACGGCTGGCCGCGGTTTTATCAGCCTCCAGGCAGCCCCGCCCAGCCAAAGTCGTTCCAGGACGTTCCTGCGGGAACTGCCGGGGAACTGCCGGCCATCGTGGCTTTTGATGGGCAGCAGTCATGGAACGATTAGTCACGGATAGCACGCGCGGGGCACGTATCAGGGGCCTTGATTACAGGCCACACGCTCCGCCCCGCCCGGCCCCGCCCCGCCCGGCCCTCGGGCGAACGCGGGGGGCCGTCGCCACCCCTGAATCCTCATTTATTGTTGGACCAACAAACGTGTTTCGCACTACTGAATCGGCCATAAAGAATGCACACACACACACACACACACACACACACACAAATTTACGCGAGTGTTCCAACCCAAGACTTTTCCGTTCGCGAGACCACACCTCTACGCCACCCCACCGCGTTCAAGAGAACCGCCCCTGCTGCATCCTTTGGAAGGACCTGTCCTAAAGAGGTGCGCGGAAAAATCAAGTCCGATAAAACGAAAATAACAGCAAAAAACAACAACAACACAGGAAAATAGGCGCGGAAAGTGACGGTAGCGCGCCGCGTACAAAGAGAGCCGCGTCATTATTTTGGCCTTTGCACTTTCCTGCAGGGGATGCCGTGGCGGGCTGGGAAGGGGAGGGGAGGGGAGGAGAGGGGGAGGAGGGGAGGGGAGGGGGGGAGGGGGAGGGGGGAGGGGAGGGGAGGGGGAGGGGAGGGGGAGGGGTTCGGCGTCCGGGAGCGCGACGCCACGGCCCGCCGGACTCATAAAGACACGTAAAATGAGGTTAAAACACGTCGCCGTAATAGAAAAGAAGAAGGGAGGGATGCGACCTAAAGGGCTTCGCTGGAGTGGAAAGGCTGAAGGCTGCGCGGCCGGACGGGGCGCGGGACAGCCGGGGCCGCCGGGGCAGCCAGGGAATGCCCCTCCCCAGGCCCCGCCAGGCCCCGCCCCCTCCAGCGCTCCAGCCTCGGCTCCAGAGGGACCCGCCCGGGCCACGGGCCTCGCATTCACGGCTTCTCGCAAAGAAGCTTCCGTTCAAAAAGTAATTCTCACTTTCTCTTTGGAACTATTTTTCGCCCCTCGGAGCCTGACGGTGTGTCTCTGTCCGTCGGCGACGCGAGCAGCTGTTGCTCCGGGCCGCCCAGATTACTTCCAATGCAAATCAATCGCAACGAGAGAGAGAGAGAGAGAGAGAGAGAGAGAGAGAGAGAGAGAGAGAGAGAGAGAGAGAGGGTGAAAATGACGGCAGCAGGTGCGGGGAAGGACCAACCAGGACCGGGGAGGACAGGGAAGGACTCTGCCGTCATCGACACCATTCCAAGGCGTCGTGAGGCACTGCCAGGCACGGCCCGATTCCCTGGGGCCACCACGCTCTGCCCCTCTCTGTCTGTCTGTCTCTCTCGCAAGGACGGGTGCCAGCCTGGTGACCTTGACCCCTCGACCTCCCAGCGCCACAGCCACGCAGTTTGTCGGTCAGTTGTCGAGAAAAAGGCGGGGAAATAACTTTTGGCGGGAAATACCGCGCGCGACTGTACAACAAGTGCATAAAGAGCGGGCGGCCGCGCCCCGCCCCTCGGCTGCCCCAATGCCTCGCACAATGCCGGCAATCAGTTTTCATTGTCGGCGTGTTGGTATTATTGTATTATTATTCCATTCGGCGTGTGATTGGTGGCGGCAGGCAGGCAGGCTTACCAACGCAAGAAAAGCTGTCGTTTTGGCGGGAATCCCGCCACCCACAACGCCGCGCCAAAATGACGACCGAGCAAAACGCGAGGCTACGCGCTTTTGGCGGACGGGCGGTAAACGCGGGAACTCTCCCTCTCTCTCTCTCTCTCTCTCTCTCTCTCTCTCTCTCTCTCTCTCTCTCTCTCTCTCTCTCTCTCTCTCTCTCTCTCCCGAAACCAGTCTCCAAGCAGGCAGCATGCGCGGGCCCGTGACACGGGCCGGGCCTCATGATATATGCCGCCCCACCTCTGCAGCTTTTGATCAAAATCATTTCCGGTTTCGAAATGACTTCCGTTTCCTGAGGACCAATCAGAGGGAGGGAGGTCGAGCCTTGGGAGGAAGAGGAAGGGTTGAGTGGGGGAACGGGGCAAACTGGCGGAGGCACCCGCTCACCGCGACCAGGCCATAAAGTAGCGAGTTAAAGCAGAATGGAAACCGCGCCAAAACAGGAAAAAAGCGCCAAAGCAACAACAAAAACAACAACACGTTGAGCCGGTGGATTGGGAGTCACGGGACTCAGCAATCACGTTTGAAAAACGATTTGCCGCCGCCTGGGATTCCAACGTATGAATTAGCGCGGGATGTGTGCGAGAGTAAAAGGGAACCGCGTAGTGCATGCGTAGTGTGCGAGGGAGTGAGTAAAAAGAGGGGGCAGGGTCTGTGAATAAATAAACAGAGAGAGAACGAGGTGTGAGCGCGTGGGCGGCCAGTGGAAGGGAGACAGGTAAACGTGCTCACCGCGCGTCGCCGCGGGAAGAGGAACAATAGCGAAGGTTGAAATGGAATTTAACGCTAAGACGACGCCGGAAATTTTTTTAAAAGTTTTTTCTGTGCATTTTTTTTGTCCAGAAAATAGTGAGAGCAAACAGCTTGACATTCCCGCGTGCCTAGGCCCCACTTGACGGGGATGTTCTTGTTGTTGTTGTTGTTGTTGTTGTTGTTTCCTGTCACGTCGATGACGCGGTGGCCTGATCGCCATAGAAACAAAAGTGGTCGGCCTGGGCGCCTCTGGGCGGCGCGGCAAATTTATGCAAAATTATGTTTTGTTTACTGGAGGGCGCCAAGTGGCGGGGCTTTGTGTGTGTAGCCATGTAACGGTGTACACGCACACTTCGGCCGGCCGGAGGGCCGAAGCGCCGCACGTCGGCACAAAATAAAAACAATCGAAAAAAGAAATAATAAGGGGGGGGGGGATGACGTATCGCTCGTAAGAAGATCACGGGCAGAGGAACGACGCGGGACAAATCTGGACGGGGAGGCCCGCGTGTGTGAGAGAGAGATAGTGCGTGAGAGGGGTTGCTAAGGCTTTAACGTCCACGCGGCGGGGCAAAAAAAAATAAGGGATTGCACTTATAATGGCGTGGCCAACTCACCGAGGAGAACTCCATGACCTTGAGCACCCAGAGCGTGAGCGCCAGGTTGACGATGACCATGACGAGGAGCGCCAGGATGAGCAGGTACAGGCAGCGCTTGCGCCACCCGTAGATGCCCACGTGGAAGTTGTGGCGCGTCGGCGTGGCCGGCTTGGGCACCGAGTCCGTCCAGTCGGTGCAGACGCTCTCGCCGCGCAGCGTCCTGCAACACGTCCCGCACAACCTGAGGACCGGCCCCACAGTGGACTGGAAGACCGGTGGAGGCGGTCCAAATCCAGGACGCGTTTTGAGCTCCAGAGCGAGGGGGCCACCACTCTCATTTCAGGCGTACACAAGATTACGGGATTACGGGAAATTTACTGGGGATTACGCGTGAAATTTTGGAAAATTGGTTCTAAAACGTTGAAAAGTGGCTCAAAAACGTTGAAAAATGCCAAAATTTTGTCAAGGATTACGTGATTACGGCATGGATTACCGGAGATTACCAGCCGATTTGTACACAGGATTACGGGGGTGGTGGCCCCCTCGCTCCAGAGTCGCTAAATGGGACTCGAGCCGAACGTGTGACCCCACCAATGGATTGCTCTCCGAACGAGGAATCCATTGGTGGGGTCACACGTTCGGTTCGAGTCCTGTTTAGCGACTCTGGAGGTCAAAACGCGTCTTGCCGCCCTCTGGCCACTGCGGGCCGTCGGGCTAGTTGGCAGGGTAGGGCGAAGTGCAGGGCAAGAGCCACAACTGACCAACAAACGCACCCCAAAGCGAGCCGGGCCGGGCCGGGGCTCGCCGGGGCCGATCTAAGCTGCGGGGCTCGTATTTCCCAGGAGGCTTCCCCCTCCCCCGTCCGCGGGGTGGGGCGAGGCGGGGCGGGGCGGGGCGGGGCGGGGTGGACGCGCACAGTGCTGGCTGCCGGTTGCTGCCGGTAGGTGCCGGCCAGGCCCACAGGTGCCGTGCGGGCTGCGGGCTGACCACTTGGCACGTTTGCAGCGCGGGGCTGCCACACTGGGGAAGCCAGTGAAGCCAGCACAGCCAGCGGGGCGCGAACGGGATGCAGCGATTAGGGCGAGGGGGGCGCACACACAGACACACACATATACACACACACGGCGCACCTTACTAAATGACAGGACTTCTTTCTCTCCTCGGGACTCCATTTGCAGTATTTCCACGTCTTTACTGCGCCCTGCGCCTCACACCGCGCCCCGCCCCGCCCCGCCCCCCCCCGCCCCACCCCGCCCAGCGTCGCCACGCCACCGACAGACCATATTGTCCCGAGGGGATTAAATATTTCCGCCGCGTTTGATAGCCTCGCCCTCATGACGGTCCTCACGGCTCACGACGGCCGGTCCTCGCGGCAGGCATCTGGTGTACACCTGCCTCCCCTAATGGGCCGCCCCGCCCCGCCCCGCCTTGAAGGACCACTTCCGCGACCGCCGCGTCGTCGGCCACCCGTCGATGCAGACGGCGTGCTTGGCGTGCTTGGCGGTGCCGAGGCGCCGAGGCGCGGGGAAGGCTCAAATTATCGCACCGCCGGTGCACAATTAGTAAGAGAGAGGGGGAGGGGAGAGGACCGCGCCCGACCGCGCCAGCCGCCAGGATAGAACCGTCACACCCCGACAGACTCGTGACAAAATGGCGTTTTGTCAAGCTCAGAGTACCCGCAGTTTGACGAAGTTAGTCGAAAAATTCCAGCAATTTTTTGCAGTGTACAAGTCGCTGCTCCGGGGTGTGCGCGTCGGTTCTTTCCAGAGCGGCGGCCCGGACGCGGCATGACTTGAAGGGGGCAGGCTGATCCGAGTCCGGGCTCAGTCTGTCTCTCTCGCACCGCCACGCGACGGCCGCTACGCCAAGGCTGCGCTACGCGAGTGCGACGGAGACAGAGCGACGAAACGACTTCGGGATCGCTCGGCTCGGCTCTCGGCTCGGCTCTCGGCTCGGCTGGCACCACGCCGACTGGACGGCGCGATGAGTAACAGCCCGGAGGAGTCTACGTGCGAGGGCGACCATGTCCGTGAGAGCGAGCGAGAGCCGCTATCCGGCTGGCCATCTGCCGGCCGGCCGCACAGTGGGCCAGAAGACCGGTGGAGGCGGCCAAAACTCTAGGAGTGTTTTGAGCTCTAGAGTCGCTAAATGAGACTCGAACCGAACGTGTGACCCCACCAATAGATTCCTCGCTCGGAGAGCAATCCATTGGTGGGGTCACACGTTCTGTTGGAGTCCCATTTAGCGACTCTAGAGCTCAAAAAGTGTCTAGAGTTTTGGCCGCCTCCACCGGTCTTCTGGCCCACTGCGGGCCGAAGCCAAGAGCGGCGGGCGGCTCTTAGATGCGCCAAGCGCGCCACGCGGCGCATCCAGGGTCCCCGGGGGTCCCTCTCCCTCGTCCCAATTCACTTTCAATTCATTTGCTCTCCTCGCCGGAGGAGGAGTTGAAGGGCAAAAAGTACAAGTTAGAAAGACGTGGCGCCCTAACGACCGGCTGCCCTTCCGCCCGGAAGTTAGGTTAGGTTGGCCGAAGGCGCCGCCGCTCTGTCTCTCTCGCACCCTCCTGGAGGGCCCCTCGGGTGCGACAGAGACGGAGCGACGCTTGCAGCAAGGCTTGCAGCAAGGCTTGCCGCCCCGCGGCCAAGGCTTGGCCAAGGCGAGACCTACCTGTTAGAATCCATGCTGGAGTCGGGCCGCGCCCTGGGCACCTGCAACACAAACGGAATGCGTCAGCACGGTAGCAGCACAACCACACAGACACTCTCTCTCTCTCTCTCTCTCTCTCTCTCTCTCTCTCACACACACACACACACACACAGAGCCATGCAACAGGGGTGTCAACATGAAGAGAAACAAACTGTCGCCAATGCACAGTGGGCCGGAGGCGGCCAAAACTCTAGACGCGCCTTAAGCTCCAGAGTCGCTGAACGGGACTGGAACCGAACGTGTGACCCCACCAATGGATTCCTCGTTCGGAGAGCAATCCATTGGTGGGGTCACACGTTCGGTTCGAGTCCCATTTAGCGACTCGAGCCCCTGGCGGGTAGGCAAGACATCGCTCCCCTGCGCGGCGCGCTGCCTACTCTCACGGCGCCCCGCCCCTCCAAAGCCGCGCGTAAGGCGATTACGGCGCCGCATTGTCACCTGGTCGAGATCCTGGAGATCGAGAACAGGTCGCCCTGTTTCTGGTTTTTCGCCGAGGGTGGGGCGCACAATACGCGCTGAGGGGCGTCGAGCCCCCTGTGAGTCACACTGTGAGTCGAGCGGAGTCAAGGATGGCCAGGACGGGGTGCCCGCGGCCCCGGGCACAGCCCGGGCACAGGCAAGGCAGGCAGGGCCCCAGCGTCCGTCGCTCTGTCTCTCTCGCACTCGAGGGGCGTTCCGTGTAGGTGCGAGAGAGACAGAGCGACGACTCTGAGTCAGCAGGGCCGGAGCGCTGGAGGGCCTGGAGGGCCTGGAGGGCCTGGAGGGGGTGTTTACCTCAAGGGCAGCCTCGCCGCCAGCCCGGCGTCGCAGCGTCGGGCGTCGCGGCGTCGCGGCGTCGCGGCGCACGACTCGGTGTCGTGTCGAGACTACCACCTCGCCACGAACCGCCGCAGTGGCTTTCGCTTTTCTCGGACAAATCACGTCTCCAACTACGCAGGAATTTTAAGTGTGGTGTTGCCAATGAAACGAAAAATGATGACGAAAAAAAAAGGTTCGTAAAAAGTCGGTAAAACGCGTTGTGGGGACGGCTGGCGTTGTTCGCGGCCAAGTCGCGGACGACTGGCGGCGGTCTGCGGTGTTTCAAGGTGGGGGTGGGGGCGGGGGAGGGACCAACACGTTTGATCCTTAGCAAGCTGCCCCCTTTGCAGGCGCACTCGAGGAGGAGGGGGGGGGGCTCAGCCCCGGCCTGTCATTGCTGGCAGTCGTTACGATTTCAGCGCCGCCTCCCTCCACGTACGGGAATAGAAAACACGGAGTCTGAAGCAGGAAAGCCCCAGTTTTATTTCGTCCACAGTGGGTGGGTTTTCATCGTTGCCGCGGACTTGGCCGGTCGAAGGCGGGAACCGGGCGACACAACTAACTAATAACACATGTCACGCGGCGGCCCACAGTCCTGGCCGCCGCGGGACGCTGCGTCGGGCGGCGTCGTGCCGCGCTATTTCGGGGCGCCTCGTCAGTGACGTCACCGATGACGGCCTTGTTGTCCGACGCGTCGGCCTGGCGGCGGCCACCCGAAGAGCGCGCGTGTTTACGTTCGGCCAGCCAGCCGGCATGCAGTGGGCCGGAAGGCCGGTGGAGGCGGTCGAAATCCCGGACGCGTTTTGAGCTCCAGAGTCGCTAAATGGGACTCGAACCGAACGTGTGACCCCATCAATGGATTGCTCTCCGAACGAGGAATCCATTGGTGGGGTCACACGTTCGGTTCGAGTCCTATTCAGCGACTCTGGAGCTCAAAACGCGTCCGAGATGTTGGCCGCCTCCATCGGTCTTCCGGCCCACTGCGCGGCCCCACGCCGTCATGCTGGTGTTTGCCCGGCGGCATGGCCGGGGTGAATTGCAGATTGCAGTTCGCCTCGATGGCCCGTGTGTCTCGGCCGTCTGGGCGCACCGACCCGGCACCCTCGGCTCCCTCTAGACAATGGTGGCGGTGTGGCGGCGCGGCAGCGCGCCCGTCTTTGTGGGCTTGACCGGCTTGACCACGTGTGACCCAGTTAGTGCCTCGCGCCGCGCCGCCAGACGCCCGCCATTCTTTCTCAAGCAGTCCCAGGCGCGAGAGTAAGCCCCGGCAGTGTTGCCACACAACCAGGCAAAAAATCCCCTCGATGCACCGGTGTCGAAAGGGTTGCCAACCTCAGCCTGTCTGCCAGGCAACTTCGCGATGGCGGGGCCAAGGATTGCCCAGTAGGCAGGCCGAGGTTGGCAACCCTTTCGATACCGAGGGGTCTTGGGGATTTTCGCCTGCTAACGTGGCAGCACTGGTGCAGTGCGCGGTCACGTTAGCAAAAATGTGGAGTCAGTGCTCTTCTCCCTGTGGCTGCTGCTCACGTCGAGTTGGATGGCGTTTTTATTGACACGTCTCTGCCAGGCTTGCCAAGCGGGTGCAGCGCAGCGCCCCAGACCACCTCGCTCTCTCTCCCCCGAAACAGTAATTGGGCTGTGTTCTACAAATGACGCGAGGGCCCGCCGTGCCCGGGGGAGGCCGGAGGGCACTCATAAACACAAATAGCTCGCCGTCAAGCAGTAAAGCAGCGGGCTGAAAAACGAGCCGTCACCGCGGTGTTCGAACCCACGACCTGCGGCACCGAAAGCGACCCTCCAGACCACACGGCTGCCGTGACACTGACCTCCAGGGCGGACCCGGGCCGGGTGGCTCCAGGGTAGCGGGACAGGGTGCCGCTGGGGGTGGACATGGCGGCGGCCTCGGGGCCCTTGCCGCTCAGCTGGAGTCAGTTGTCAGCTGCAGTCAGCCGCGGCCTCAGACACGCTGACTCTGCCATGGTCACCGCCTTCGCCGCCCCGTCCGGCCAGCGGTCCCAGCGGTGCACCTTCACTTTCCACTGTCCATCTCTCTCGCACTCGCTCGCGGCGTCGCGGCGTCGCGGACTGAGACTCGCGGCTCGCGGCTCCGCGGCAGCTGCACCCCCACGTGGACTCGGGCCGACTGGGCCGACTGGGCCGCGGCGTGGCTCGGCCTCGCACTCGGCCACTGCCTCTCTCTCTGGGGGTGGGGGCGGCAGCGACACACTGCCACCTGGGCTGGTGCAGCACGCTGCAGCCTGCACTGCTTGTGCAGCGCGGTGGCGTTTGCCAGTGTGCGAGCTGACCAACTTCTTTTTACTTTCTGGTGTGGCGGTGGCGGCTCCGCGGCGCATCCGCGAGAAATGACAGCCTGGAGGCTGTCACCGCTGGCTGTCGGTGACGGGGCTAATGAAGCACTGCGGTGGTTGCTGCCCCCCCCCCTCTCTCGTGGGATTGTGGCCCCGATCCCCCAGACCCCGCACGACGAACGCACCGGCGCCATGTCGAGTTGGGTTCGATCCCTTCAACAGGCAGGCCTTCGCGCACCTCGCTCGGACGGGCCGTGTTATGTCAGCAGCGCCACATCGGTACTTTAGCGTCTCTGGCGGGGAAGCGCGGGTCTGGGGTTCAACACCCGTCGGTGCCGTTTTCAGCTTGATATTTCACTCGACTGGTTTCCTGGTTTTACTGGTTGTGCTCGTCTGGACGCTGCCGGCACTAAAACCATTCTCTTGGGGAGCTTGCAGGCGTTCCGAGGCGTTCCGAGGCGTTCCGAGGCGTTCCGAGGCGTTCCCTGGACGTGGCGGCGGCTTTGCATCGGCCTGCTTGTCATTCCGCGGCGGGGCGGGGCGGGGCGGGGCGGCCCGACCACAACGTGGCGCCGGGGGCACGACCCCCCTGCCATTTCCCTGGCCGCGTGTATTTTGAGAGTGGGTGATTTGGCTCCCGGCCAACAGCTTCGTCTTGGCCTTGTTTCTCTCGCTCACACACAGGCGCACACACACGCACACTCACACGCACCGGGGGCGTCTGGTGGTCGTCTCGACGTGTGCGTCAATCTCTCTTCGCGCACCACGATGTTGGTAATCCCACGCGCCATCAGCGAAGGTGATTCCCCTCGCCGTGCTGGCACACCCTTAACACGAACAGTCGCACCGCAAGGGCGGCCCAAAAACTCTATACGCGTTTTGAGCTCCAGAGTCGCTAAACAGGTTTCGAACCGAGCGTGTGACCCCACCAATGGATTCCTCATTCGGAGAGCAATCCATTGGTGGGGTCACACGTTCGGTTCGAGTCCCATTCAGCGACTCTGGAGCTCAAAACGCGTCCGCGACTTTGACCGCCTCCACCGGTCTTCTGGCCCACTGTGTGTTGCCTGTACCTCCACTCCGCAGTGCCGGCAGAGTCGCGGGGTCCTTTTCGATTATGGCTGGAATCACGTCCAACGCAATAATGCGGGGGAAGGGGGAAAAGGAGTAAGAGGAATAAAAAGGAAATGGACGGGGAGTGAAATGCAAAGGGTTGGCACCTCGAGGGTGCATTCACTGCATGCCCCCCCCCCCTCTCTCCCCTCTCTCTCTCTCTCTCTCTCTCTCTCTCTCTCTCTCTCTCTCTCTCTCTCTCTCTCTCTCTCTCTCTCTCTCTCTCTCTCTCTCTCTCCCTCTCCCTCTCTCCCTCTCTCCACGCGGGCGAAGCCAAGCCCCGCGGCAAAACGCCGTGTTGTGTTGAGCAGGTCTGGGAGTCGGGGTGCGGAGAGACGAGGCTGGGGCCCCACCACGGGCCCCACGGATGATGCCGGGGATGCTCGCTCTGAATTATTCGGGTCCTCGATACTGTCCTTGTGGACTGCAAAATTAATGTGACGTCATTTTTTCCTGGTCCGCGCAAGAATTCGGCCGTGTAAGCCTCTGTGGGTGGGCCCCATCCTCGTGCCTGGCTGCCTGCCTGCCTGCCTGCCCTTCCGATATTGCCGCGAAGCTTATGTCGAGCAGGCAGTCTCGGGGGTGGAACGTTATAGGTATCGGCGGGCCGGGCGGGCCGGGCGGGCAGCATACCCAGACGCCGCCAGGTGTGGACACACCGTCAAAAGAAATCGTTGAAAGAAATTCAGAACGCGTCCAGACCTTCAGAGTACTGAACATCGTTGGGCGAAGCTCGCGCTGGGCCTGTACTGTCTCATCCACAGTTTTATCAAACTAAATGGGACTCGAGCCGAACGTGCGACCATCCAAATGGTTTGCTCTCCGAACGAGGAATCCATTAGTGGGGTCACACGTTCGGTTCGAGTTCTGTTTAGCGACTCTGGAGCTCAAAACGCGTCTGAGGTCAAAAAGTCAACCACCCATGATGTTGAACAATGAAGTGACTCCGTCTTCAAAATCCCGCCGAAGCCTTTTCCGGTGTAGCGGTCCCCACGTCAAAGGGAAAAGGAAGTTAAAATTAAATAAACTTGTCCTTTCCTCATATGTGGCTTCGCGGGGCCTCGGCGGGGCGGGGCAGCGCGGCCGGGGTGGCTCAGGGTCGGGGGACAATATTTGGAAGGCCTTTCTGCCCCGAGGGCAGCCCGGGGAGAGGCGGGGCGGGGCGGGGCGGGGTTCGGGAGGGGACTCAACAGGTGATCCCGGCAGCTCCCACCTCAGCCTGCGGCCGGAGCTCTCCACTCCGATATGGCGAGCATTGAAAAATAACGACCCTGCCGACAGAACAAGTAGAGCACACTAGAATGCGCTAGAAAGCGACCATTTCCAAGTCGACTGTTTCGCAAAATCCGATCAAGTTTTTCAACTTTTCTTTCAAATTTCGCTAAGCACTTTTTTTTTTAAATTTAACTGGCCTAAATAACACACTATTAAAACATGATTCATGATTAAAACACAAGTAAAAACAGACGTGCTTGTATCGCCCGTCCCGCCTCCCTCCCCCGCTTATGCGCCCCTTGCCGGATTTCTTTCGTCTTATCCGGTGGGGTGGGTTGGGGCGGGGCGGGGCGGGGTGGGGCGGGGTGGGGCGGGGCCCTCCTTAAACACACTCCATTTGGGCACCGCCAAAAAATCTATTCCTGCCCGACGATATTTCCCACAGTCCTTCCGGCCGCCAGCACTCCGCGGACACCGTGAAATAAAAAAAGGCCCGCCGTTTCACTCTTTCCGAATTAAAGTTGATTTTCCCCGCAGTAGGCGGGGGTTGCTATGCCGCTCCTGGGTCACCTAAACCAGCCGACTAGCCGACCGAGCAACCCCTGCCGCGCACAGCGAAAAAAAAAACCGAAAAAACCGTAAAAAACGTTAAAAAAAGGAAAATTAGCATTCTGTTTTTGCGGCGCTTCATCCCCGAAACTGAGCGCATTCGCCGAGTCGCTGCTCCGTCTTCAATCACGCGGCGTAACCACGTCGAGGAGGAAAAACAAAGACAAAGACTAAAACAAAAACAAAAAAAGAACGGGGAGCAGGAAACAAGCCCGGGCGGCAAACTTTTGTTCTGCTTTTGTTTCGGTTTTTGCTGCTGCTGCTGCTGCTGCAGAGTCGCGGGTATTAGCCACCGCACTGTCTGTGTACTATCGGGTCCTGAATGGGAGCAGCGTTTATTTACAAAGCGTACAAAAATGAGCAAAAATTTGAACAAAGTGTTTTGGCGGGCCGTGAGAAACGCCTCGGTCGAAGGGAGTGACAAAGAGCGACATGCGCCGCACAGTTATTGGCTGGACTCCCCGTCGGGCGACAAATGGAGCAGTGCCGTGCCGCAGCACGGTGGGCCAGAAGACCGGTGGAGGCGGCCAAAACCCTAGACGCGTTTTGAGCTCCAGAGTCGCTAAACAGGACTCGAACCGAACGTGTGACCCCACCAGTGGATTGCTCTCCGAACGAGGAATCCATTGGTGGGGGTCACACGTTCGGTTCGAGTCCCATTTAGCGAGTCTGGGGCTCTGGATGCAGTTGACACCCGCCGCTCGTGCTTTGTGTGCTTTCCGACTGCACGTCCCTTTCCCCCGGCCGTGTATCGTTGATGGTCCCCAGTGGCCCGAGTGACGCCACGGTGACGCCACGCTGACGCGACAAAGCTTCGAGCCGCTGTGACAGGCCAGAGAGAGAGAGAGGGGGGGGGGAGTGCGACTGACACCCCGATGGGCCCCATAGCCCCGATGCAGCCGCGTCAAACAACAAGTGTAGTGTCGACGCAAACAGGCGAGTGAAGCGAGTCACCTGGAATTGTTAATCCGACAACGTCACTTGATGCTCTCGGCTTGCCTCATGCAAAACGCATGCAATGCCAAGGCAGGCCGCTGCAATGATGCAGTGCACGAAGTGCAGCACCCTGGGGAAGCGGCCCGACAGGAAGCCGAACTGAAAGCCGAACGGATGGAAGCCAAACTGAAAGGCAAGTTGGCTTTCGGCGTCCCCGGGGGACCGTTTACTCTGGCTCCCCGCTCCTCCGGGATGCCTTCGGACTGCCGTTGGAATCGGGAAGGAGGGGGCTGCACTGCGCCGCCGTCAGGAACCGCGGCCGAAACTCTGGACGCGTTTTGAGCTCCAGAGTCGCTAAACAGGACTCGAACCGAACGTGTGACCCGACCAATGGATTGCTCTCCGAACGAGGAATCCATTGGTGGGGTCACACGTTCGGTTCGAGTCCCATTCAGCGACTCTGGAGCTCAAAACGCGTCCGGGACTTTGTCCGCCTCCACCAGTCTTCTGGCCCACTGTGTCTCGGCCCTAATCTCGTTTGGAGCCGCGGCAGCGCGCAGCAGCTAGGCGCCCAAGACAATATGAGACGAACTTCCCCCTAACGACTTGGCTTTCTTTCCGACTGACTCGCAGTGTCGTGGCGATTGCCCCGAGACCCCGCGGGAATCATCTGGTCGACTTGCCTGTCGCCCAAAATTGAAACAAAACCGGACGGGGGGTGTCGAACCCGGGCCTCACTCTTGGCAGATCGGTGCGAGAAAGCACGCGGCTACGACTTGACTTAAGCCACCCGCTCTTTTTGCGGCTGCCAAACTCAACTTTCTCCTCGTGGTTTGTCAAAACGGTCCGAAGCGAAACCCGCCAGCCAACCCGCCTGGCCGGCAGAGGCAGAGCGATTGGATGTCATCAGCAGACAACTCATTCCCAACTCGACAAGTTGAATTAAAGCGA